TCATCATTGTTCTTAAAAACGATACATTTCTTTTCACACTGTATAGCAGACTTTGCAAATAAATCTACTATAGTTTATTCTAGTAATGTTTTAAATCAAATAGTTGAAGTACTTTCAGTTGCTCCCTGACATTTCTGACAGCGGGGAAAAACCCGCTTCTACTGTGAGCATAACGGCAATGTCTATTATAGACAGTATGTAAATGTAGACACAAAATTCAAACGACCTATCTTTTCTTTTCATGGAATGATCGGGACAATATGATTTATTCTTGAGAGATAAAGTTTATATCTTCTCAGAACTTATTTAGCAATTTCCAAGACTTTTTAGATCGATCAAGGAATTTCTGCTGAGAAAATATAAACTTTATCTATGAAGAATGAATCATATTCTCACAATCACTTCTTGAGATAAATGTATACAAACCCTATTGGCAACTTTATATGTATGTTCCTGTTTCAGATATCAATGAGTGTGGTAGTAATCCCTGTCTGAACGGAGGCACTTGCTTCGATCAGGTCAATCAATTCCAGTGTCAATGCCAACCTGGATATGCTGGAACAAGATGTCAAACCAGTAAGTTTCAATTGGCTTTCTTTAAATATGCCTGTACTCTACTAAAGCATGCATTCTACTAAAATGTTAATCCCGATGGTTCGTTTGAGGTTTTGTCTGAAGTAAGGTTTCATATGTGTGCTCTACAAATGTACCGTTTTAGGAAGTCATGATCTGTCAGTACTGATGTAAATATTTTAAAGAAATCTGTTAAATTAGATATCAAGGAATGTTCATCAAATAGTTTGTATTTATGCATGGACGAGATTAAATTGTATTTGAATATTGACGAAATAACTGTTTGCCGTTTCTTTTACCAGATATCAACGAATGTTCGTCAAATCCCTGTTTCAATAGTGGAGCATGCGTGGACGAAAATTCTGCTTACAGGTGTATTTGCAGCTCAGGTTTTTCTGGGATTCGATGTGAACAAAGTGAGTACAATTAAATGAGACACAATGATTAGATGAAAGGAGTTCTTCTGTTGCCAAAGCCACGGAATAAGTCGATAAAATATTTCTGTCAGAGGCTCATTTACTCCTATGTTCTTGTTGTGCAGGAGCCAGCGGACCGTAATCTCGCTATTATTCAATTCCTAATAATTTGTATTCTGATTAATTTGTGGAGACCTTAAATAATATTTGAATATTCTGTGCCTGTCTTCGGATTAATGCGAATAAAGCCTAATGTAATACCTAATGTACTGATATCACTTTATATACATACAGATTTAAATGAATGCCTCAGCAATCTTTGTTTCAATGGAGGAACTTGTCAAGACCTTCTGGCTGGATACAACTGTCTCTGCCGCCCTGGATTCGAAGGAATAAACTGTCAACTAAGTATGGATATATTTTTAAAATTACTTAATTGAAGAACTCGATCAGATAAATATTGTTTGTGGATAAACCACTGAATAAGACTTGGATTGAAATTTGTGATCTTTAGACATTAACAAATGGTGTTAATTAACATCTAGTAACTAATTCATTTTTGTGTCAAATGGTGTGTGTGATTGAACAAAGGAGGACAAAACATACAATTAATATTAATTTAATTTAATTCAATTCAATTTAAATTTATTTCAATTCAATCAATTTTTTCTTCAGTTCAAATTCACAAAATATGTTTACAAATCCACTTCTTGTTCTTCCATTGTCTTTTCAATGTCTTTTATTCAGATACCTTTGAGTGTAACAGTAACCCTTGTCTTAATGGGGCTACATGTATAGATGGTGTCAATCGTTTTACGTGTAACTGCGCATCTGGATTCCAAGGTGCTACATGTGCAGAAAGTGAGTCATCTCCAGCCTGTAATGAATTGAATCATAATAGCAATTATTATATTGATGAAATGCTGTCAAGTCATCAATCCACTCGACTACGGCACTTCTACATCATTTATCTTGTAAACTTCCAGAGTCACTCATTCAAGATTTATACCTTTATCGTGTAGAGTCTTCCGACCAAGCCTTTAAAAGGTCATGAAAGGAGTGGTAATTTGATTTCAGCCTCTGAAACGTAGAATAATATAAGCAGAGTGTTCAGTAAACCAAAGCAAAAATAACTGCACTTCTTATTTCCTCTTTGCTGCATTAGAATATTATTTTTACCTTATTCTGACTCATGTATCATCTTTTAAAGGGGGAGCTCTGATGGAACTACACGCACAATTGATGATAATTATGATGGCTTCTTGTTTAGCAATTGTAGAATAGATAATTGTAACTGAATCAGCATAACCACTTACACATCATAACATATTATGTTTCTTCCTCTGCTTCCAGCCATTAATTTCTGTGCGAATAGGCCATGTTCCGGAACGGCAACTTGTATCAATACCGAGGGAACATTTAGATGCCTGTGCCCTCTTGGATTTTCTGGAGTCCTGTGTGGGACTAGTAAGTTTTTCTTGTTACTCCATCTGTGCTTTCTCATATGTTTGTTAAAGTCCACATCTTCATTTCATTTTGCACATAGGGTAACATTTTAACCGTATTTGGTTAAAAAAGGGAAATGCATCTGCGATCGGGAATAGCTTACCCAGTAAAGAGTAAATTCAATCAAATTTTAGCTACATTTAGCTCAATATTGGGTTGAATTTAACCCAACACGGATGTTTCCATTTTTAACCCCAAAGGCTAAAATATTACCCAACTCTTTTTTAGAGTGTATGAAGGTGGAACGTTTTCAATTAACGATGTTTAAGTTAAGAATTTGCATTTTAATGTATATTCTGTAATTATTCATATATAGTCATCCTTTAATTCTTGCGAATGTTTACTTGATGTTAATGCTGTGATATGTGTCCGTAGCTCTTAACAAGATTTCTATACGATATTGATAACAAAGGGTATGTCTATTGTGACGTGAAATCTATTTTTTCAATCGATTTTTCTGAAACAGGTACTCTTGTTTTTCCATGTTTTGATAATCCAGAAGTTGATTTGTTAATTATCGTGTGCTGATAAATTTGATTTTTTATATTTTTGGAGCTGCTAAATACATATACCATCTTGATGAGGCGTAATTTAGCTAATCTTTTATTATTTATGTCGAACAACCCTCATTTAACTAACACAAATTATTATGCAGTTTGGTTTCCGGATGGGTCTTTTCGTGGCACTACATCTGACTATTAGAGCTACCTTAATATTTCTAAACTTTTCCATAACTTAATAGCAGTAATTTGTGATTGCTGCAATGACATCAAGCAGCGTGATTTGCGATGTGGGAATTATTGTTTTAATATATCATTCTTGTATGTAGCCGGCATGGGTTTTCAATGTATTACTTTATAAGTACACATAAATATCGTGTATGTAAATCAAGTTGTTCAAAATACTTTTTTTAAACAATAATAATAGAAAAGGTAGCTATAAAATCTAATAAAATCAACTAGAAGATTTTCAAGCCATTTTAGTTCATAATGATTGTTGTTCGAAAGTCATGCATTGTGCTGCTCTAATTACTAATATGCAAGAAGAAATTCGTCTCTCAAAATGCTGTATTTCACATTTGTCAACATTGGCGACCATTAATGGAATGATATCACTTTACCATGTTCTCATCCTTGACAGGTGTGTGCGATTCAGGACCATGTTTGAATGGGGGATCATGTTCAGAAGCACTCGGAATTGTTTTGGGATATACATGTATCTGTCCTGCAAATTTTCAACAACCAAATTGCGCGATTCGTGAGTAATTTATTATTTCATTGATAGATTATGCTTATTTTGCCTTAAATCATTATTTTGTGCATGTATTGAACGTAGCAATTAATTTGTCTATATATTCAATCTTTCATCATATTACTGTCTAGGCTAACAAGACCAATGTGGAAGGCAATTTTGTAACTGAAAATGCTCCCTTGTCACATTAAAACTATGAATAAATAAGTTAATAATTGGATAATCAATGTGTAATATAAAATTGTTACAAGAAACAGATGATTTAAATGTATATAACATTCATCGTTTCCTATGATTATGCAAAATATTATTATCATTTTCTATGACAGAAGCAAACCCATGTAATAGCAACCCTTGTCAAAATGGAGGCACTTGCCTGAATGCTATAACATCATTTGTATGCCAGTGTGCGGTCAATTGGCAAGGCAGAATATGTACATACCGTAAGTTGTTTAACCTCATTAATTTTACATCCTTTCTTTTACCCAATTAAGTTAGCTTCATATAATAGTGATAATGTTAAATATAACAATGATAATAATAATATGCTACTTTTCTAAAGCGCTTAATTCAAAATGTCTCTAAGCGCTTTACAGATATATCATTACCCCGGTCATCAGATTCAGGCTTGCCCGCATAATAATAATGCTAAATGATTAATCATAACAACAATTATTAAAAGAAGTGATGATGATTTTAACTAAGAAACTCATCCATTAGTATCAGTATATAATAATAATAGCCTAATAGTCCACTCAAAATTTTATTAAACCGAAACGGAAATTCTTTTTTTCTTATTACCCCGGCTTTAGCTGTGCTGCCATTATAGCGCTCTAGCATTTCAAGGAATAAATTCCTACCAGGTACTGTAAAGTCTCATTTTCAACATGGCAGTTATGTCAAGCCGATTGCTAAAACTCAGAAACAGATTCGTGCAATATTGTAACATGACGAACTATTGTATAATTTGCCTTAGTCCATATTATGTTGGCATGTAATTATGTTTATACCTTTTTTCTTCTTTCTTTGGTAGAAATTATGTTCATTAAGTGTTTTTTAATTGTTTATTGTATTTAGGCAGTAGTAACGTGACACGTTCAAATAATTTTTAACTAAATGTTATGTAAGTTTTTTACAATGTATATATCCAATTCATGTAATGCATGTGCAATTCAGTTGTGAAACTGCCATTCATGAAAGATGGAATAAAATACCACTTATCTATCTATCTATCTAAAACCCATCTCGCAGAATCAATAGATCCCTTGACACAATCATCGGCTTTCACTACGAGACCTGTTACAACAACTGAACCTAAAGCACCAATTAACTGTAAGTGATATGCTTGTCTATTTTAACGTTGTAAAGTTTCTGCCTTAAAAAGGAGGGGGCAATGAAATGAATGGAATTCGGGGAAATTTGTATGTGCATGTACCTCCTTTTAAAAAGGTATGTATTCATCAGGCGTCTTGGAGTGTGGTTTTTCATTGAGCACGATCAGTACTCCTATACAGATAGATATAAACACCTATGTTTTAGAGAGACTGCATTTCTGGTATTATTTTTTTAAATAATTTTTATTAGCCGTCACCAATTAGTATATATTATGTTTTTATTACACATTACTCGCTTTTTACTGCTTTTATAGATACCATCTACATCGTAATGGCGGCTGTTGTACTTCTGCTTATCCTGGTCATTTGTTTCCTCCTATGCTACGTGAAAAAAATAAAGAGGTAATTTTTTTGTTCATAAGATGGTGCTGTTGTTATTGTTGCCTACGAACACAATTCATATCTGTCAATTTCATAGCTTATATAATAGGCTACGTGGATTTATGGCAAAATTGATACTGCTGCGCTAGATTTCAAAGGAGAATCGACACCTTGATTAAATCCCTTCCTCAGATATGACCTGTCGCGGACCAATTTTTCATAAAATTTATAATAATGTACTGTTCATAGATGATTTTTTTAATAATTAGCAATTTTCTAGGTGTACTTTTTTTTGGACTCACACTGTAGAATTGTATAAAAAGAATACTTACAGTTCTATTATACATGTATATATGGACTCATCGATATTACACTGCAGAAGTCCTGCTTGAAGCAAGGAATGCTAATCATTTGAACATTATTGTTTTTGAAAATAGGTCGAGAGTTTTGTAATGATTTCACATAATAAACGCAGGACTGTTTACGTGATTAGCATGGTATGAGTATAATCTAGTAAAATTAATCTACATCCACATCTGAATTTGGCGTTTCTGTAGCTCATTTTCGATGCTTATTAGCTACATGGAACTTGATGATATTTAGTGTTATTTTAAGGTAATTTCTGTTTACATCTAAGACCAGCATCAAGTCAGAACGACACCAGAAATGAGACGACTGCTGCCGGAGAACGCCGCTCAGACGGAGGACAACTAGACCATGCATATGATTACCCATCAGTTGAACTTCGACCTTTACCTTCAACACAAGCATCAATACAATACGGCACCAGGATTGAGAGGACTGATGACGGAGAAGACCGCTCAGACGAAGGACAACTAGACCATACATATGCAGAACAGCCTTACATGGATATTATATAAAAGGACGCAGTTATATATAACATGTTCGCAAAGACTTTCAACAAGTTACCTCAAGGTCAATTTTAATTGTATATCCCATAGAAGTTACGTGCAGATTTAAGACGTAATTGTTATATTCGCACATTTCAAAATGTGATGTTCAGGGCCACTGAAATTGCCTCGTGTTGATTTTCCGAAAGTCGTTTCCGAAAGTTTTTTTAATATTGAATTATACGTTGAATATATGGATTTTTGACAACAGTTAATACTTCTCATTTTTATTTAATTTCGTTTCTGGACTTCAAGATCTTGCACATTTCATGTTCATTAAATCATTGATCATTTATTTTTTTCTTTGGAACCTTGTCAAAAAGTATTCATCGCAACGCGTCCCTTTCGGTTAAAGACAGTTCAGGTTCTTCGTGATCTGCGAACGCGCGGTAGCATAAATAAATTTCGTGGTTGTGGTCAATACAATATAAAGTAATTTATTAATTTTCATCTAAAAAAGTCACTTTGAAGAAATGACAGAGTAAAAAAAAAAGACTTAGAGATTTAAGAATTTTTTCTGTACAAATTTAAAATGATTTATAGAAATCAAAAACATTAGATAGTGATTAAGATTCTTTGTATTCGTTCTATTCTATTATTTACCAATTTCTAATATATATATATATTTTGTGTATTGTTTCATTTCTCTATTTTTACATGCTCTGCTATTTAAGGGTGATATCTACTACTCTGTTTACTTAGATCAAAAGATTAACGAATCAGCGTAGCATTTGAAAGCACTTCTATTTGTATGAAAAGCTAGGTATTTCATTTCAGTACAGTTCTTAGTTTGTTAACAGTAATCGTTTGTTTTCGACTTTCGTTTTTTTTTCTTCTTGGACACTGTACAACATCTTGTTATGTTGTGATGTGAATTCAGTCGAGTCAAACATTATTGTAGGTACTTTGAGGATCATTCTAGTTGCTTTGAAGTGAATTTGGAAGGAAGAAAACCAAAGGTCTTTCGACACCTAATGCTCAATAGCTATTAAAGTGCTCAGACTTTGGAATATATTTGTAATAATTATAAGAATCATCATGTATGCATCGATGTATAATTATATATATTTGTATCGCTGTACTATGGTGTACAAACTATGGCATGGGAAATAACAAGGATATAATTTAACTTTAATTTTCACTACACTCGAGAAATCACCAAGTGCGAGTACAAGTGAACTCGTGTACAGTTGCATAGATTAATTGCCTTTGGTAAAACACCAAACGAAAAAGATCGTTTTAGTAACGTAATCAAAATATCATTCATACGTTTTCGTGAAGTTCCAAAATATTCTATTCAACTTTTACGAATAATTGTATTTCAACAGTCACAATTTAAATTGCATACATAATTTGTTGCTAGGTAGGACATAACTGATGCATATGGATACATAGGTTATATTGACATGTGCTAATGCGTAAATGAATATCAAAAAGCGCGTCCCGAAAATATATAAAATGCTGGTAAGGTTACGTATGCCCCATCCAGTTAAAGTTATGATCGGCAAACCCTCAGACTTGTTTGATGAGAACGTGGTTCAACATTATTCGTGTTAGAACATTTTCTGCCCGGCACATGTTCCTATTTAGAACACGTTCAGATTACTTAAACCGACGAGTGCCGAAAACATAATGTAAACGCACAGCGAGACAAACGCTGAATACGTGTTCATGAAAGTCGTCCCTGGAGTTGCCTGTAATACTTGACAAAAAACAAGTAGTCAATCCAAACGGCACCGGTGTCGACCCACTTACACATTACCTGGCGAGACTTCTTCTATGTGTAGGGTTGACGAATTTGCTTTGACTGTTAACAAATTGTATGTTAATTAAATAGCATTGGCATTCGACTTCATGTGGTGAATCAATGTGCATGTATTCTGATAGGTGGAATTATTCAGTTCAAGTCTTAATTGAGGTTTTAAAAAAACCGTGCCCATTCAAAATTAAAAAACAAACGTCGCGCTTGTAAGCACGAGAATGTCTTCTGGGTAATTATTGGGGCTCTCTTGTTTACAATTTTACCAGATGATTATTACATAACTAAAGAAAATCTATCATGATGCCAACTATGTAAACAGATAGTCTTGCAGAATTACAAACACAGCTGAAACGCAGCTGAAACTACAAGTCAAGCAAAAAGTAAGCGAAAATGTATTAGTTTATAAACATAGATTGATTACCAATGATGACAAGATAGGAGCATCTTATAAGGCTCGTAACAAAAGTTGCAATGATATTCGGATCAATAGTAATAAATTATATGAATATATAATATGAGTATTGCATATTCTATTGCCTTTAATTTCATCATCATGTAAATTCAGTACAATTATTTTAGTTATGCTTTCTAATTGTTCAAATATTTCATTATCTGTAATATCTGTATGCTTTTTTTTTTTTTTTTAGATAAAAACAACGTAGCGCTCTGTGGTAGACGAATTTGCATTACTGCATAGTCAACCCTGATTTCAGATTATGGATAAAGAAATCAGTTAATAAAACCAAGGTGTCGTTATATATTTGTATTCAGAGGAAGAAAACCCAGTTGTGATCGAATGCACTTGTGGATACTTGACCGAAAAGGAGATGATAAAAAGAAGTGGAATAAGGACTAGTCAGTGGGTCGAGGGGAAGTCAGAGACAAAAAAATGTTTAGGAAATGACGGGGAGAGAAGAGATAAATAATATGGAAAGATAGAGAGAGAGAGAGAGAGAGAGAGGGAGAGGGAGAGGGAGACCCGGCAAATATCCCAAAGTATCCCCACATTTCTTGTTTTTTTATTTCATCTTCATGAATTCCAATTTCGAAAAGTCAAATAATCATGTTTTTGTCCACGATTATAACTTTAATGCTTGAATAAAAAGTCGTATTTCTCGATTACTTCGATCACAGAATGTAATACACCTAATCCCATTTGTTGATTTGATCAATACAATCTGGCCAATATAACACCTGTCCAAAACCCTGCATTGGTTCAAATTTATCAGAAGATGAGATCTGCTAGAATTTATATGATACTAAGCAAGAGCATGGATTCAGAGTTCAGAAAATACTGAAAGAACAACCATTGCAAATTTATAAGAATCCTCCCATGAAAGAAGAAATTATTAATAAGCTCACTGGAAGCACATCCTTCCCATTACTATGTTCTTCATGCATTGGTGAACAAATTCAAAAACACATACTGGATACGAGCTTTCAAATATGATGATTGACTGCTATTTTACACACGAACTAGAATTACGTGTATAAATTCCTCAAAAGAAAACCACAGTGTTCCTGTCGCGACCAAGCCATTTATATATCACTTGTACACGTTCGTAAGATTTATTGTACATCAAAAGGCAAGAATTCATCTGGTTTTTCAGAATAACTACACTTATTATTTGGGATTAGTTCTTCTTTAAAGATTTTCGCTCTACCAAAGAGCGCTTGCAAAATCCAACGAAACCAGACGACTGCAGGACGACGCGTTCGTGAAAGCTGTGTAATCATTATTCATTAATGCACCGGCGGTACATTACATGATACGCAGGTGGAAGTATTCTTTTCAAAAGGGCAACCAAGAAGAGCACCTTTAACACTTTCGTAGTGGGTATTCTAAAAATGCACAAAGTCGGTGACTCCATGTGTAAAAGATCTGTAGGTATTTGGGTGTCATTTGAACAAATGCTATCTCCGAAGGGGCTTATAGAATACCGATGCGTGACGCCATACTTGCTAAGTTGGCAGTAAATATTTTAACATGCACAAAGTGGTACCTTTGCATATTTCGAGGAATTTCCATGCGTAAACGTCTTTCTTCAGTGGTCTATTAGGTGATATCTATCAACTACGTTCTGTATGCGAATGAGGAAGCGTTGGGAGTTTGTTTATTTTTGTTTAGCTTCTCACCAGGATGCCTTTAGGCCTGTCAATTGACACCCTTCGAATTAGATCGCGCCACTCTGCTCTGTCAAGGGCCAAGAACCTCACTTTCTCCAAGTTTGTTTATTCTTTGGGTTGTATTTTTAATTTGATCTTCCCATCTCTCATGTATCAGACGGGTTTTAGAGGGCCGTTTATCGAAGTCGTTATAAGTCTAACTTATTAGACATCCCATGGATATCCACGAACTTAGACTTATGACGGCTTCGAGAAAGTGGCGACGGCTTCGAGAAAGTGGCCCCTGCTTCCATGTCAGTGTTGCTGGAAAACTGGCTAACTTACAATTAAGTCTTCACAAAAACGAGTGAGTATAGCACTGGCTTCATTTCTTATCTGTAGTAATTTATGTTAAAGATTATTGCATGTTGTTTACTGTTTCAGTTATATCCATTGATTAAAGAAATCAATTAGAGAAACAATAGATGCTTCGTGAGCAGTACATTTTGCTTTGTTTGTCATTTAACTTGATTGTCTAAAATGCTTGAGCAATCCTTGTGTCCTTGCATCGAACAAGACAACGGATAAACATGTGTGCTTATTCTTATCAGGTTATTCTGGAATACGGTGTGAAACAGGCTGGAAACCTGTTTAGGATCATTATTATTCGTAGGTGATTAGGTGAACATGGTTGGGCCATCACGTGCAATATACCACCTGCGTGTATGTGCACATACTTTAGCGTGTGAAGTCTATGAAGGTGGAAAGAAGTCCCTTATACGTGCGTTGCACACAGTAAAGCAATTATATATTTCGATTACACTTCTCTTTTATTATGTTTAGTGGACCGATTCGTATTTAGCACCTTCACATATCTTTCGAACATGAATAGATATAACACATAGGCCCGAATTAGTTTATGTGCGTCATATGCCGCGTTTCGACGCGTTCTTTACAAACCTGGTTTGTAAAAACGCATCAAAACGCGTTATATGACGCACATAAACCTAGGTTTGTCGACAAACCTCCTTTGTGAATTCGGGCCTTTGTGTTTTTAGAATTACTTCTGTAAATTAGAGTTTTTACAGACGTGAATCACTCAGATATAATTATTTACGTGTAGGGACCGACCTTTAACGTCACCATCCGAAATACCAACTCACATCTTCTCATGAAGTAATAAAGATGCTTTATGAATATATTTTGTTTTTCTTCTTACGAATGAATGCCCACTTCCCCTGTTTGTCGTGGAATGCACTAATGCTGCGTAAAAGAGCTATGATTGCATGATTTTCATGAGCATGTATCCAGTTTTTGTCTCAGTAGGGTCTAAATAGAAGTCCTCTGCTACATTGCTAATGTTTTTTAATTCATGTGTTTTTATCCAAAACCCCTAGCTTTTTATTTAATTAATTCACGTGCTATGCACAAAAGCGTATCCATGGATGATATGCCGTTTGCAAACATTTGTTCTTTCTATGACTAACGAGCATATGACAGCCTTACTATTATCAAAATAAAGTTTGCTTAATGAGGGGTTTGATAACCTGATGAACCGTACAACCATGTTTACAATAATCATTTGCGCAAAGTAAATATATGGAGTTTTATATATAACCATATTCTATTAGTCTTCCTTATTCAATATATATATATATATATATAGATATATGCATTCATTTTATATTTATATTTATACATAAATTTTTCTGGTGGGCATCATATCAGGAAAAAATCACAATATCCAGTATTATAATAATAATCTTCATCTCAAAAAGTTATGTACACTCATAAATTAATCATAATTGGATTTGAGCAGCTTAAATGACATTTTTTCTTTTCTTTTCCATTTCACAATTTCGATCACATTGATAATATGAGCTGAATTTTGGAGAGCACAGTGCAACAACCATAAACTGTTATTTGACATGTGGCCTTTTATTTTCATTGTGAAAGATCCCGTTATTTTTAAATCATTAATTGAAATCCAGAAATGGCCAAAGTCCGATTTAGTTTATCCCATCGATACCTTATGTTTGTAATGAGATAATTTTTTCCGTAGCTTTAATCAGACGAAATATCAAGGAAAATTATACTCTTTAATGTTAAGTTTGTCCAGAATGTTATGGATTTATTGTGCATTTCGCAACTCTGACTCTGATCGTGATCTACTGTGTGTCAAAAGATAATTAGAACAGTGATAATAGCGACAGCATCAAGTGGTTTAATATAATGATCAGACCATGTTCGAATGCTTTTGGTCACGAATTATACATGGGGTGGAAATAACGGAAGGATTTGCACCAATGTGTGGCCATGTGCCTTGTATTTACTGAACCCCCTCCCTCCATATAAACACGTAGGCCCGAATTCACAAAGGAGGTTTGTCGACAAACCTAGGTTTGTGTGCGTCATATGACGCGTTTCGACGCGTTTCAAACCAAGGTTTGTACAGTCTCCTTTGTGAATTCGGGCCAAAGAGCGCTGCTGCTCGTAAGATAACCTTCTACGACAAACGGTCACATCACGCCATTTCTCAAAGCACTCCATTGGTTGCCTATAAGTCAACGAATTCTTTTGTTTTTATTACATTGTTCCCATGGCTCTGCTCCACAGTACAATATCACTTTGATAAATCATTACATTCCGTCCAGATCTTTACGCTCTAAAAACTCCGGGCTTTTCTAGTTTTTCATAAGGCTCAATACTATATAAGTGGGGGAAAAGTACTTTTGCTCATGCAGGGCCTTCGATGTGGAATGTTATCCCTCGAGAGATTTGTAATAGCAGATGTTGAAGTGTTTGAAATTAATCTTAAAACGTATCTGTTCAATTCGGCATATAATTAATTGTTCTGTCATTAATGTATGAATACCTCATTCTGTTCATTTGTTCATAATGCAGAGGCTTTTATATGATCCCTGTTTAATGTTTCAAGTGCACCATTCGATTTCAAGTGGATTCGGCGCTTTATTAGTATCTTTTATCATTATTTGTTTTAATTATTATCCATTTTATTCTTCCAATTATTATTATAATTGTTATTGCTATTATTGTTATCATCATAAGGACATTTTTTAATTATATCATGCAATCATAGACTTAATACGAATTTAAGGATGGAATTTTGGCATAATTGGTTTATGTACTTGAAAATTCAGCACAAAACATACAAAGTCTACTATCTTTATTTCATACCGGAGCAAGATGTGCATCATAGCATTTCTCATCTCGTACAACAAATATCAACTTGGCTAGAAATGTTGCCTTTATAACGTTTACCTCAGTCTAGAATTCCTATCGCGAGTATCTGACACCTGTAGCTCAGCATTTGTTATGACAGTTGTTGAGCAATGATACCCGTGGCCTTGGCTAGCTTTACAGGAACCTCTTGGCAAAACATTGCTCCAAGACGGATCTCACACCATTCGACAGTTGTCCGACGCCACTTATTTTCATTTCATAGACAAGGAGAATGGGTTGTTGTTTTGATACTACCCTTTAGTGTCGTTGTGTTCCAAATATATCTGTCATTATGTACAATGAAATATATTTACAAAAAATGACGTAAAAACCCAGTGTTTGTCAAAAGAGGAACTTACCTAGTCATACAAATTTGCAAGAAGTTTAGGAACGAAGAGAAAATAGAACGGACGTGAACGAGAGTATAGACGCAATTTTTCAATGTATCGATTCAAGTTTTGGGATTATAAATTACTACTCTGGAGTGCTGCAGTAATATTGCACTATTGTGACAAATCGTGTGCTGGCACTATTTGATGTAGATCTAGAATTTGATTTTTGATTGGCACATGAACCAACATTGCAATTATGGGATTAAAGTGGATGCCGCTTAGGTCATTCTTAATCTACCTACTATGCAAGTGCGTTGTTTCTCAAACTGGTCCGTATACAATTCGATGTTTCTGAATTCCCTGTAGATACAAATTGTGGGATAGTTACATGACATACTTTTTAGATTGCTAAAGTGATCAAACCTTATATATATATATATATATATATATATAGAAATTTAGAATATTAGAATATATCTCTGTTTTCACTGTAAATATTCATGTTGCTCTATTCATTCGCTTCATACCATCTGGACTGTTGTTATATACAAATTTATGCAAATTTATACGGGTAATCTTAGTTTTTACAATGCAAATTATCAAATTAATGTTATTTGTAACATTATTATAATGAAATTGACTCTAACACTGCCCTGTATTGGAACACAATCATGGGTATGGCATTAAAAGATTGGGAAAATAAAAAAAATGCACATCAAAATGTTCCCTTGTAGCATTTACATGAATTCCATGGATTGCAGCTTGCAAATTACAACAACATACCAAAATTCTGCGAATTGTCATATAACAAATGTCTTGAAATATGTTCATTAGTTATTCAAATATCAATGAGTTCAAACAATAACACGGCAGAGTTATTTACTTTTTTCTATTTTTTTTAACAGATGATGACGACTGTCGAAATGGCCCTTGCTTAAATGGAGGTACTTGTGTAGATGGACCTAGTAGCTTCACTTGTATCTGTGCACCAGGGTTTACTGGAAATATGTGTGCAGTTCGTGAGTTGAATATATCATCCTTATTATTCTTTTAAGTGTTTATCAAATAATAAGGTTCATAAGGTTCAACAAATTAATCTTTACTGTTCGTACTTTTAGCGATAGAATTATATCCACATGGTATAGTAGTTACATCTTGACATATGGGAGAAAAAGATGTTAAGTTTCACCTAAATGTGCCATCTACGAACACCAAAGTTTATACCAGAGTAGTGTAGTTTTATATCATTTTCAAGAAGGCTTCTATTTCCATTAATATATACAACAGGCTTAAATACAAAGAGCACCAATATCGACCTTATGCAAGAATTGAACATGAAATTCCTATGATTTTTAAGTTTTTCATAGCCACGTCACAAAGAAACATTTCCCCCCGTTTATGTTGGAACGGCATTTTGTGTGAATGTGTATTTCATATCTACATCTCATATGTTAATTTTATTCTTGAATTTTTTTTTTGTATATGGAAGTATTCAAATATTTGTAAATGCTTAACAAAAACAAAAATTAATGACTTTTTTCTCCATGAAACAGAATTGAACCCATGCCTTTCAGACCCGTGTTTTAACCAAGGGACATGTGTCAACAGAGTAACGTCATTTGAATGTGCATGTGCTGTTGGCTTCATTGGAATAAGATGCGAAACAAGTAAGAGATTAAAAGAAACATATCATTGTAGAAATGCCACCAAGAAATCCATTTGTTCGAATTGAGTTTTGAATATGATAAGCAAGCTTTCACCCACATATATAAAATATGGCTCACTCCCTTATCAATTCTTTGTGTGGAACGATAAACATGCTCATGGAGGAGGATTATTCTTGAAAGAAAAAAAAAAATCATTTCTCGATTGCTTAGGATGACAAGAGTTGATGTGTTTTCTTCAAACCTTAAATGAACACCCAGGGGATAGCTCTGACAAGACAGGAACAATAAACCCTGTCGAACCTTACATCAGAATATCCATGAAAAATATCTCTGACTTATCAAAATTCAACAGTAATTAGTATTCTCACCCATATTAATTTTTATCAAATTTTAGTACTCCCCAATTTAAAGACAATTACGTGAATGTGTGAAAAACTCTTCTTTATTTAATCGCGGTAGAGGTTTACGGTACACCATGTGTAAAGTCCTAGAAGGACTAAGGAAAGTGGATAGAAAATAGAAGTGAAATGGAAAGGCGAGAAAGTGGAGGTTGGAAGGAAGGGTATCTTTCGGAAGTGGGTATAGTCCTGAAAAGGACTGTAAACCAGAAAGTTGTAGACATGATGAGAGGTTTGAGTAGAAGACTGGATTGAGTTGGAGAGTTGAGTAGAGTTGCAGAGCAGGAGCAGGAGAGTAGACTCGACGTTTCGGACAGGTTGACTGTCCGTCTTCAGGAGTGAGTGAGTCCTTCCTTAGTCCTTCTAGGACTTTACACATGGTGTACCGTAAACCTCTACCGCGATTATTCATACCACCATGCAAACCTTCAAACATCATCTTCTTTATTTGTAAAGATTTACTTCTTTTCTCAAAGCTAACTTGTGTATTAAGATAAATTAAAAGTTCAAAAATTCTAAATACAAACAAATGTTTGTTCACTCATTCTTTGATCACATTTATTGATCATGAACTCCATGGGCTAAAAAGATTAATAGCAACGTCATGAAGAATACTGATTTCAAATATGACGTCAACTGCTTCTTGGAGCACTAGATCTGCCACAGAACGAATAAATTGTAACAAGGCTTTACAAACATAAACAGTTGCTAAGAGTTTTCTGTATACGAATAGCCTCACTTCAAATATTACAGTTAGACTCGAATATACTAAATGTTGAGTTAATATATATATATATATGTGCTGTCATATATTTAGTAACATGATATTATACGATAGTAACATTCATTTTCTGGGATAAATCAAATGAAATCATAACTTTTTTGTGTCTAACCTCATCGAATCCAAATGAGGTCAATCTCATACTATTTCAGAACCGTAAATAGAGGGAAAACTATTAGTTTTGTCAAAGCATATTAGGGATAATTTTCTTTGTATTTCACTCCAAATTACAGTAGAATCCACTCCAACGTGGTGGTTGAATATTATACTCCTTTGAGAGTGGGTTCCGCCATACCCGCCCCCAGAGAGTTGGTTAGCACTCCATCAAAGCAAACCTTAATAAAACTTATACCATGTATCACTAGAGTGTACTATATCGTGTGCCACTTGACAATTGCAAAATGTGAAGATGAACTTTACAATACCAGGGATGTAGCAAAAGTGTGTTCTATTTGTCTTGAATAGATATCAACGAGTGTGCAAGCATTCCATGTGCAAATGGGGGATCCTGCAGGGATGGCGTCAATCAGTATGTGTGCTCATGCACTACTGATTTCCAGGGTTCTAGATGCCGAATAGGTGAGTGCACGTCATTTTTTAACATTATCATTTTTTGTATAAAGGGTTATGTGTCCAGGCGCGTACGCAGGATTTTTTCAAGGGGGGGGGGGGTTTAACATTTATAAATTGGACCGAAAATTTCGCAACGAGTCAGCCAGCCGCTGAATAAGCGGGGGAGGGGGGGGGGGGGGGGGGGGGTAAGAGGTCACTTTTTTTTTTTGGGGGGGGGGGGTCACGACATTTGAAAATTTGACATTTTGCTCCGTTGGGGGGATGGGTAAGGTCAGCTTTTTTAGGTCAACCATGGGAATAATTTTTTTTTTAAAAATCAAAAAGGGGGGGGGGTTAGAGAAATTTAGGGGGGTTTACACAAAAAAAATTACCAAAGGGGGGGGGTTTAACCCCCCAAATCCCCCCCCCCCCCCTGTGTACGCGCCTGTGTGTCGACCAGCAAACTGAGTATATATTGTGCCTTGCCCCCAAAGTACACCAATGACCATGCATTTAAAAAAAAATATCTTATGGTCTGTTTGCACAACCCTTTCAAGCTGCTTGGAAGAGGACGACATTTCTTTTTCTCTCTTTGTTTAATGTGCAAGTTGCTACAAAAACTTGTAAATGCTATGTTGAAAAGTGAGGTTATATAATAATAATCATCATCATAATAATAATAATTGTGGCTTCTTATGTAGCGCACATTTCCGTCACATCGTGACGCTCCTGGCCATTCATGTTCCCATTTGGTATTTTACATCGGCAGTTAAAAATGTGAAAGAGGTTTATAAATATGAAAAATCGATATAATTTACTCGTTGAACAAACGATATGGTTCAATATTGAAGACATGTATCACATATTGGAGATTACGTAATAATGGCTATAACATGTATCATTCTTTACTGAAATCTGAAAAAAATAAAAACTTTTCAATTAATGTTTGTGGAATCTTAAAAACAAATTTGCTATCAATGTATCAACTTTTCGTAATGTATTGATATAATAATCTGGAAAAAATGAGACATATTCAGTTTACCTTTTTATTTTTATTCTTGAAATACAAGTACTGGATTGTCTTTTCTTTGCCTTGTGTTTAAAGGGATAATAAATTGAATTGAGTGGAAAAATGTATGCAGCCAGTAGGATAGACCAGTTGCAAGAAGAGTTGAGAACAGTTTTTCGGCAATACTAAACCGATCATACTGGTACTAGATCCTAGGGAGAAAAAAAGGGTATTCATACTCGATGTTTTTCATACAAATTTTTCTTCCGATTAAATTGACACAGGTAGAAACATACCCCTCACTGCAACTCCAACAACCACTACACTAAATTTTGACTGGCCGGCACAGCCTGGAGTCACTCTATATGGGATATCTCTCCAAAGTATCGACGGAAGCTCCACGCCACCTGCCCAAACACTGCCAGGCTCTCAGACGTCTGCAACATTCACGGGACTTGAACCGGGGAAAACCTACATAGTTACTCTGGAAACTACTGCGGATGGGGTTGACTACCCACTCAGTGAAGATTTTGGAACAACAATCCTTCGTAAGTGAATAAATCAAACCACCAGGAACCCCCCCCCCCCCCCCCCCCAAAAAAAAAAAAAAATAAATAAATAAATAAATAAATAAATAAATAAATAAAAAATGTACCGTTCTGATGTAGACTAGGTACTTGTAATTCCGGCGCATCTAAAGATAGTTTGAGCCATTTACGCTTTGAAATTGACAATTACCAAAACAGACACCATGATGGTACAAAATAATAACAAGAAAATCGAGAAATTGTTTGGCCAATGAGAAAGCTAATGATTAAATGAAACTTCGAGAGAATTAGAGCATATTTGTCATTGGTAAGTCAAATCATTCTGGTGTACTTAGCCAGGCAATGACTAAGTCTGATTTTGCCAATTGAGTTATTTTTTTTCTAAACAGGTTAGACGAGTGGATTTGAACCATAATCGTCTCTCTAGAAATGTACGTGTGATAATTTGTTATGAAGACATTAACTGTTTTGCATGTATTTCCCCTTTTCCCGTAGCTCCATGTAACATTTCACCTTGTTTCAATGGTGGAACATGTCAGGATCAACCTACAGCTGCTCGTGGTTTTATTTGCCAGTGTACAAGTGCATTCACAGGGGATTTCTGTGAACAGGGTAAGAGTTACCAAGTCAGTATGATATAATAATAATTATAATGATAATAATGATAGTAATAATAATAATTATAATACAACTGATAATAATTAAATTAATAAGAATAACAAGAACAGCAAAAACAACACTTATAATGATGATGTTAAGGTGTTGTGGTCTTAGTGGATAAGTCGTTGGATTGTGTATCACAGTGTTCGCGGTTCAAGTCCTTCCACAGCACTAATGTCGTTGGCAAGATATTAATTACATTTGCCACTCTCTACCCAGGTGTTAAATGAGTACCGGTCGGAAGGAATTTCTTGAATGCTGTGAGCGCACAAAATCGGCTGCCTAGCAGAGCCGGGGTGATAGTTGGAGCGCCTTGAGCACCATGCATGGTGCATACGTGCGCTATATAAATATCCAATATTATTGTTTTTGTTATTATTATTGTTGTTAGTAAAATTATTATTATCATTATTATTATTGTAATAATAATAATGATTACAGCAATAACGATTATAATACTACTACAACTTCTACTACTTCTATTAATACTAATATCGATAACAATATTAACAGCATCAGCAATTAGTTGGGCATAATTATCCGGGATAGCCTCATTATTATTAATACTATTTTCCCCCAAGGTCCCTGTAAACGTAAAATTAATTTTCGTTTAGCTCGATCAGGCTTTAGCTTGGCTACCATGACAAGGTGCACGTGCATTAAATGAATTTCTTCCTACCAGGTACAGGTACAAGATATTTGTGCTGGGGCAGGGATCATTTTTCTTATTTGTAATATAACCTTTTCAACATTAATTTCTGTGGCCAAATGTAAAAATAAACCAACCTGGAGATTGAGAGATTTCTGTATTTAAGTATACCACTAAGTTTCAATATTTGATTCTTTCTGAATATATTTAAAAACTCATTAACAAAATGAAATAGCAACAATAGATAACAATGTTTGAGTATTTATAATAGTAGATTCAACTGGAAGATAAGACTACATTGATGTTTATCGAAATATGTTACCGTATAATAAAAGTTCTGTTAGTGTATATGTCCAAACTAATTGCAAAGTGATTGCATATGGCTACGATAAAAAAAAATCTCCCATAACCTCCCATTTTTTAGCTTGTATTGTGAAATAAAAAGATTGTCGTAAATCACATTTCATACTTTCTTTAAATTTCTGTTTTTCAAGATGTCAACGAGTGTAACCAAAACCCATGTGTGAACGGCCAATGCATCAATACATTTGGCTCTTACATCTGTATTTGTGAGTTGGGCTTCCAAGGCACAAACTGTGAAGAGAGTAAGTATTCTCCCTTTTTTGAAAATGCTGAAGATATCATGATTTATCAACAGGGACATGTATAGCTGGTGTTTTGCTTATTTTCGCTATCTCAGTAGTATAATCTTTATACTAGTTAATGTAGAACCAAGATAAATAGGAGAAAATGTCATAAAATAATTGATTAGAGGACTTAATTAAAGCCTTTGAAAACAAATTTGAGTAGGTGTTGGTCTCCTGTCAAACATTCTCAATACCCATGTTTACGTTATCATCTAGAGGTAGAATATCTTTGATTGACAATCTAGTGGGTTAAGAATATTGCATGGACTTCCTCATTGTAATTAATCATCTAATTAACAGATATCAACGAGTGTCTGAGCAACCCTTGTCGAAATGGAGGAACGTGTGAAGATCTGGCCAATCGATATGTATGTGAATATGCTCTTGGATTTACCGGTACCAACTGTGAAACCCGTGAGTAATTGGATAAATAGAGAATTTTGTTAAAAGGAATGTAGAAATAATCTCTATAAAATACTATTTGCATACATGTGTGTAATTTATACGCATTTTCAAACTGATCTATTTTCGGAGTGAAATATGTCTTTGTAGACTTTAAATAGATATAAGCTCTTTCTTATATCCCTTTATGACTTTATAACTCAATGTTTTAGTTTGCACATTTCTTTTTGCGACTAGAGTCAGCTATGCTCTCTTGGTAGAACATTCAAAGTCTGCTAGGAAGCTTTACTTTACACCACATAACATTTGCTAGTTCGTTCCTCTTCTCAATGAAAGACGTTCACATTTTGTTTTGTTATGACTAATATTTGATTTAGAGGTGGATGTTTGCGACAGTGGACCTTGCCCCAACGGTGCCACGTGTCTAAATGCAATTACTATATTCATATGCCAATGTGCACCCGGATTCCAAGGCACGCGATGTGAAACAAGTAAGTTTTATACTCCATTGTTTTATATTCATATTTAGAGAGAATTAGCATAATAATCATGTGAACAGGAAATAATAATGTGAAGATAGCGTTGTGACACAAGACAATAAATATCAGCATACTTAAATAAGAAGTAGAAGATGATATAGATTAATCATTGTTTTGGATTAGATATTGAGCATTACTTTATGCATAGCTCTTTGTTTTGTGTTAATGATATGTGAAAATTCAATGTTTTAGAAAATTCTGAAGGTACCTATTTTGTTGTACTGTTCTGGTGTTTTTCCTTTTCAAATTCACATTTCATTTAATAAAGTAATAAATAAAGTATCCTTGTAAAAAAAAATACAAAGACAAATACATACATAGTTTTATACAAAGTTGCATCTTTCAAAATTGAATAAAAGAATGACACTAAAGGGAACACACACACACACACAATAGAAATAAAGAGTAGTCGTTTACAGCTTTGCTTATAGCATTTACATATGGCCATCTACGATTTAACATCCATGCGATGTTCAAAGGTCTTTCAACTCCTCTACGTTCCAACACTCCAATATACTCTAGGCTACATGTCAATATGCAAAGACCCCTCGGCATGAATACATATCTAAAACATTGGAGTGTTAGAACGTAAGGTCGTCACTGATAATGCAAAGAAGATTATACTTGTATACCTCTGAATAAGATGAAAATGAGTCATAAGTGAAAGGTGTTTATTTTAGGAAGAGCTATGCTTTTTTTTCTTTTAAAGATATTAACGAATGCTCCAGTCAGCCATGCATAAATGGAGGGACATGTTTGGACGATACGAATAGATACACCTGCATGTGTCTACCAGGCTTTGAGGGAACCAGCTGTGAAAGAAGTAAGTTCCAAACAGAGCTGCATTTTTCCTCGATAACATGTTTATTAAAGCTGTAATTTTAAACAATTTTCAAATCTTCTCTATGAAGAGTAACAAATCTAATGTGGGCATAGGGAATCAGTAGGCCTACATTCATTCAACGAACAAGAAAGTGTTCAGTATTGTTAACATCAAGCTGTGTTATCCCTTCTTTTTTTACCAGGAACTGATACTTGCATTAGTAACCCTTGCCAGAATGGAGGAACATGTATCAATAGTGTTGGATTTTACATTTGTCAGTGTGTTCCAGGCTTCCAAGGCACCAACTGTGAAACACGTAAGTAAACGATGAAATACAGAAAGAAAATTATTTGCCCCTGAATGGTAGTAATGATACTGAGAGTCAATGGGTCGCAATACCTGGATTGTTAGTGATTACAGGGAAATATATCTGTAGAAGTTTATAAATATATATATATATACTTCCGGGAGATAAATATTACTGTCCAATAAAATACTAGCAAGTGTTATTCAAACATGTTGACGATTCGACATTCAATCTATCTATCATGAGAGAGAGCGCTTAACCGGCAGCCACATCATTTTTAGGTTTCTCTGCAATTTTCGTGATTTTGACCGACAAGCTATCTGATTGCTGTCATATTTGTCTACAATCGTGTGTGAATTGCAATAGTGACCTCGGAGGAATTGTTTTTGGAGTGATAATAACTAATGTTAAAGTGTATTTTGGAGGGCAAATCATCCGAATTTGCTGTCAATCATGGGTATGTACATGTACATGAACACAGTATGTTCCCGTATTGCTTTGACCGTGTACTAGCTCAGTACGACCCAAGCGAACAAAGGACGATTTTAGCTGACCAATACCTAGTAGCGAAGGTAGTAAAAGACTTAATATGCTCTGATGGATATGCACAACGTTTGTGTGCTCTTCCTTCTTACACTGCGTATAGGTATTTGTGTGCGTGAACGTTTAATAATAATAATAATAATATTCAGCTTTTATATAGCGCGAATCACAATTAAGTCTCTAAGCGCTTCCAAACATGGATATTATTACCCCGGCTTTAGCTGTGCTGCCATTATAGCGCTCTAGCATTTCAAGGAATAAATTCCTACCAGGTACTGTAAAGTCTCATTTTCAACATGGCACTTATGTCAAGCCGATTGCTAAAACTCAGAAACAGATTCGTGCAATATTGTAACATGACGAACTATTGTATAATTTGCCTTAGTCCATATTATGTTGGCATGTAATTATGTTTATACCTTTTTTCTTCTTTCTTTGGTAGAAATTATGTTCATTAAGTGTTTTTTAATTGTTTATTGTATTTAGGCAGTAGTAACGTGACACGTTTAAATAATTTTTAACTAAATGTTATGTAAGTTTTTTACAATGTATATATCCAATTCATGTAATGCATGTGCAATTCAGTTGTGAAACTGCCATTCATGAAAGATGGAATAAAATACCATTTATCTATCTATCTATCTAAAACCCATCACGCAGAATCAATAGATCCCTTGACACAATCATCGGCTTTCACTACGAGACCTGTTACAACAACTGAACCTAAAGCACCAATTAACTGTAAGTGATATGCTTGTGTATTTTAACGTTGTAAAGTTTCTGCCTTAAAAAGGAGGGGGCAATGAAATGAATGGAATTCGGGGAAATTTGTATGTGCATGTACCTCCTTTTAAAAAGGTATGTATTCATCAGGCGTCTTGGAGTGTGGTTTTTCATTGAGCACGATCAGTACTCCTATACAGATAGATATAAACACCTATGTTTTAGAGAGACTGCATTTCTGGTATTATTTTTTTAAATAATTTTTATTAGCCGTCACCGATTAGTATATATTATGTTTTTATTACACATTACTCGCTTTTTACTGCTTTTATAGATACCATCTACATCTTAATGGCGGCTGTTGTACTTCTGCTTATCCTGGTCATTTGTTTCCTCCTATGCTACGTGAAAAAAATAAAGAGGTAATTTTTTTGTTCATAAGATGGTGCTGTTGTTATTGTTGCCTACGAACACAATTCATATCTGTCAATTTCATAGCTTATATACCTTAGGCTACGTGGATTTATGGCAAAATTGATACTGCTGCGCTAGATTTCAAAGGAGAATCGACACCTTGATTAAATCCCTTCCTCAGATATGACCTGTCGCGGACCAATTTTTCATAAAATTTATGATAATGTACTGTTCATAGATGATTTTTTTAATAATTAGCAATTTTCTAGGTGTAATTTTTTTTGGACTCACACTGTAGAATTGTATAAAAAGAATACTTACAGTTCTATTATACATGTTTATATGGACTCATCGATATTACACTGCAGAAGTCCTGCTTGAAGCAAGGAATGCTAATCATTTGAACATTATTGTTTTTGAAAATAGGTCGAGAGTTTTGTAATGATTTCACATAATAAACGCAGGACTGTTTACGTGATTAGCATGGTATGAGTATAATCTAGTAAAATTAATCTACATCCACATCTGAATTTGGCGTTTCTGTAGCTCATTTTCGATGCTTATTAGCTACATGGAACTTGATGATATTTAGTGTTATTTTAAGGTAATTTCTGTTTACATCTAAGACCAGCATCAAGTCAGAACGACGCCAGAAATGAGACGACTGCTGCCGGAGAACGCCGCTCAGACGGAGTACAACTAGACCATGCATATGATTACCCATCAGTTGAACTTCGACCTTTACCTTCAACACAAGCATCAATACAATACGGCACCAGGATTGAGAGGACTGATGACGGAGAAGACCGCTCAGACGAAGGACAACTAGACCATACATATGCAGAACAGCCTTACATGGATATTATATAAAAGGACGCAGTTATATATAACATGTTCGCAAAGACTTTCAACAAGTTACCTCAAGGTCAATTTTAATTGTATATCCCATAGAAGTTACGTGCAGATTTAAGACGTAATTGTTATATTCGCACATTTCAAAATGTGATGTTCAGGGCCACTGAAATTGCCTCGTGTTGATTTTCCGAAAGTCGTTTCCGAAAGTTTTTTTAATATTGAACTATACGTTGAATATATGGATTTTTGACAACAGTTAACACTTCTCATTTTTTATTTAATTTCGTTTCTGGACTTCAAGATCTTGCACATTTCATGTTCATTAAATCATTGATCATTTATTTTTTCTTTGGAACCTTGTCAAAAAGTATTCATCGCAACGCGTCCCTTTCGGTTAAAGACAGTTCAGGTTCTTCGTGATCTGCGAACGCGCGGTAGCATAAATAAATTTCGTGGTTGTGGTCAATACAATATAAAGTAATGGATTAATTTTCATCTAAAAAAGTCACTTTGAAGAAATGACAGAGTAAAAAAAAAAGACTTAGAGATTTAAGAATTTTTTCTGTACAAATTTAAAATGATTTATAGAAATCAAAAACATTAGATAGTGATTAAGATTCTTTGTATTCGTTCTATTCTATTATTTACCAATTTCTAATATATATATATATATTTTGTGTATTGTTTCATTTCTCTATTTTTACATGCTCTGCTATTTAAGGGTGATATCTACTACTCTGTTTACTTAGATCAAAAGATTAACGAATCAGCGTAGCATTTGAAAGCACTTCTATTTGTATGAAAAGCTAGGTATTTCATTTCAGTACAGTTCTTAGTTTGTTAACAGTAATCGTTTGTTTTCGACTTTCGTTTTTTTTTCTTCTTGGACACTGTACAACATCTTGTAATGTTGTGATGTGAATTCCGTCGAGTCAAACATTATTGTAGGTACTTTGAGGATCATTCTAGTTGCTTTGAAGTGAATTTGGAAGGAAGAAAACCAAAGGTCTTTCGACACCTAATGCTCAATAGCTATTAAAGTGCTCAGACTTTGGAATATATTTGTAATAATTATAAGAATCATCATGTATGCATCGATGTATAATTATATATATTTGTATCGCTGTACTATGGTGTACAAACTATGGCATGGGAAATAACAAGGATATAATTTAACTTTAATTTTCACTACACTCGAGAAATCACCAAGTGCGAGTACAAGTGAACTCGTGTACAGTTGCATAGATTAATTGCCTTTGGTAAAACACCAAACGAAAAAGATCGTTTTAGTAACGTAATCAAAATATCATTCATACGTTTTCGTGAAGTTCCAAAATATTCTATTCAACTTTTACGAATAATTGTATTTCAACAGTCACAATTTAAATTGCATACATAATTTGTTGCTAGGTAGGACATAACTGATGCATATGGATACATAGGTTATATTGACATGTGCTAATGCGTAAATGAATATCAAAAAGCGCGTCCCGAAAATATATAAAATGCTGGTAAGGTTACGTATGCCCCATCCAGTTAAAGTTATGATCGGCAAACCCTCAGACTTGTTTGATGAGAACGTGGTTCAACATTATTCGTGTTAGAACATTTTCTGCCCGGCACATGTTCCTATTTAGAACACGTTCAGATTACTTAAACCGACGAGTGCCGAAAACATAATGTAAACGCACAGCGAGACAAACGCTGGATACGTGTTCATGAAAGTCGTCCCTGGAGTTGCCTGTAATACTTGACAAAAAACAAGTAGTCAATCCAAACGGCACCGGTGTCGACCCACTTAACACATTACCTGGCGAGACTTCTTCTATGTGTAGGGTTGACGAATTTGCTTTGACTGTTAACAAATTGTATGTTAATTAAATAGCATTGGCATTCGACTTCATGTGGTGAATCAATGTGCATGTATTCTGATAGGTGGAATTATTCAGTTCAAGTCTTAATTGAGGTTTCAAAAAAACCGTGCCCATTCAAAATTAAAAAACAAACGTCGCGCTTGTAAGCACGAGAATGTCTTCTGAGTGATTATTGGGGCTCTCCTGTTTACTATTTTAGCAGATAAGTATTACATAACTCAAGAAAATCTATGTATGATGCCAAATATGTAAATAGATAGTCTTGCAGAATTATAAACTCAGCTGAAACGCAGCTGAAAATACATGTCAAGAAAAAAGTAAGCGAAAAAATTTAGTTTATGAAAATAGATTAATTACCAATTATGACAAGATAGGAGCATCTTAAAAGGATCGTAACGAGAATTGCAATTATATTCAGATCGATAGTAATATATTAAGATGTTTATACTAAGAGGCTCAAAAGAAAAATTACAACGATACTCAGATCAATAGTAATAGATTATATGATCATATAAAATGATTATTGCATATTCTATTGCCTTTAATTTCATCATCATGTATACCCAGTACAATAATTTAAGTTATGTTTTCTTATTGTTCTAATATTCCATTATCTGTAATATCTGTATTTTTTATAGATCAAAATAACTTAGTGCTCTGTGGTAGACAAATTTGCATTACTGCATAGTCGACCCTGATTTCGGATTATGAACAAAGAAATCAGTTACTAAAACCAAGGGGTCGTGATATATTTGCATTCAGAGGAAGAAAATCAAGTTGTGAACGAATGCAGTTGTGGATACTAGACCGAAAAGGAGATGATAGAAAGAAGTGGAATGAGGAGTATTAAGTGGGTCGAGAGGAAGAGAGAGAAAAAAAGTGTAGGAAATGAAGGAGAAAGAAGAGATAAAAATGGAGAGGGGAGGGAGAGACCCGGCAAAAGTCCCAAAGTATCCTCACGTTTCTTTTTTTTTTTTTTTTAGTTCATCTTCATGGCCTCCACTTTCAAAAAGTCAAATAATCTTTTGTTTTGTCCACGATTATAACTTCAATTTTCTTTAATTAAAAAGTCTTATTTCTCGGTTATTTCCGATCACAGAATGTGGTACAACTAATCCCAATTGTTGCTTTGATCGATACAATTTGGCCAATATAGCTAGGATTTCTATGATACCTAGAGGGCCGTTTATCGAAATCGTTATAAGTCTAACTTTTAAGACATCCCATGGATATCCACGAGCTTAGACATATGACGGCTTCGAGAAAGCGGCCCCTGCTTCCATGTCAGCGTTGCTGGAAAACTGGTTAACTTGCGATTACAAGTCTTTACTAATTGACGAGTGAATATAGAACTGGCTTCATTTCTTATCTGCAGTAATTTCTTCTCAATATCATTGCATGTTGTTTACTATTCAATTATATCCATTTATTTGAATAAAACCTAATAGACGCCTCGTGAGTAGGACATTTTGCTTTGTTTTTCATTTAACTAGATCGTCTAGAATATTTGGGTAGTCCTTGTGTAAATGGAGGCACTTGCATCAAACAAGTCAACGGATATACATTTGTGCTTTTGCTTAAAAATAATCACTTTAAAATCGTGATAAATCACTGTGATTACTGCCAGTAAAAAAGGTACTCACAAACTCAATCTATTGCATAATGATTGATATACACAATAATTATGTTAGTAAACCGGTCTATTTCGGGTAGCGGTGATTAGACGAACGGGATGCCTATTACGGCTAGGTGATATATATAATACAATTCATATTATCACCTAGCCCTTAAATATATCATATTTAATGTAAAAGTTCCATCGTACTACTGGAACATTCAAATCTATAGTATTTGATTTACTATGTTTAACAGTCAGCAGATAGAAGTGGCAATAGCTATTTTCATATCTAAATGAGCAGAATGACGTATTTTAGAACATCTAAAATAAATGCACATCGGAGCTTAAAATCTTAGTCTTGTCACATTTTGGGAGCAATTGGATTCCATCTCAATTTCTTGAAAATCGACATAAAAAATGATAACTAAATTTATATTCAAGACATATGACAAATCATCCCTTTTTATTTTAGAATAAATATAATAATCATTCCAATTTTCAAAAGCAGAAAACCATTAAAGAGAAAACTGATTTTAATCATCGTGATTGTTCAATTAAAACAATCATTTATTACGATCTTCATCAAGCCAATACTTTTCGGGTCCGGTACTGAAAAAAATGCACATACGATGATAAAGTATTGGATTGCTGTTACATTCAAAGTAATATAGACATATCCTTGATATGAATGAAAGTGATGTAACATGAAATTGGCATAAAGTATCCCAACTTCCCAACTTCCGAAGAGTCATTTTTCCGAAGGCTCGTAATTCCGAAATAAAAAATACCAGGGAGTTCATAATTCCGAAAACGAACCTTTGGAATAATATACCTTCCGAGTAACCATGGAGTTACTAGCCTAACTCCATGGAGTAACGAACCTTCGCATAAACGAACCTTCGGATGTATGAACCTTTGGAAAAAACGACATTTAACCTCCAGGGCACTGTCATGTGCTTTTAAATCAGTGGTGCTAAAGAAAAGGCCTATTTAATGTAGGTCTATGCGGAAAAGCACGTGTGTATACTGTATACTTAATTTGGATAGAGGCAAGATGTCACTTTCACTTGAAACAACGCAATTAGTTTTGGATTCTATAACTTTTCATTAAAAAGAAATTCCTGGTTGACACAAGATTCTCAGAACATATCTATGAATTCGTCGGCGTTATTATGAACCGACGAATTCGTCATATGTAATACTGTACAGATTTGTCGGTTAACACCAATGAATTGTTCCTTAAAGATAATCTTGAGTTCTGTTAAAGGTCGGATGACATCCAAATATAAGGTGATTCCTGTCGATGTGCAGGGCTGCATACATTTCACATTTAGTTATTGAAACATTTACATATATTTCATAGATGTTTTACATATTTGTTTAAATAATTTGTCCAGACCTGCTAAGCTCCACCTTAAAAAATGTTTCAGGTCTCATTCATCTTGTAACATCATCTGCCAATTATTAGTGAGTTAACAAAAGACAGTGGTTTGTTACTCCCCAGCTCAGGATATGCTTTTCCTGGTGAAGCTACAGCACGTCAGACATAGCAACTTCTATGTTGGTATTGTATGGTCTATTGTAAACAGGTGGTCTGCTATGGTTAAGCTTAACAAACACTCAAACAGTTTCTCTTCAGATTTACACCAATCGTTAATAAGCATTACGAAGACATGACTCTTGATAAAAAAAATCAAAGAAATTGTGTACGATTGCGGAGAAAAAGGCAAAATAAACATCGATTTCTATATAAAGGCCTGGTCACACAAAAGGGACGCATGGGGAACGCACGGCCAGCGCATTGGAAATTTGCAATTTTGGCCAGTGCATTGTCGTGCGCCCAACTTTTGTCGAAGCTACAGCGAGCTGACACCAAATGCATAGCGTGTTGCTAGCGCGCTGAGCGCATACAGGGCGCATACAGTGCGCATACAGACCGTACACAGAGCGCTCATGATAACAACTTCCACGAATGCACAGCGTGTTGCTAGCGCGCTGGACGAATGGTCCACGCATGCACCGCGTTCTACGACGCACGGCCCGCGCATTGGAAATCGGAAAAGGCCGTGTGCCTAACTTTTGTCATGATTTTGGAAAGCTAGCGAGCTGACAAAAAATGCACAGCGTGTAGCTAGCGCGCTGTGCGTATACAGGGCGTGTGCTCCGCGAATGTCTGGCGCTGGTCTAGCGCGCTCCACTCATGTCCGGCGTGCCTTTTGCGTGTACATTCATGCGTCGGGCTCCGCGAATGACGACGAATGCATAGCGCTGGTCCAGCGTTGGTCCAGCGCACTCGACGAACGAGTAACGAATGATGACGCACGCCTAGCGAACGACAACGCACTGGCCCAAATTGCAAATTTCCAATGCGCTGGCCGTGCGTCCCCCATGCGTCCCCTCTGTGTGACCGGGCCTTAACGGACGGGTCTTCTTTTTTTTTTTTTTACAAAACTCATTCAAATGCACTGTTTGGCTCCCTCTTTCGTCAGAAGCCCGATATATTATATTCCTCTCGGTGGGCAATTCATTCATCCGGAAAAGCGAAAAACCCATCTTGACTGTGTAGGCTACATGTATGTGGAGAAACTTGAATTTATTTATACGTGATTGTAGGAGACCAACCTTATTTTCAATTTCTCCCGATGCTTGTACTGAAACAACCTTACGCTCAAAATGAAATGGGAGAGAGAGAGAGAGAGGGAAGGAGAATTGATGACGTGGCAGTGTGTTTTCCGGAAAATAATGAATTGCCTCCTTTGTTTGAACACTGCTTTTCCATTTTAACACTTATTTGTGAATCGTATCATACTTTTATATTGCAGTGGCATTATTATGTATTTCAATGAATAAAAGCACACACTAATCTTTATTAATTATTCTAATACGCCATAAATAAACAGCCATATACTAGGGACTTTTAGATTTGCACGTCGACATAGTGGACGGCTACGTGTGACGTCCTTTTAAGGTACTGGTAGTGCAGGACGTGACAGCGCCTTAAAAGGACGTCACACGTAACAGTCCACTATGTCGACATGCATATCTAAAAGTCCCTATTCAAAGCTTTCTATGTAATATAGGAATTACATGTACAGAGATCTCTGCCATATACCAATACGTGACGATAATGATCTTTTTTGCCGAAAAGATAGTTGAATGGACACAAACATAGGTCACTATTTTTCATTGTGTGTCTAGTCTAGGAATATTGTCCCATGGCCATCGGATTTTTTGTTTGTTTTATGAATTGAACTTTTTGTTGAATTAGACACGCAAATTTACCACTGTGTGATGTTTTTTTTCAAAGGGTTGGTGGGGAAATCCCATTTCAAAACAAATCGCAGTCCAACATGAATTCTCATATCACCTTCTAAAGGAAAATATCATATCGACAAATTAGTATCTTCTTTACAGAGTCAAGTGCAAGGTGCGTTTAGTCATAGAAACCTATAGTTTCCCTTAAATACTCATTTTCTAGCACTGCAGGAATCAATTGTGACTTTTAATGATTAACATGGTAAAATAGTCGAGCGCTGAATAAATATTTTGTATGTAGGCCCATTCTACTGCCAAACATTAACATTAGTACTAGTTTAAAGCCAGTAGGCAATTATTGTTTACTGAATTTTCCCTTGGGTAAATATTAAAAATCATGACTCTCATATTGTAGCTATTGTTTTAATAATTGTTTAGGGTTCATTATTGGTAAGACATTACCCTGTAAAATGATATTATACTCTAAACAACAGTCTTAAAGTTGCAATAGGAGCTCTGAGTAAAAAAATATTAATTCCCTTTATTATAAGTAGGTGACTTATATCAGAAAACTCTGTAATCAGTTTCAGTTAGAGGACGTAAACAAACGAAAGACAACAATTGTGTGAGCCCATCGGGAAAAAGACACGTGAGCACTGAGGGTATCGCACTAATGCTACAATAGTTTAAATAGGGGAAAGGGGACGTTACAAGAAAAGAAAGAAAATTAAAAAAAAAAACAGTTGTGGTATAAAGTTCTCGAATTTTAAAATCGACCGACGAGAGAACATTATAGATAAGGTCATAAATTTCAGATCTGCAGACAAGACAATTTGTTAGAAAAACTCACCCCCCCCCTCCAATTTTGTATAATTTATTTTATTTGAGCGACGTTCCTGTACAGTAAGCTATTAGTAAGGACTTTTAGATTTGCACGACAACGTGGATTCTATGTGTGACGTCCTTTTAGGGCACTGTCAGTGGCTTAAAAGGACGTCACACGTAACAGTCCGCGCAAATCTAAAAGTCCAAGACAAGAGTCTAACAAGAGCTCCGTGTGGACCTTACACGCAAAAAACTGAGGTGCTAAATGTTGGGTGCTGAGTGAGATTCTGCACTTGAAGTGCCAAAATCAGCACTTGACGGGTTAACTTTAACAAGGAAACCGAAACGTGCTGAATATTTGAGTGCAGAAAACGAGTGCTATAACAATATGCAGCACTTAACATCGAGTGCTGACTGCATAACCTGATCTGATTGGTCGGTTAGTATAATAGCTGTTACCTTGTGAATATTTGTTTTTGAATCAAATTCAGCTGAGAGATTCTTACATTCTTCATTCTCCAGGTCAATACCCAAGGCCTCAAATGTCTGAATAACTTTGCTCCTTAAACTGTCAACAACATCAGTATTCAAAGCTGTTGCAGCAGATAACACTCTGTTTGTCATAGCATGGGTCATGTTGGTGTTTGATAAAAGAGAACCAATGAAAAATGCAGCTGGTCTCACTATGAACATGACAGACAATGAAAGCGGACAAAATATACAGTTCCTCAGGTAGACAAAGGAACATCCCTTGACTGCTATTATGTAAAATGTGTAGAACAGGTGAATATGCATGTGACACCTGTTCTACACATTTTTACATAATAGCAGTGAAGGGATGTTCCTTTGTCTACCTAAGGAACTGTATATTTTGTCCGCTTTCATTGTCTGTCATATTCATAGTGTCTTGTACTGTCATTATGCATTGCTCCATCTTGTTCTTGTAGTAGGCCTATCCTATCATCATCATCATCAAATGCATCATCTGCTGCAGGATTATGCACTTCACCAACAGCAACACCCAAATCAGCATCAACTAGACCCTCCATACCCTGTACAACTTCAGGTTCAGGTTCTTCTTGTGGATGTTGGTTTAATAAATGTTTCCTGTAAGAGTTGAAAGTGGTAAATGACGAAGGACATCCACCTTGACCACATACCAAATGTAGATGGGGCATGTCAAACAACGCATGAGTTAGCACTTGCACAAGGGCTATTCTGCTAGCACCCAAAAGAGAGCAAAACTTGGCACTTTAAGTGCACAGCAGTCAGCTCCTTTGGGTGCTAGCAAAGTAGCCCGGGTGCAAGTGCTAACTCAGCACTTCGAGTGCAGTCACTATGCGAGCTCCTAAAAAGTGCTAAAATTGAATCTTTAAGTGCTAAATTTAGCACAACAGTCAGCTCCTTTGGGTGCTAGCAAAGTAGCCCGGGTGCAAGTGCTAACTCAGCACTTCGAGTGCAGTCACTATGCGAGCTCCTAAAAAGTGCTAAAATTGAATCTTTAAGTGCTAAATTTATGCTTTTGATCAATGTACATAATGTAAGAAACATTTTGAATTCAACAACAACCCATTCTTTCTCATAATACAATTTTTCATGGGTGAACCCTCTCGCGAACTAATTTCTTTAGAGTGTCAATATACCGTACAGTTGTATGTTCCTCTATTGAAAGTCAGCAAGACACAATAGATGGCAGCCTTAGAGTGGCTTGTAGGTATGCTGATCTGATCATTCATATAGAAATTAATTACAATGCGCCCCCACAATAGCAAAAACATCATACCCCAGACCGGGTGACAGATGAAATGGGGGTATTTGATTGGCTAGACAACTGGGGTAAATACCGATGTCGGAGTCGCGATGGACTTGAAGTTGTTAAACGCGAGGGTCTTTTGAGCTAAACGGGACTCTAAACTAGATAGGCGGAACAGGATTTACATTTTTATTTCGGTGTTGACAGTGTACAATACAAACTCAATTTCTTATTAAAGGCATTTTAAGACAGATTATTGAAGAATAAAATTTGTCAAAAGGGTAGCAGATAACCATCTGTGACCATGAAGACAGCTACTGCTACTAATAGCACTTGGGGAGGGAAGATTATTAGTTATACCCAATAATAAAAGAGGGAGTGGGTATCATTATTTTGTCCGCAAAAAAAATGTTCCCTTATATCACATACTTTGCCCCTCTCATTATACAAATTGGATTTGGCAATTCTACAGAAATATATAGTTATTCTAAATGTAGTTTATATTAAAAAGTGTAAAATGTATAGCCATGGCCCATTGGGCGCTTTAGGGCGGGACGCTGCCCCTATGTCATGCCAGATGGGTAACTCATTTTAACAAAATAATAGAGATTCCCCTGGCCTAAGGATGATTCCTGTCGAGTTTTGTTAAATTATAATAATGAATTTTTGACAAGAAAAACGAAAATTATATATGGCCATGCGGGCACTTTGAAGGGCCACCCCAGGCCGGTTAAATACACATACACGGCATGTCATAATAGTGTACCATCACTTCAGCACTTATATGCCCTAAAACTTGAACCGAAACATGAATCTAAAGTTTGACAAAATTGCGTCTATACATTTCTTTACGTCCGTTGGATTTTGTTGTTGTCCCCTTAATTTCAGTCCAACTTTTATGATGAAGTGTGTGAAAGCGTAAATTCCTCATTTGACAAAATCCAGGTTTTTAAAAAGTTTCCCCTTTTAACTCTTAAGCTGCCCCCATTCAATTCACCCAGTGCCACAGTGCTAATCCCTATTGTGCCAGCCACTAATCTCCTCTTTGCCAAGTTAATTTAGGGTTGGTTCAAGTGCGTGTAGTTTAAATTGTTACTATGTTGATCTACTATAACATCTCATCTGTATATTGTATTAAAAAGAATTGTACGTAAAAGTTGTAGAAAATTTAACCCTCTTTCTGTTGATATCAATATCATTTCATGAATCTGTAATTTTGGTAAAGTAAATAAGCACTATCAGTGAGTTGTCAAACCAATCCGTTGTCTCATTTCCCGCACACAATCTGAGGGGCCATGATCAAAACTGTCAAATTTGATGATAAAATATCGCAATTTTCTCAGGAAAATCTAATGAAGCGTATTATGTAAAGCACGCAAAATCAAAACAACAATGAACCCCCCACACAAATCGATAAGCATTCATGCGTGCACGCTCAATAGGCATAAACAATTAGCGTGTGTACTTATGCACGAAAATGTCTACGTGGCACGCGAGCGAATGAGAGTTTATGTGTGGATGGCAAGTCACCAGAAACCCGATTATGTGAGCGTGGCACGCCAGCGCATGCACAAAACATTGTTCTTGGCACGATATGAGTTAATCATTGTACATAATGTAAGGAACATTATGAATTCAACAACAACCTATTCTTATCTACTAATACAATTTTTCATGGGTGAACCCTCTCGCGAACTAATTTCTTTAGAGTTTCAACATACCGTACAGTTGTATATCCCTCTATTGAAAGTTAGCAAGACACAATAGATGGTAGGTTTAGAGCGGCTTGCTGGTATGCTGATCTGATCATTCATATAGAAATTAATTACAATGCGCCCCCGCAATATCAAATACATCATACCCCGGACCTGGTGACACATGAAATGGGGGTGTTTGATTGGCTAGAAATTATGGGCCAAAGTGCGATGTCGAAGTCGCGATGAACTGGAAGTTATTAAACGCGAGAGTCTTTTAAGCGATACGGGACTCTAAACTAGATAGGCGGAACAGGATTTTTTTAAAAGAAAACTGGTGTTGACAGTGTACAATTCAAACTTATTGAAGGCTTTTTAAGACATATTATTGAAGAATAAAGTTGGTCTAAAGGTTTACATATAACCATCCGTGACACTGAAGACGTCTCTCAAGATGCCGGTCCTTCTCTTCTTCCTCTTGTCCACTTGTCTCCTGACAGAAGTCACTGCTGTTGACGGTATGTATTTGCGAATGATCTCATTTTTGAGTGATTAATACATCAGTCACACCACCAAACGGACACAAAACTGACTGATTCTTAGCCATTCCGCGTAATGTAAATCCTTGTTTGGTGTATTGTTAGTCTGGTGTGGGTCTCGTGACTATTATTGGTATTAAAATTGCTCCCTTTAATCGTCCCTCAAGTTTACATGGTTTAAATACATTATAACAAATATTTCCTGTTGATCCTTCTAACTAAGATAGCATTGAATGAATTCAACATTGACAATTACAACATCAACAAAACGTGTTTATTTGTTGTAATGACATGAAAGGTCACCAGTACAGATCCATTCTGTATTTCATATTCAATTCAAATGCAATTAAACTTGACTCTGTAAATTCCTGAACATATTTTTTTTTCTTTATTAGGTGTTGGAATTGAAGTTAATGGAGAAAAACTTGGATAATGAATTAGTTAAAATTGTGTGACATTCATGTCATGCACTCAGAAAAGTGTATATTGTATTTTGAACGAAGTAGCAAGAGACTACTTTATTTTAAGTTTTCATAGAGTTTAGTTTTATATAGTCTTACAGTTGGTATTTTCTCGTATGGAATAAAGGGTACGAAATAAAATGTTTCTGTTGCTTTTGTTCCGATATCTTTAGGTATGCTATTTCATGGTTCTGGTCGTACATGCCGGTATTTCTATAATTATGTATGATGATCGTTGTCTGATCCTATCAAGGACCGAAAATATGATAAAGACGATATAGTGGCCCAGTAAATAACGTTACCCAAATCTGAAACATCATAATAACTCCTGTTATTTACCAGCAATGAACTTTGAACTATTTAGATGTGTAGCTTGTGTGACGATAGAGCATTGAGCTTTCTAAAGTCATGCGCCACTTCTGTCATCGTACAACCCTGAACCAATGACAGAGATGGATAAACCTGCAAATTGAGTACCATGAACATGAGAAAGATATCAAATGCGAAATTAAAAGATGTGTGCTTTACAACTTTACATCCCAGTTGATTCGTATACATGGTATAAGCTAGATTGGGGCATCATCCCTCATATTTCTCAATATAGTTCAAGATAATAGAACACGGGAAGGCTTATGATCTCTTTACAGTTCGTCTGCTCTCTGTCAATTTTTGTTAAATGTCATGAATTGCTTCACTCATTAAACTTGTTTTATTTGTGACCTCACCCATTTTATGTGTAAGCTCACGAGATTTGACCAACAGATACACTGCATATATACTCCCCCCCCCCCCCCTCACCACCACCAACAATGTGCCTATTGTGCCTTTAATAAAAAAAGGAATCGAACAAACATTAACATTGTTAAAGACAATTGCATGCAGTGACAAGTGACCCTAAAAACCTATAACAAAGTGCTTGTAGAATAATCACAGATTGTTTGTTCCTTATGATATAAGATTCATTTCCAGGAAAAATGTTGCCTTTTTCCTTTAACAAAATTATGATTGATAGTCTAAATTAAGAAGAAATTGCGGTTACTCTCCTTAACTTATAAACAGTTAGTACATGATTAATGTGTATGTTCTTTTGTTTATATTTTGCTTGGGTTATATCATTTTTCTTTAGTACATGTATGTTCAATCTCCAGAATAATCTACAAGCAAAATGATTGGATGAATGAAGAAAAATAGGAGAAAATCTGTAGAAGTGTCGTGGTCTAGTGGAAAACGCCACCGAATTGTGGTGTACATGGTTCACGGTTCAAGTCCCGCAACGGGATTAGTATCCTTTGGGAAGATACTAATCTACATTTCCCGCTCTCCACCAAGGTGTAGTTAATGGGTACCTAGTAGGAATTTATTCCTCGAATGCTTTTAGCGCCTTAGGGCAGCTGGGCTAAAGCCATGGTAGTAATAGGGTCTTTTTAGATGTGCACGTCAACAAAGTGGCCTGCTACGTGTGACGTTCTTTTCTAGCAGTGCCTTAAAAGGACGTCAAACGTAGGAGTCCACTGTGTCGACTTGCAACTCTAAAAGTCGCTAATATTTTTGTGGACGCCTTGAACATTCCCGGGGATTGACACGTACGTAATATAAAGTAGCTCATATTTGTTTGTTTGTTTGTTCTGTTTTAGAATGCGATTCGGGACCCTGTATGAACGGAGCTGCATGTAGCGATCAGTACGCAGATTCATATACGTGCGAGTGTGTTGAAGCTTGGCAAGGAGTAAACTGCGAAGTACCAATAGTTTACCGTGAGTTGATACTTTTGCGTATACACATAGATATTGAGTATGATTGTGCGATTAAGACTCGTTCAGATATGAAGCGGTATTAAAGCAGCCGCAGAAAAGCCATCGCGGTTTGTTTTCTTCTCAAGAGTATGAATGGCATGTGCGCGCGTTAAGGTCCTGCTCATTTTCAGTGAGCTTTGTGTTATTAGATACAGAAACGTGGAGCGTATTACTCTAGGTCATCATAAAAAGCCGCGACGTTTCTGAACGACGGTTATTTTTAACAGGAAAATACAACCTTAACACGAGAAGTCCACCGTAATATCAAGTTGTTTTTTTTTTAAAGAAAAAGATAAAAGATGATAGAAACGAATTAATAAAAGTTTTTAGCAATATTAGATTAAGATTAAGAAAGTTTTGAATAAGCGAGTTCGTAATTAGGATTTGCGCATGGGCAGATAAAGGTCATTCGTACCCAAATTGTAAAACCATTGAGACGAATACTCGGATCGTGCTCATGAAAGTTATGTTATCAGTATTCATTTATGCACCAACAGTACATTAATCCGATACACAGGTGGAAGTATTCTTCTCAAGATGCAAACAAAAGGTATTCACGAAGCACCTCCATCCCTTTTGGCAGTGATTATTCTAACATGCACATGTTGGACGTATCCATCGTGTAAAAGATCTGTGGATATTTTGGGGTCATGCGGTCCAGAGCTATTTACGAACTCGCTTATTTTTGAAGGTGTCTTCAGTGAAACACCAATCGGCAACATGTGACGTGTTTTTACGAGCTCCTCCCCGATTTGCTCTGTACAGACAATTTTATAAACTTCCATTCCCTCAGTTATTAATGACGGATAAATTTCATACACGGGGTGTATAAAACAAAACATACTTGCAATAATTATATTTAGGGTGAATGTACGAGTGAAAGGTTTTTCCCAGGGAAAAATATATATTTGATTTTTTTTTTTAGTACAGGCCGAATGAAAGGGGACTTTGCAAGATACTTCAAAAGGTTACTAATTTGTGTTTCAATTGATTGCACCTTCAAAAATTCATTACTTTCATATTTTCTATCGTTTTTTGCTGAAATTTCACAGACCTGTTTCGCTCATTTTCCCTTTTTCTATTAAAACGAATCTAATACCAAAGTGGACTTCCCCATTAAAAAAAATGATCTAAAAGAAAACAGAAATTCAGAATATCAGACTAGTAGAATTTTAAATGAAATCAGACCCCCAAAAAAGAAAGTTATATATTTGTCAAAAGTTGGAATTACTATACGTATGAGCGTTTCAAATTTGCTAAATCGATAACGTCACTGCGACGTAGTGCCGGACACTTTTCCCATTTGTTTCAACTCCCACAATTACTAAAATATCAAGTTTTCAAATTGTATAGCTCGAGAGGGTCTTTTTCTTTAATAGAGGACCCATAATAATATGCTATCGATAATACATTTTGAGTAATGGGGAGGAGGCACTTAGGAGACAAACAGAAATCAATAATATTTCTGTTCACGACAAATAAAAGAGTTGACCGTTACTACATCACAATCCATTGGCCAAATTGGCAATGTAAGATTCGCGTAGATTGAGTGATATAACCAGGGAGGTGAAAGAAAGGAGTGGTAACTCTTGTAATTTATTCAAACGCATTCGTGAGTTCTAAAGCTCAACAATGGGATGTGTAACATTCCACTTGGCTTTGAAGTTTCATGCTCCGAACCGCGTTTCCACTGCAGGGAATTTCGGAGGCCATGCACCAGTTTCACATTTATTACAAAATATCAAATTACCGCAAAATTTCAGTGTAAATTATAAACTTTATATGGGGAATGTAATGGGAATAGTGCATCAAACAATTTTTCTAATTTAGTACTCCGCCCTTCCTATAATTTGTGTGCCAGAGTTGGTAAAAGAAAAATTAGATCATGACAAAAACTCAATATTTTAGGATCATGCGCTAATTTGTGCGTGTTTTAATGCCCCGTTATTATTAATCCATACAATCTTCGATAACTATAATCTAGTTTGTGTTCGCTTTTTCTACTCATTACACATTTAACAATTGATGAGAAATCATTAAAAGGGACGGCGAACAGTTGCTGTGATACCATTTCTGATGTAGGAATTCTAAACCCAAAAATGTCATGCGCTCTTTTATCTCACCACCTGGTCAACGGTTGCAGATTAGCCCATAACTTTTCGGCGGCTTGGAGCATGGGGTCAAAGGAGAGCGGCTTGATTTCAGTCCTTCTCTATCACGTCCCTAATATAACATTTCAATCATTCATAACTCTCTTATTATTGGTCCGATTTATGTCAAGCTTTCGCTTCTCGGTTTCCCTTAGTGTTCTGCTTTCAGAGAAGTGCACTTATTACAAAGGTTGAATCGCCAATATGCAAATGGCCGTATTCAGATTTCGATCCGGCGTTGGTTCAACCTCGATCGCAAGTCGTGTTTGACAAGCAAGATAAAATGGGTTAAACCAAGGGCACTTTGTTACCATTGAGAAACATTTTGGTTACGATCTGGGTTTAACCCATTGCTAATTGAAACCAGGTCCCCCCCCCCCCCCGCATGAAGCGTACAGTAAAAATAGATACAATGGTCAACGGTTAACTGTGAGTGATAGTATAATACGGAACAAATGGTCGATATATTTATCGACCTAGTCCAGATAGTCGGGTTCCTTAGGCCCATATTTTCTATTAGTTTTGGGGACATTGAGGACAAAATTACTAAACTTTCTACATGTACTAATCAGGCCCAGCACTTCAATTTACTCCACGTAACCCACTAATATTTGAATCACGTCTTCATAGTAATATATGTAAATTAAGCAAATTATGCAAATAAGTACATTTGCAATAAATTTGCATTCAAAATTTTCTTTTCCAAAAAGACTCTCAAAATCAAATTGCTTTCATCTTTTATTATTAAAGTTTATGCAAATTGGTATGAGGCCTATGTTCGTATTGGTATTCTACTGCAAAAATACTTTTCTTATTTATCCACTCATATTTATCATTACTTTATCTATATTTTCTCCACCGAACATAACCTCTCGAAGCAATTCTGCATAATGCAAATTTAAGGACTTTTAATTGTTATTTGTATAGATTTAGCAGATATTAGGCCCCGTGCACAACTCCAACTCTCGACATTATGGAAACAATGTCATTGCTTTATATTTTATTGGGTAAAATGTTCTTTTGTGAGTAAAATGACACCAAGATCAATTATTTAAGGTAGTAAAGGGACTTTTATTCTGCTGCCATTTTTGTTGGGCAATGTCATTGTCACAATTTACTACTTTAGCAACCGTAAACATGCTTGAAGCAACGATAAATTTGCGCATGACAACTTCCCATGTCGTCGGCACAGCTCATTTTTACTGGAAGCCGTTTTGCGCAAATTTCCCGCTGCTTTAACCATGGGTGTCGATCCCGGGGGGGGGGGATATATGCCCCCTCCCCCCCCCCCCCCCAATATTTCAGGTGGGGGGGATGGCCTGTACAATCATCCCCCCAATAATTCACCATCAAAAAAAAAAATAAGAGAAAAATTAATGATGAGAGCCCGATGAGAGTAGTTGCAATATAATAATTTCCTCTCTCTCTCTCTCTATATATATATTTTTTGAATAATTTTTTAATTTAAAGATTATTTTTACTTGCAATAATTGGTTCAACATTTCAAGTTACTGTTATAGGTTGTTCATTCATATATTATCATTTATTTATATATGTATATAGCTTTAGGTATGAACAATAATGTTAACTTTATCTTTTATCATTTTTATTGTACATTTATATGATCATTCCTGTTTTTATGCACATTTTATGTAAACATTGCATTATTGGTACCTGGACTACTGCACTGTACATTGTATATGTTGATATTAATTAACCGAAATTGAATTGAATCGAATTGAATTATTACTCGCAAGATGACCATCAATATACACATTTTGCTATCTCATTTTCATAATACATACTTTAATGAGACAACCATATTATGAGACAAGAATAAATCAAAATCTCGCTCATACGGCTTCATCAGGAATTGATGAATTTATTCAATTTATTCAATCAACAGCATCATGGAAATGCGGTCGCCCCCCTAAAGAAAAACCCGCTGGCCCCCCAAAAAAAAGAGAGAGAGAAAGAGAAAGAAGAAAGGAAGAGGACGTATGACGAAAAAGGATTAAGAGTCGAGAACGGTACAACGAATCGTCTTCTTTCTCTAATAATTGAATGAAACGCATGCACAATCAAGTTAAATGTCTAGCCCGTGGACGCCTTTAACAACACAAAAGGTGGAAGGGCATTGCACCTCTGTTGGGACTCGGGGACAATGTTACTTTGATTTATTGAACGGAATGTTAAGTCAAGCTGTCACCAATACAGATGTGGAAATGATATTACTTGGAGACTTAAATTGTGATATGTGTCCAAATAACATAGACTCTTTATCACGATCTCTCGAAGAGATGATGTCTGGTTTTCTTTTCGATCAACTGATTGATGTTCCAACACGAGTGACGACAACGTCGCAAACTATTATTGATCTTATATATTCCACTGACGTAGAAAATCACTCCTTGAATGGAGTACTAAAAACATCATTTAGTGATCATTATATGATTTTCACCGTTTACGGTGATGCTGATATTACTCAAAAAGAAAATATCATAGAAAGGAGAGATTTTAAGGGTTTTGAGTTTGCAGAATTCAATTTTTTACTTTCCCAAGTGCATTTTGAAGAAGTATATCAGTGTAAGGATGTAAACTGTGCATGGGATATATGGTACAATCCGATAATGAAAATTGTAAATATGTGTGCACCATACAAAAGAAAACGTCTAAGAAATAATCCATGTCCTTGGGTGACAGGTGACGTCATTAAATTGATGAACACGAGGGACTACCTTCGTGATAAAGCAATACAGCTCTCGTCATCAGATTTTTGGGAACAATATAAAAAATGCAGAAATCTTATCACACGTGATCTCAAAAATCTTTAAAAATCATACATTACTTCATTATTGAACGACAAATCAGGAAACGCAAATGCGTTATGGGATGTTATGCGACGTCTTACTAAGAAAAGTCAGTCTAAAAATATAATATTGAATGTAAACGATGTTGAAATATCAGACTTGAAGGAGGTTGTTGAACATTTTAATACGTATTTTGTTGACTCCGTTTCTGAACTTACTAAAGGTTTTGAGCTCGAGACCGAAACTATTAAGAGATGTGAATCACTTGAAGAAAATCTGGAAAAACAAACAAACGGTGATTTACTTTACTTCTCAAATATCTCGATAGATTTCGTCATCAAACAGATAAAATCATATACTTGCAAAAAAGCAACTGGGTATGATGAACTCTCTGTTAAAATACTGAAATATATCTGTGATATTCCTCATGTAATGGAAAGTTTAGTATATATACTCAATTTGTCTTTGCATTCTTCAGTATACCCTGATGCTTGGAAGATAGCCCGAGTCCAACCAATTCCCAAAGGAGGGGATACAGCCATAATGAAAAACTACAGACCCGTGTCTATATTGCCGATTTTATCTAAAATAATTGAAAGGGCAGTTTATTTAAATATCTTTGAATATCTGTCTCAGCATAATCTATTTTATAAAAACCAATTTGGATTTCGTCCTAAGCACTCATGTGAAACAGCCCTATTGTGCATGGTTAACCAGTGGTCAGACAATGTAGACAAAGGGTATTTGAATGGTGTAGCTTTTATAGATCTCCGACGTGCATTCGATACAGTCAACCACTCTCTCCTCTTAAATAGATTACATCAATATGGTTGCTCTCCGCATGTAATTAAATGGTTTCAATCATACTTGAAAAATCGCCAACAATTTGTCTCATTAGGGAAAGAAAAATCAACATTTAGAAATATAACAATGGGAGTTTCACAAGGGTCCATCCTGGCCCCGCTCCTTTTTACTCTATTTGTTAATGACCTCCCATGCTCCATCTCAAATGGCATTGTTTATATGTATGCGGACGATACTACTATTTCTGGATGTGGAAAAACTAAGCAAGAGGTAGAACTCAAACTGACAAAAGCTCCTGGTGAACTGAATTCTTGGCTAAATAAAAATAAGTTGATTTTGAATAGTGATAAAACCAAAACGATGCTGCTAGGATCAAAGCAAAAGCTTAGATCATTAGATAACAATATGCTGTCGATTGAATTAAATAGATGCCAATTGGAATGTGTATATACATATAAATGTTTGGGAGTCATAATTGATAACAGTCTTGACTTTAAAAAACATATCGAAAGTATTGCTTTAACTGTGAAACAGAAATTAGGAACTATTCGTCGATGTAAACATTATTTTGATAAAGCACAATTGAACAAACTGTACTGGGCTTTTGTAGTGCCCCATTTAATGTACTGTTGTACCGTTTGGTCTGGGAGATCTGAAGCAAACCATAGTAAACTGGAAAGACTACATAAGAGGGCAGCATATATGATATCTCGTTTGTCCTGGGAAACCCCATTTGAACAAGTGTTTGAAATTATATCCTGGCCGAAAGTAGATCATCTGTTTTTTAGAGCATCTTGTTGCATGATTCATAAATGCTTACATAAAGCTGCACCTGAAGTACTAAGTGATAAGTTTATTTATATTGAAGCGATATCATCTCGAACAACAAGGAGCACAAATAAGATGCTAATTAGGATGCCACATGTTCGTACAACCTTTTATCAGAAGTCATTTCTTGTCACAGGTCCATCAAACTGGAATAAATTACCCGAACGTATTCGATTTATAAACAATATGAAACCATTTAAACAAGAATTGGCAAAATGGCAAAAGACATCCACGTTTTAATATGATTATGGTATGATATAACTCTTCTTTCTCTCCTCTTTTTATATATTTTATCATATCTTCTTCTTGTTTTCTCTTGTTGGTTTGTTATTGTGGTTGTATGTTGCTGTTGTAATTGTTGTTGTTGTTTGTTTGTTTGTTTGTTTGTTTTTTTAATAACCTTTTACTGTTTGCTTTAATAGGATATATGGCATTTACAAATTTGTACCATATACATTTTACTCATTTCGTTATTCTCTATGTTCAAATCCTTTTTTATAACCTGGTTTGCAATTTTTGTTTGTTAAAATCGTATTTTGTAACTTTCTATATTTATTTATAATTTTATATTGGTATCATATACATTTTACTCATTTCGTTATTCTTTATAATCAAATCCTTATTTATAACCTGGTTTGCAAGTTCTTGTTTGTTAAAATCGAATTTTGTAATTTTTTATGATTATTTATATATTGATATGTTGATGAAATGTATATACTTGTTTGTGTCATGAAGGGCCTCAACGAAAACCAGTAATTGTTTGCTGATTGGGCTACCCTTCTTTTTAAAGATGTGTTATAAATAAATAAATTTAAAAAAATGTCCAAATAACGAAACATAGAACAACGCATTCAAAAGCAGGGTATTTTTGTTTGCACTTTGAGCTTCAAACCGCAGCCACCCCAACCCCTCCCCTCTTCAATGATTTATTTCTTAACAAGGAAAAACAAAGATAAACGGATGCGCTCCGGGTGACTAACCCTTGGATGCTTTGAAAAAGGAAGTTTTAGGTGAATCTATACATTAGAATCAAATGATAAAGCGCTGTATATGTTAACTTAATATTCTTCTCTATGAATGTACATGCAGGTACCACGTCATTGCACACAAACAGAACTATTCATGGAAACAGTGTTTGTTGTTTTATTATCTACACTGCGTGATCGACCTTGACATTAATTGTGACTTGTCACATTTGTTCTTCCCAAACTTCCAGAGGTGTGCCCGTTCGGCCATGTCTACGAGTATGTGGCGAACATTACCACAGGTGTCCTACCACGCAGATTTAGCTGTCAAGCTAATTTCAGGTTTCAAGGTGCTACCGAGGTCAACTTTACTTTCGTGTCGCATGATATCGAACCAAACAAGGATGCCATCTGGTTGGAAGCGGGATTCTTTGCTGACAGTTCCAATGACTCGGGCGCGCTCGATTCCGGAGATTTGGTGAAACAGCCTACTCTAACTTTTAAAGATGCTGGTTCTAACTACTGGATAGTGATTTTCACAGATATGACAGGTATTAGTCGTGGTTTGACTCTCGAGATCAGTGCTGGTAAGTTCATCACCCCCCCCCCCCCCTCCTACTCCGCACAATCACACCTGCTAACATGGGTTCAATGGTAGTAGAAATAAAACTACAATTGTATGACTGTGTTGAAATTTCCCAAACGCATCATTCGGTTTCACTGTTCGGGCAACACCTTGGGTTCCCCCTGTTATATTTCGATCAAGGTGAGGATCACGTCGTGATCTTTTAGATTCCTTATTGACCACATTGCGAGACAAACGAATATCACTAGCGATATTCTTTTCGATAAGGTGAGGTATTTTCATTCGTTTCTTACACACGACGACGTAGAAATGTCGAGGTCTAATGGATACGTCTTTGACTTTGGACTGTTGATCAAAGGGTTCGTGGTCCAAGTCCCGCCGCGTCACTAATGTCCTTTGGCCAGAAATCAATCTACATTTGCCACTCTCCACCCCAGTGTTAAATTGGTACCGAGAGGAAGGAATTCCTTGAAAGGTGTGATCCCCAACAGTGGTAACGTAGCAAAGCCAGTGTAACCTTGCGTGCTCGATATGTGCGCTATAAAAATATCCATTATTATTTCATTATGATTATTATTATTATTATTATCATTATCTTTGTTGCTATCATTATTATCATCATCATCATCATCATCATCATCATCGGCAGCTTAGCATAGCCGGGTAATGTTGGAGCGCCTTGAGGACCTTGCAAGGTCGATACGTGCGCTATATAAGAATCCAATATTATTATTATCATCATCAACACTTTACATTGGAATAATGTATTCATAATATAATGATAACAGAGTCATTTCAAATATTCGCTCAAAAATTCTAGCTTTTCTGAGATTCTCCTTTTTTCCCTCTCAGTTAAATCAAGCAATATAAAATATTTAGTCTTATTATCAAACTTTAATGAACTCTGTAAATTTACTTTGTTTCGTAGGTAATTATCAGTATTCGTTACTTTAAAATAATTAATTTGTTCTATTATATATATTGTAATACTGTACTGTTTTGTATATGTAATTTTAATTTGACGATATTTGAGTGGAAAACAAATTCAAACAAAATTGATAAAAGAGACTTTTTTCCACTTCAAACAGAAGGTGATTGCTTCTTAATAGACCGAAGCTAGGATGCACCTTGTAAAGCAATGATAAAACCCATGAATATATTTGTGTACAAAAGCTATACAAAGTATAGAGGGCTAATGATGCGTATTACAGAACATTTACCCTATTGCTTCTTATGGTGGCCGCCTGTGACCTTAATTCGTGACTAGTTCCATATCGTTAAGATTTCGACAATCTGATATCAACGCTGGAAGGAGGAAACTGAAATTACCTAGTGACGAAATTTGGCGTAAAATTATTTGAATAATGACAAAGGATTGGCGAATCTCGCAATCTTTTACGTCCGTTCGAGAGAAAAAAAATGAGCTTACCTACAAGGGACTGTACATTCTCATTTTGGGAGAATATGTCATCAAAGTTGTAAGTAAGCAGTGATACTATCTGATGTTATGATATGTTTTTCTTGCAATTCATGCAATAACCTTGCCTTTGATGGACCGCTTTTTGTTTGGATAAATTACTTCTAAACTCTCATGCGCGAATTAAGGACTCGTTTTTTTTTAAACGCCTATCCGACATAGAATTTTGAGACAAAGATATCGCCGGCATCCTTTAGACGGTTCATTTTCTATTTGCACTATTTTGGGTCTAGAATTGTATTGTTTATTTAGCATAATTGATGTCAATGAATTTGTGTAGAATGTGAAAAATCGGCATGCATCGAATATCACATTCCTAATTATATTTTAGATGTTCGCGAGCTTTGGACACCCAATCATACTTTATAAACATGTTTCAATGAAATGTCTTGAAAATTTAGTGGCATACAAACTAAATACAAACCGTAAAGCGGTGAATCAGCGGAATTTAACAGGTACAGTCAAGGCAATGGAACCATTCAAATGTTGTATTTATGCCAAAACATGCTCTTAATAACTAACACTTATTTGTCAATAAACTTCGATCAAACACTGAAATAAAAGAGAATTATATTTTATATTTGTTACAATTCTAAATGGTCGGCAAGATCATAATTATTCAAATTTTACTTGTTTGGAAATAGATAATATTCTAAAAGGTCGTTTGAAACAATATTCTCCGATACGGTAAACCTAATTAAGATTTCCTGTTTTTTCCTATAAAAACCCGCATAATTGTGAACTCACCGATGGTGTTTGCGTTAAGACATTATGCAGATCTGAAATGTGACCAAAAGGCGCCCGTTACATCTAAGTACAAAACCAACCTTTTTTGTCATGAACAAGAAATTCTGGACACCACATTCGGAGAGCAGAATCCCTTGTGGAATATCTTAATTCCGGACACCCCTAGTAAGAGTGACCGTATATCTTCGGAATTAAAATGATATGCATCGAAATTTCAACGCATTTACTCGACTTGACCACACATAATTATTTGACATTCGATGATAAATTGTAAACAAACATTTAAGATGGAAAGCACCACCAATAATTAACAAATTGAAACACAAATGTTTGTTGTGATGAAACAACGTTACTTATGTTCCTGATATACATAATTATCCTATTTTTTAAACAATTGAAATATTTGATATTTACCATTCCGTGTCCACAGACCGTGATGACTGCTACCCAATTTCCTGTATGAATGGTGCTACATGTATTGACCTTCTCCGAGACTATAGGTGCATCTGTGCACCAGGCTACGATGGTATAAACTGCCAGGATGGTAAGCATGTTTGCATCATAGTATTACAAGTCGGGTAGACTGTGCAACAAGAATAACATTTAAAATCTTTAAATAAAACTGATTTTTAAAAAAAATCTCAAGATGATGAATGGGTCTAATTTAGTATTTCCTTTGACCGGTTTTCCATGTTCCATTTCCAATTCTAATGATGTTGACTGACGTGCTTATAAATAAGTGTTCAGAGAGAAATAGTTATGAATATCAGCAACAAAAACAATATATCCTGAAAGGCAGGGTAGGCAATATTCATCGTCTGTGATATCAATTAAGATTAAATATTAACAATTGGTTGATATAATCAATAATGGCCAAAGTAAACATGTTATTATATTTCTAATTTTGAAATGCCATATTGTTCATACATGAGCTTTTAATAAATATTTTTAGGTAAATAATTGATGTTTTTAAACCGAATAAATAAATAAATAAAATTTGACATCTAAATCAGAATATGTTAAAAATAAACATTCAATTTTCATAGAATCTCTTTATACATTCATGAGAGAGATAGAGAGAGTTAAAGAAAAGCCTTTAAACAAAAAAATGTTAGAGAAAGAGTTAAAAACGCATGTGAAATAAAGCAAAATAACAACAACAACAATAAATATATTCTCATGTACAAGCTTTTCTCCCTTTCTTTTGTTGCAATTGTAGATATTTTTTCTTCTTGTTACTGGTTTGTAGGTGTCAGTAGACACAGGATGTAGTGAAGCGTCTAGTGCAGTAGTGTGTAGAAATAGATAAGCATTGTGTAGTTTTAGCATAGTGCTTGCAATTTCTGCTTTCAGCTACTGCCGCTGGCTAACCACAAGGTGAAAAAGGGAGCCGAGTGCGTAAGCCTCCGCCTGTCAGTACATAGCTTCTCCTCCATCAAGACTCTTACAGTGCCTCCTCGCGGCAACACACGGTAACTGGGTACCTCATGGTCCCAGGCAAAACTGTAAGGGATCTCGGAGCAGTTTTGGGCCCCAGAGATGCGGCGTGCAGGCCAACCGGCGTGTGGACATGCCCTGGCGCCCATCAACCAAGCTCCATCTATAGGTTAAATAGCCCCACCTATGGGAAAATAGGCGGAGAGGTTGACTTCGTAGCCCAGTAAGGCCATCAACCTAGGAGTCGGAGCTCTGATGTAAAATCCCCCATTCAACCCGCACTGGGCCAGCGTGGATGGGTAGGCCCACACAAACCAGCATGACAGACACAAATAAGCAAAGGCCCCCAGTCCCCAGCAGCTCATTTGTTCCGGACCAAGGTGGCGGCCCGATAAAGCAAGGAGCAGGGGGTGCTAAGAATCCCTGGGTAAGGACAGGCCACCAATGGAAACTGAACATTGCAACCTATAACGTAAGATCACTACTTCAAGAAGAGATACTACTGGAACTCGAGGAAGAACTACAAGGAATAAAGTGGGACATCGTTGGACTGGGTGAAGTCCGCAGACGAGGAGAAGAACTCACAGTACTGAAAAGTGGGCACCATTTCTACCATATAGGAAAGAAGAATAAGAGTGAAGCAGGAGTAGGATTCCTGGTACACAAAAGCATCGCCGGTAACATTTCTGAAATAAAAGGAATAAATGAACGTCTGGCACAAATAACAATAAAAATCAATAAGAGATACAAAATCAAGATTATCCAAGTCTATGCCCCAACTTCAACACACGACGATGAAGAGGTAGAGAAACTCTACGAGGAAATAACGGACGTGATGAAATGCGGTAAAACACAGTTTACAATAGTCATGGGTGACTTTAACGCCGAGGTCGGGAAAAGAGAGGAAGGAGAAGAAAGCACAATCGGCCCCTTCGGAAGTGGGCAAAGAAACGTCAGGGGGGACCGACTTCTTGAATTTCCTATTAGCAACAAAATGAAAATAATGAACACTTTCTTCAAGAAAGGAGCATCCAGGAAATGGACATTGAAAAGCCCAGGCGGGAACACAAAGAATGAAATTGACTTCATATTAACTGACAACCCTCACATCATCCAAGACGTGAAAACAATCAGCAAGGTGAACGTGGGAAGTGACCACAGGATGGTAATGGGCAAGATGAAAATCAACACCCGACTAGAGAAGCAAAAACTCCTAAAACCAAAACAAAGTAGCATCAAACTAGAGAAACTAAAAGAGAAGAGAACAGAATTTCAACTGGAGTTGAAAAACCAATTTCAACTTCTGACGGACAAATGCACAGACGAGGAAGGAAACAGATCTCTTGAAACATGGACTGATCTGCTAGTGGAAAAACCCAAGAAACCGCCATAAAGATCGCAGGGAAAAAACCAAAAACCCGTGAAAACAAGATATCAGAATCTTCCATAAAACTCATGGAAAAAAAAAGGAACATGAAAGCAGAAGGCATAGGCATCCAAAATGTTGAATATGTAGAAGCCTGCAAAACAGTAAGGAAAAAGCTACGTGAAGACATCCGTAGTTACAACACATCAATGATCAAATCCACAATTGAGGAAAACAGAAGCCTGAAGAAAACCTACAAGAAACTAGCACATGGAAAACAGAAAACACAAGCCTCCTCGACAGAAATGGACAAGAAATCACAGATCAGGACCAGATACTTCAAAGAATTGAAGAGTTTTATGAACAACTTTATACCTCATCTTTCTATTGTAACGCCATATTCTGTTCACTCCTTTATATTCATGTCATATTTACAATGTATGTTATGAAAGAAAGATAAATAAACTTGAAACTTGAAACTTGAACTTGAATAGCAATAAAGAGACAGAAGATCCAGGAGAACCACAAGAAGAGATCCCAGTTGTAACTGATTGGGAGGTTCAACATGCAATAAATCAAATGAAGAGAGGGAAGTCACCAGGCCCAGACAACATACTTATAGACACAATCAAAGAAGGAGGAGACACAATAACTGAGGAACTAGCCAAACTTTACAATGCATGTATGCAAAAGAGGAGGATACCACATCAATGGAAAGAAGCCACAATGATTATTCTGCACAAAAAGGGGGACAAGCGAGATCTAAAGAACTACAGACCCATCAGCCTCCTCTCAAACCTGTATAAGCTGTACACAAAAATCATCACCAACCGGCTAGGGAAAATCCTTGATAACAAACAACCAAGGGAGCAGGCAGGCTTCAGAAGGGGTTTCTCAACTATGGACCACATCCACACCATTAATCAACTGAAAGAAAATGCCAAGAGTTCAACATCCCTCTATGCGTAGCATTCGTAGACTACGAAAAGGCATTTGATTCCGTAGAAACCTATGCAGTACTGAGGGCACTTCAAGACCAAGGAATCAACAATGCATACATCAAAATCCTTAAAGACATTTATTCAGACTGCTACAACACTGTCAGAATGCACAAGGCCAGCAACAAAATCATGATAAGAAAGGGAGTTAGACAGGGAGACACCGGCTCACCAAAATTCTTCACTGCTTGCCTAGAGAGCATCTTCAAAACATTAGACTGGTCATCAAAGGGAATAAACATAAACGGGAAAAACATGAGTCACTTAAGATTTGCAGACGATATTGTCATCATATCTCACAACTTAAACGACCTCGAAATAATGCTGCAAGAACTGGACGATGCAAGCCGACTAACAGGCCTCAAAATGAACATGAAGAAGACTAAAGTCATGGCAGGATCAGCCAAAGATCCAAAACCAATCCAAGTGAACGGTACCAAAATGGAGCAAGTAGAGGACTATATTTACTTAGGGCAACGTTTCTCCCTCCAAGACAAAAATCAAGACAACGAAATAAGAAGAAGAATCAAAGCTGGATGGCAAGGCTTTGGCAGATACAGCACCATCATGAAAGGCAAACTTCCATTATGCCTGAAAAAGAAAGTATATAACCAGTGCATCATCCCAGCAATCTCATACGCTGCAGAAACATGGACACTAACATCAAAAATGGAAAGAAAGCTAGCAGCCTCTCAACACAACATGGAAAGAAGTATTCTAAGCATCACATACAAAGACAGAAATACGAACAAATGGATCAGGGAACAGACAAAAGTCCAGGACATCCTTGAAGCAGTGAAAAGAAGGAAATGGAATTGGGCGGGCCACATCAGCCGTAGGAATGACAATCGCTGGAGCTCAGCAATCACTCACTGGACACCATATGAGGGAAAACGAAACAGGGGACGTCAAAGAAAAAGATGGCGAGACGAGCTGCAACAGTTCTGGGGACAGACAAATTGGCACCAACAGGCGCTGAACAGAGGCATTTGGAATCATCATGCTGAGGCCTTCATCCTGCAGTGGATTGACAACGGCTGATAAAGTAAAGTAAAGTAAAAGGTATTTTTTATATCCCTTTTGTATCGTTACATTTGATTATGTTTTCATGATCGAATGCCCTTTCAGTACACTTATTATACATGTGCCTTATTGTATAGGTTCATAAGACCACATCGAGGAAAAGTGAGATTTAAGACATAGTAAATGATACTGAAATAGGCTATACACCATATTTATGTTTTGGTAAGACTAAGATTGCGCTCGCTCTAAATATAATAATGTTATTGTAAAATATTCTGATCACAAACAGGCGTTGTCATCCCTTTAATAGGAAGGGGGAGGCCCCCAACAAAATACTTGGGGGGAAATGACACAGTTGGCAAAAGATGCAATTCTTATAAGTTTGCTCTTTACATCATATTAATATACATTTATGATTTACCTTCATGTATTTTGTTTTAAATTTGTTAATTATTGTTACGAAAATAGAATCAAACAATCAATGGCTGAAGTCTTGTCATGTGATAATTGGAAACCATTCTAATTTAAGAACTGTCTAAGGTAGATCAAAATCGAACGATATTTTCGCAGCCTTTATCTCCCATGCGCTGTCTATACAAATAAGACATGGAAAATGTATGTTTAGTATATGAACATAGGCGAAGTTAGTTTTATCTGTCCGCATTTTCTTTTCATTTTTCTTTACAGGAATTGTTATCGTGGATTCAACGACTGTATCTGTTGCCAATGGAGTTCATGAGGGGTCGTTTACTCCTGCGGTGATCTTCAATTTGACTTTCGCACCATCCACCTTAGCAACGTATTCTGTGGGTGGGGCTGGTACATTGCAGCTATGGACTGTCGATGCCTTCTTTACGTCTGACCCCAACGCTGTTACCACAACGTCTAATCGACGTCTTCTACTGACTACTGCGCAGGAAATCACTCTTTGGCAACCTCCAGCGTCAACCACCATCTCTGGTCTGAATGCTCTCCAAGTGACAGTTCCTGGAGGTGTAGTCTGCTCTGATATGGAATTTTTTTGTGCTGTCATTGGCAGAAATACCGGTTCATCACCCTTTTTTCAACTCACAGCTAGGGATGACCCAGTCTCCTTCCAAGGTTGTGTCTCCATAAATTGTAGAGGTAAGATTGGAAGTGAATTTTAAGGTGCACTTGTTATTGTTCTTTCCTTTAATTAATTGAAAAGTAAAATCCTGAGTTGAATATATTCCCTGTCCTCCGAATGAGATGTCATATCTACACCCCCCCCCCCCCCAACAACAACAAAAAAATCGTCGTTTCTTTCATTCTCCTGTAATTCACTTTCCAGCGTCATATCTAAATGAGCCTTAATACAAACAAACATTTCCGGATAATGAACGTTTGACCCATGGAGGAAAAAGCAGAAGCAGCTTAATTTATCTCTATGAAAGTTAAAAGCTGTCTACCTGACATTTTATTTGTACATACATGTTTTGACTTTAAAAATGTATATTCTTATTTCTTTACAGGTGTGGAAATAACAGATACGACTCTGCAGATTTCATCTGGAGACCTTCAAGCAGGGGAATCTGGACAGAAAGTCTCTTTCAATGTGCAGCTGGACTCAGAGTCTAGTGCTGGGAGCGTCAGCGGTTCCAGTTTATGGAGCATCGCCGCCTTCGGTAGCAACAATTCGTTGGGGACTGGAAGCAGATTTCAAGAGACTGTTGTGCCTACAAGCGGCATACAAGGGACAGTAGGAATAGACGCCGGTACAACGAGTACCATTTCCGATCTCTCTTTTGAAGTGAACCTTGGCAGTGGCTTTGCGACATGTGATGACTACCCATTCATCTGCATAGAAGTGTCAAAGGGTAGCCTAGCTATCCCTAACTTCGGTCTTTCCGGTGGTTCTAATCTCGTCGCCTGCCAGGCAGTAACATGCAGAGGTGAGAAATAAATTAACCAAAATGCTATGTATTTTCAAAGAGACGGAAATGAACAGGAACTAGGATATGATTATAAATGGTAAACTGATTACGGTCATCAGCAATTTTATTAATTTGTCTATATTTATTTTCATGCATGTTTATAGCTCAAGTTACTGAAACCCGTCTCCCAGAAACAACAGATCCGTTGACACAATCATCGGCTTTCACTAAGAGACCTGTTACAACAACTGAACCTAAAGAACCAGTTAGCTGTAAGTGATATGCTTGTCTATTTTAACGTTTCAAAGTTTCTGCCTTAGAAGGAGGGGGCATTGAAATGAAATGTAATTCGGGGAAATCTGTATGTGCATGTACCTCCTGCTAAAAAGGTATTCATTAGGCGTATTGGAGTATAGTTTTCATTGAGCACGATCAGTACTCCTATAAAGATAGATCTAAACGCCAATGTTTTCGAGAGACTGCATTTCTGAAATGAAATGTAATTCGGGTAAATCTGTCTGTGCGTCTACTTTCTGTTAAAAGGGGTTTATTAGGCGTATTGGAGTATAGTTTTCATTGAGCACGATCAGTACTCCTATAACGATAGATCTAAACGCCTATGTTTTCGAGAGACTGCATTTCTGGTTTTGATTTGTTTTATTATTGTTATTAGCCGTCGCCGATTAGGATTTTGTCTTTTTTTTTTAATTACACATTATTCACTTTTTGCTGCTTTTTATAGATATCATCTACATCGTACTGACGGCTCTTGTACTTCTGCTTCTCCTGGTCATTTGTTTCCTTCTATGCTACGCTAAAAGAAGACGGAGGTACTTTTTTTGTTCATAAGATGTTGTTGTTGTTATTGCTGTCTACGAACACAATCCATATATCCCAAGTTCATAGCTTATATACCTAAGCTACGTGAAACTATGGCAATATTAATACTGCTGCGCTGAATGTAAAAGGATGATCAAAACTTGTATTAAACCCCTTCCTCAGATATGACCTATCGCGGACCAATCCCGGTATTCCACACATCATCCATTGTTCGAAGTCCCACACGAAAACCTGTGGGAGGGAGGGGTACATAGGCGAGTTTACCCATGATATTGTTCGTTCAAATATTTAGTGAAAAGGTGGATAAAATATTATATCAATGACAACGATGCCAGCCTGTTTCGAGAGATCTGTTGATTTGCATACTCCCCCCCCCCCCCACACTCCATGAGTTCTCATCCATACCTAGGAATATGTCTCTTATTAGTACTTTTTATCGTATATAATTGATATGATGATACGATGCCTGTGCGTTTGAGGGTACCGTATGATGCGCGCTGTAGTTTCAACACTACAAAATTCACTTCTCATTCTGCTATCCAAACATGACAGTAGATACAATATATCAATCCCTTTTCCAGTCAGGATTCAAGGCCAGGGTATTCGAATTGCATACATGTCAAAACATTCATCACAACATTTCTAAATGCCAGGTTTTTTATTACATATGAAGTTGGTAGCCGCGCATAGTAACAATTGGATCGGAACAAAATATGAAATAAATACATTTAGATGTTAATTTATGTTTGTTAACTCCACAAGCCTCGGTAACTTATGGGACACAAAAGGGACAAATACCATGAATTTGCCCATATACAGGGTAGCCCAATTAAAACGGAATAGCAGACTTCCGATAATTTGATAAAGAGGTTCCCGTTTAGGGAGCAGTCTATGACGCAAGGTATGAATTCAAATTTGTCCAGAATCAATGAAACTACGTTTTAAACAATTCGTATAATTTCATGTCTGTGTTTAACAAGTTATTGAAAAAGAAAGTAAAAAAGGAAAACGCTGTGTGTCGAATGTTATGTTAGTCTTCAATCTGACGTGTGAATACAGCTTGACTATAAAAGCTCAGGCAGAATATAATTTCTGAAACTACACAACGATACGTTATTTTCTGCAAGGAGCACTGTAGGTGGACGTCTTCATAAAAATGTTTCAGAGAAATGCGTCCACAAAAAAACGTGATAACCTTTTTTCTTCTAAACATTTTGCCCATTGATACTGATACCAATAAGAACGCCCTGCATTATTGGAAGTTTGCTCGTCCGTTTTTGAAGGGCAATCCTGTATATAAAATTGTATAAAAAGAATAATTACAGTTCTATTATACATTTATATATGAACACATCGATATTACACTGCAGAAGCCCTGCTTGAAGCAAGGAATGCTAAACTTTTGAACATGATTGTTTTTTGAAAATAGGTCGAGAGTTTTGAAATGATTCCACATTCTAAAAACGCAGGACTCTTTACGTGCTTACCATTGTATGGGTATAATGTGATAACATCTTATTTTTTACTGGTAAAATTAATCTGCATTCACATCTTAATTTGGCGTTTCTATAGCTCATTTTCGATGCTTATTAGCTACATGGCACTTGATGATATTTAGTGTTATTCTAAGGTCATTTCTGTTTACATCTAAGACCAGCATCAAGTCAAAACGACTCCAGAAATGAGACGACTGCTGCCAGAGAACGCCGCTCAGACGGAGGACAACTAGACCATGCATATGATTACCCGCTGGATAAAGTTCGACCTTTACCTTCAACACCAGCATCAAACGAATATGACATCACGATTGAGAGGACTGATGCCGAAGAAGACCGCTCAGACGAAGGACAACTAGACCATACATATGCAGAACAGCCTTACGTGGAAATTATATAAAAGGACGCAGTTATATATAACATGTTCGCAAAGGCTTTCCACAAGTTACCTCAAGGTCATTTTTAATTGTATATCCCATAGAAGTTACGTGCAGATTTAAGACGTAATTGTTATATTCGCACATTTCAAAATGTGATGTTCAGGGCCACTGAAATTGCCTCGTGTTGATTTTCCGAAAGTCGTTTCCGAAAGTTTTTTTAATATTGAACTATACATTGAATATATGGATTTTGGACAACAGTCAACACTTCTCATTATTAATTAATTTCGTTTCTTAACTTCAAGATCTTGCACATTTCATCTTCATTCAATCATTGATCATTTATTTTTTCTTCGGAACCTTGTCAAAAAGTATTCATCGCAACGCGTCCCTTTTGGTTAAAGACAGTTCAGGTTCTTCGTGAACTGCGAACGCGCGGTAGCATAAATAAATTTCGTGGTTGTGGTCAATACAATAAAAAGTAATTGAATAATTTCCATCTAAAAAAGTCACTTTGTAGAAATGACAGGGTAAAAAAAAGTCTTTGAGATTTAAGAATTTTGTCTGTACAAATTTAAAATCATTTATAGAAATCAAAAACATTAGATAGTGATTAAGATTCTTTGTATTCGTTCTATTCTATTATTTACCAATTTCTAATATGTATATTTTGTGTATTGTTTCATTTCTCTATTTTTACATGCTCTGCTATTCAGGGGTGATATCTACTACTCTGTTTACTTAGATCAAAAGATTAATGTAATCAGCGTAGCATTTGAAAGCACTTCTATTTGTATGAAAAGCTAGGTATTTCATTTCAGTACAGTTCTTCGTTTGTTCACAGTAATCGTTTGTTTTCGACTTTCGTTTTTTTTCTTCTTGGACACTGTACAACATCTTGTAATGTTGTGATGTAAATTCAGTCGAGTCAAACATTATTGTAGGTACTTTGAGGATCATTCTAGTTGCTTTGAAGTGAATTTGGAAGGAAGAAAACCAAAGGTCTTTCGACACCTAATGCTAAATAGCTATTAAAGTGCTCAGACTTTGGAATATTATGTGTAATAATTATAATAATCATCATGTATACATCGATGTATAATTATATATATTTGTATCGCTGTATCATGGTGTAGAAACTATGGCATGGGAAATAACAAGGATATAATTTAACTTTAATTTTCACTACACTCGAGAAATCACCAAGTGCGAGTACAAGTGAACTCGTGTACAGTTGCATAGATTAATTGCCTTTGGTAAAACACCAAACGAAAAAGATCGTTTTAGTAACGTAATCAAAATATCATTCATACGTTTTCGTGAAGTTCCAAAATATTCTATTCAACTTTTACAAATAATTGTATTTCAACAGTCAGAATTTAAATTGCATACATAATTTGTTGCTAGGTAGGACATAACTGATGCATATGGATACATAGGTTATATTAACATGTGCTAATGCATAAATGAATATCAAAAAGCGCGTCCCGAAATATATATAAAATGCTGCTAAGGGATCGACGAGTCAGACCTCGCTGGTATTGCTAACACGATCAACAGGTTCTTCGTCAGCATATCTGAAGACATCGGTAGACTCGATTTGACTGATCTCCCAACCTATCTCCCTGCTCTACCACTGCCTGTTATTAAACCTTGGGGTGTCTACTGGGAATTGCAACATCTTAACAGACGGAAAGCTCCCGGTCCAGATAGCATCCCAGCTCGGATCATCTCCGAATTTGCGTTAGAACTGAGTAGCCCTCTTACGGCCATTTTCAATGAATCTATCAGAGAATCGGTGGTGCCACACCGCTGGAAACGTGCAATTGTGGTACCTATCCCCAAAACCTCCAAACCCACCATAGGAGACTTGAGACCGATATCGCTCACAGATCATTTCGCAAAGATCCTGGAGAAATTCATCTCAAAGTGGCTGGTGGGTGACATTGGACCTGCGATTGACAAGTCACAGTACGGCAATAGGAAGGGCTACTCGACTGCACACTATCTGATAGATATACTAAATACCATCCATCGGAATGCCGAAAATCCCAAAACGGTCACAACACTGGTGGCTACAGATTTCAGCAAAGCTTTCGACAGGATAGATCATGGACTAGCGGTTAGGAAACTACTCGAAATGGGGGCATCCCCGTCTTTGGTGGCATGGATTTCCAGCTTCCTTTCCAATCGAGAACAATGTGTGCGCTACATGTCACAGCTCTCTGACTGGATGGAGATCTCGGCAGGTGCCCCACAGGGCACTCGACTTGGGCCGCTTATCTTTCTCTGCATTATCAACGACGTGTTCAAGGACAGTGATGTTCAGTGTTGGAAATACGTCGACGACCTCTCCCTGCTTGAATGTAGGAAGGCAACGGATCAACCCAAAATCCAAGAAGTGGTAAATGATCTTGAGAAATGGACCAAAGACAATAGCATGAAACTGAACCCTAGCAAATGTGTCGTCATGAACATTCAGTTCATGAGAAACCAGGCAACCGTCCCAAAACTAAAAATTGGTGACCTGGAAATAAGTGAAGTACAACTAGTTAAGCTTTTGGGTGTGTTTGTACAGGAGGACTTAAAATGGTCATATCATGTCACAGAAATGGTCAAGGCGGCAAGCATGAGGCTACACATGATGCGTATCTTGAAAGGTTTTCGGCTACCTGTTGAGGATCTGAAAGTTGTGTATTGTTCGTACGTGCGCCCGAAAGTCGAATACTGCGCACCTGTTTGGCATTCAGGTTTGACTAGGGCAGACAAGAAACTGATAGAGAGAATTCAGAAACGAGCGTGTCGCCTCATGCTTGGCCAAAGATACACGAGTTATGATGATGCCCTCAATGTTCTTGACCTTCCCACACTGGAGGAGAGGAGGGAAAGGTTAACAAAGAAATTTGCGAGTAGTCTCACAAAGGAAACGTCCCCCTTCTATCACTGGCTCCCCCCTACGCGGGCTTCCCGCACTTCCCGCAACCTGCGCAACGCTAATGACTATTCCGAAATCAAATGCAAAAATGAGCGCTACAGAAAGAGCGCACTCCCCTTCATTGTGAGGTTACTCAATTCAAAACAGGAATAATGTAAAGACATATCGTTTGTTCATAAATGCTGAGCATAAACGTAAATCAAATTGTTATCTTATAGATGTGCTTGAAAGAAAACTTATATTGTTTACTGAAGGTTTACTGTTTTGTTTATACGGATTATATTAATTTCAATATTGCATTACCAACCATACGTCCATTTTGTTCTCCATATACATGTACATTGCACCCACATGACAATAGGCCTACTTTGAAGCATGCAAAACAGATAATTTTTCTTACCACTGGTCATAATTTATTCAACTGTTATATTCTTCCTATGAATTTGCATTTAAAGTCCTATCATAAAACACTTATTTTTCCACATCCATTACCCACTTCCGTTATCCCACCATCAATATTCTTTGATCTAAGATGTACCTATAATTGTTTGTTATGAATGTACTATTTTTAATGACTTTGTAATACTATTGTATTTTGTGCAGTATCCGTGTGTTAATATTTATGTAAATTGCACTCAATTCAGCCGAAAGGCTGCCATGTACAATGTTTTTTATACCACAATAAATAAAAAAAAAATAAAAAAAAAATGCCCCATCCAGTTCAAGTTGTGATCGGCAAACCCTCAGACTTGTTTGACGAGAACGTGGTTCAACATTATTCCAGCTAGAACATTTTCTCTTCGGCACATGTTCCTATTTTGCACACGTTCAGATTACATAAACCGACAGGCGCCAAAAACATAATGTCAACGCACAGCGAGACGAACGCTGGATACGTGTTCATGAAAGTTGTCCATGTGAGTTGCCTGTAATGCTTGACAAAAAAGCAAGTAGTCAATCCAAACGGCACGGGTGTCGACTCAATCAAGCATACGAGACTTCTTCCATTTGTAGGGTTGACGAGTATGCAAATACAAATTCTATTTTAGTTGAATAGCATTGGCATTCGACTTAATGTGGTGAATCACTGTTCATGTATTCTGATAGGTGGTATTATTCACTTCAAGTCTTAATTTAGGTTTTAAAAAACCGTGCCCGTTCAAAATTAAATGTCGCGCTTGTAAGCACGGGAATGTCTTCTGGGTGATTCTTGGGGCTCTCCTGTTTACAATTTTAGCAGATGATTATTACATAACTAAAGAAAATCTATCATGATGCAAAAATGTAAATAGATAGTCTTGCAGAATTATAAACGCAGCTGAAACTACATGTCAAGCAAAAAGTAAGCGAAAATGTATTAGTTTATAAAAATAGATTGATTACCAATTATGACAAGATAGGAGCATCTTAAAAGGCTCGTTACGAGAATTGCAATGATATTCAGATCAATAGTAATAGATTATTTGATTATATAATATGATTATTACATATTCTATTGCCTTTAGTATCATCATCATGTAAACCCAGTACAATTATTTTAGTAATGTTTTCTCATAGTTCTAATATTCCATTATCTTTAATATCTGTATGCTTTTTTAGATCAAAATAACTTGTAGTGCTCTGTGGTAGACGAATTTGCATCGCTGCATAGTCAACCCTGATTTCAGATTATGAATAAAGAAATCAGTTAATAAAACCAAGGTGTCGTTATATATTTGCATTCAGAGAAAGAAAACCCAGTTGTGATCGAATGCAGTTGTGGATACTAGACCGAAATGGAGATGATAGAAAGAAATGGAATAAGGAGTATTATAAGTAGGTCGAGGGGAAGACAGAGACAACAAAATGTTTAGGAAATGACGGGGAAAGAGCGGGAAAGACTGAGAGAGAGAGGGGGAGGGGAGATCCGGCAAATGTCCCAAAGTATCCCCACATTTCTTTTCTTTTTTAATTTCATTTTCATGACATCCAATTTCAAAAAGTCAAATAAACTTTTATTTTGTCCACGATTATAACTTCAATTTTCCTAAATTAAAAAGTCGTATTTCTCGATTACTTCGGATCACATAATGTGATACAACTAATCCCATTTGTTGCTTTGATCGATACAATCTGGCCAATATAGCTAGGATTTTTACGATACCTAGAGGGCCGTTTATCGAAATCGTTATAAAGTCTCAGTGTCTTAGACATCCCATGGATATCCACGAGCTTAGACATATGACGGCTTCGAGAAAGCGGCCCCTGCTTCAATGTCAGCGTTGCTGGAAAACTGGTTAACTTGCGATTGTAAGTCTTCACAAAAACGAGTGAGTATAGCACTGGCTTCATTCCTTATCTGCAGTAATTTCTTTTCAAGATCATTGCATGTTGTTTAGTGTTCAATTATATCCATTGATTTGAAGAAAACCTAATAGACGCCTCGTGAGTAGTACATTTTTGCTTCGTTTGTCATTTAACTAGATCGTCTAGAATGCTTGAACCGACCTTGTGTAAATGGGGGAAATTGCATCGAACAAGTCAACGGATATACATTTGTGATTTTGCTTTAAAATAATCAATTTAAAATCGTGATAAATCACTGTGATTACTGCCAGTAAAAAGGGTACACACAAACTCAATCTATATACCGTGGCGGATCCAGGGGGGGGGGGGACGGGGACGTGCCCCCCGGGCCAAAAAAAATGTGTTAAAATCAGCCCTAAATTCGCCCAAAATGTACTAAAAAACAGGGACGTGCCCCCCCCCCCCCCCCACCCCGGCCCAACAAAAATCATAAATATTTTTTATTTAAAAAAAAAAAAAAATGCCAATGGTTGACCTAAAAAGGTGACCTTACTTTCCCCCGCCCCCCAACAGAGCAAAATGTCAAAATTTAAAATTACGTGACCAAAAAACAAAAACAAAAGTGTCCACTTACCCCCCCCCCCCCCCCCCCCCCTGCTTATTCAGCGGCTGGCTGAGTCGTTGCGATTTTTGGGGACCTAAAAACATAATATATATATGTTCTCTTTCCCACCGTGTGCCCCCTCGTGTGCCCCCCCCCCCCCGGTAAGAAATTTCTGGATCCGCCACTGATATAATTGCATAATGATTGTAATATACACAATAATTGTGTTAGTAAACTGGTTTATTTAGGGTAGCGGTGATTAAACGAACGCATTTAGTTCTTGTTTACATCACTCTTCACGCAGGGGTACGGATGCCAATTGCGGCTATAAATAATATAATTCATATTATCATATAGCCCTTTAATAAATATATCATATTTATGGTACATATTCCATCGTACTACTGGAACATTCAACTCTATAGTATTTGATTTACTATGTTTAACAGTCAGCAGATAGAAGTGGCAAAAACTATTTTCATATCTAAAGAAAGCAGAAGGACGTATTTTAGAACATTTAAAGTAAATGCACATCACTACATCAGAGCTTAAAATCTTAGTCTTGTCACGTTTTGGGAGCAACCGGATTCCGTCTGAATTTCTTGAAAATCGACATAAAAAATGATAACTAAATTCATATTCAAGACATATGACAACTCGTCCTTTCTTTATCTTAGAATATATATAATAATCATTCCAATTTTCAAAAGCAGAAACCATTAAAGAGAACATTGATTGTAATCATCGTGGTTATTCAGATAAAACATTCATTTATTACGATCTTCATCAAGCCAATACTTTTCGGGTCCGGTACTGAAAAAAATGCACACACGATGATAAAGTATTGGATTGTTGTTACATTCAAAGTAATACAGACCTATCCTTGATATGAATGAAAGTGATGTAACATGAAATTGGCATAAGTATCCTAACTTGCCCATCGCAGTATCATAAATACCTTTATTCACCCATACAACGCACTTAAATCCCAATTTCCTAAGATTCTTTTTTCCGAAGGCTCGTAATTCCGAATTATAAAATACCATGGAGTTCATGATTCCAAAAACGAACCTTTGGAATTATAAACCTTTCTAGTAACGTATCTTCACAATAATGAACATTCGGATGTATGAACCTTTGGAAAAAAAACAGACATTTAACCTCCAGGGCACTGTCATGTGCTTTTAAATCAGAGGTGCTAAAGAAAAGGCCTATTTAATGTAGGCCTATGCAGAAAAGCACGTGTGTATACTGTATACTTAATTCGGATAGAGGCAAGATGTCACTTTCACTTGAAACAACGCAATTAGTTTTTGGATTCTATAACTTTTCATTAAAAAAAATATGATTTCCTGGTTGACACGAGATTCTGTGAACACGTCTATAAATTCGTCGGCGTTATTATGAACCGACGAATCCGTCATATGTAATACTGTACAGATTCGTCGGTTAACACCGGTGAATCGTTCCTTAAAGATAATCTTGAGGTCTGTTATTATCGGGTGACATCCAAATATAAGTCGATTCCTGTTGATGTGCAGGGTTGCATACAATTCATATTTAGTTATTCAAGCTTTTACATATATTTCATAGATTTTTTAAATATTTTTGTTAATAATTTGTTCAGACCTGCTAAGCTCCACCTTAAAAAATGCTCAGAATCTCATTCATCTTTTGTCATCATCTGTAAATGAGTGACATCATCATTAGTGAGTTGACAAAAGACAGTGGTTTGTTACTCCCCCAGCTCAGCACATGCTTATAACAGAATTGCATTCTTTCATATACAATACCTCCACATTACCTTTCTTTTCCTGGTGAAGCTACAGCACGTCTGGCATAGCAACTCCTATGTTGGTATTGTATGGTATATTGTAAACGGGTGGTCTGCTCTGGTTAAGCTTAAAAAACACTCTCTCTTCAACAGTTTCTCTTCAGATTTACACCAATCGTTAATAAGAAAAAGGCAAAATAAACATAGATTTCTTTATAACGGACGAGTCTTTTTTTCAAAACTCATTTAAATGCACTGTTTGGCTCCCTCTTTCGTCAGAAGCCCGATATATTATATTCTTCTCGGTGGGCAATTCATTCATCCCGAAAAGCCAGAACCTATCTTGACTGTGTATGTGGAGAAACTTGAGTTTATTTATACGTGAGTTTAGCAGACCCACATTATTTTCAAATTTCCCCAATGCTTGTATTGAAACAACATTACGCTCAAAATGAAATGGGAGAGAGAGAGAGAGAGAGAGTGAAGGAGAATTGATGACGATGGCAGTGTGTTGTGCGGAAAATAATGAATTGCCTCCTTTGTTTGAACACTGCTTTTCCATCTTAACACGTATTTGTGAATCGTATCATACTTTTAATTTGCAGTGGCATTATTATGTATTTCAATGAATAAAAGCAACCACTAATCTTTATTAATAATCCAAATACGCCATAAATATACAGGCATATACTAGGGACTTTTAGATTTGCATGTCGACATAGTGGACTGCTACGTGTGACGTCCTTTTCAGGCACTGTTAGTGCAGGACGTGACAGTGCTTTAAAAGGACGTCACACGTAGCAGTCCACTATGTCGACGTGCATATCTTAACGTCCCTAATAATAGCTTTCTATGGAATAAAGAAATTTCATGTACAGATATCTCTGCCAGACACCAATACGTGACGATAAGATTTTTTTCTTGCCGAAAAGCTAGTTGAATGGATACATACAAAGGTCACTGTTTTTTTCATTGTGTGTCTAGTCTAGGTATATTGTCCCATGGCTATCGGAAAAATACAATTTTGTTTGAAATGAACTTTTTGTTGAATTAGACACGCAAATTAACCATTTCGTGATGTGTTTTTTAAAGGGGTGGCGGGGAAATCCCATTTCAAAACAAATCGGAGTCCAACATGAATTCTCATATCACATTCTAAAGGAACATATCATATTGACAAATTAGTTTCTTCTTTACAGAGACAAGTGCAAGGTGTGCTTAGTAATATAAACCTATAGTTTCCCTTAAATACTCATTTTCTAGCACTGCAGGAATCAATTGTGACTTTTAAAGATTAACATGATAAAATAGTCGAGCGCTGAATAAATATTTTGTATGTAAGCCCATTCTACTGCAAAACATTAACATTAGTACTAGTTTAAAGCCAGTAGGCAATTATTGTTTGGTGAATTTTCCCTTGGGTACATAATGCAAATTATGACGCTCATATTATAGCTATTATTCATGGTTTTGGGTTACTATTGGGAAGACATTATCCTGTCAAATGATATTATACTCTAAACAACATTCTTAAAGTTGCAATAGGAGCTCTGCGTAAAAAATATTAATAATATTATTAGTAATAGGTGACTTATATCAGAAAATTCCTTTTAGGGCACTGTCAGTGCCTTAAAAGGACGTCACACGTAGCATCCATGTTGTCGTGCAAATCTAAAAGTCCTTTCCAATAGCTTACCGTACAGGAACGTCGCTTAAATAAAATAAATTATAAAAACGTGGAGGGGGGGGTGAGTTTCTCCATCGTCCTTTTAGGGCATTGTCAGTGCCTTAAAAGGACGTCACACGTAGCAGTCCTTGCAAATCTAAAAGTCCTTAATAACAAGAGCTCCGTGCGGACCTTACGACTACCTGAGTACACGAAATTAGGGGCCTACCCTGATTCAGGGGCATTAACACCGTGACAGCATTTAAGGCGATTGACGATACAGAACTCCCGACATCCTTCGACCAGTCACTGCCGGGTCTAGTGGTTCACACCCGTCCTGGCTTGTCCTCGCCGGTCTGAAACTGCCACCAGTTCCCTGAGAGAGTGCCATTAGTAACTTGTAAGAGCTCCCGGTACTTACCCACCTTTGCAAGCAGCCTTCATGATTATGTTTTAAATTAAAGGCGGTCATTGTAGCTTTGCTACTAATAGCACTTAGGTAGGGGAAGAATATTAGTTATACCATATAATAAAAGAGGGAGTGGGTATCATTTGTCCGCAAAAAAAAAATGTTCCCTCTATATCTCATACTTTGCCCATGGACCTCCTACAAATTGGATTTGGTAATTCTACAGAAATATTATAATTATTCTAAATGTAGTTTATAATTCAAAAAGAAGTGTATAATCATGGCCCATTGGGCGCTTAAGGGCGGGGTGCTGCCCCTTTGTCAAGCCAGATAGGTAAGCCATTTTAACAACTCGAGATCCCTCTGGCCTAAGGATAGTTGCTGTCTAGTTTGGTTAAATTATAATAATGAGTTTTTGACGAAGTAAAAAATGCGAAAATTATATATGGCCATACGGGCACTTTGAAGAGCCACCCCCATGCCGGTCAAAAAGTACCAGTACCTGCCATGTCATAATAGTGCACCATCTCTTCGCACTTTTATGCCCTAAACTTGAACCGAAACATGAATATAAAGTTTGAAAAATTGCGTCTATATTTCTTCACATCCGTTGGATTTTCTTTCCTCAGTTCCTCATTTGACAAAATCTGGTTTTTTTTAAAAGTTTCCCCTTTTAATCATTGTACATAATGTAAAAACATTTTGAATTCAACAACAACCCATTCTTTTCTATTAATACAATTTTTTATTTGTGAACCCTCTCGCGAACTCATTTCTTTAGAGCGTCAACATACCTATTGAAAGTAGTAAGACACAATAGATGGCAGCCTTAGAGCGGCTTGCAGGTATGCTGATCTAATAATTCATACAGAATGCGCCCCCGCAATAGGAAAATCACCATACCCCGAACCGGGTGACACATGAAAAGGGGGTGTTTGATTGGCTATAAAATATGGGCCAAAGTGCGATGTCGAAGTCGCGATGAACTGGAAGTTATTAAACGCGAGGGTCTTTTGAACGATACGGGACTCTAAACTAGATAGGCGGAACAGGATTTTTTATTTTTATTTCGGTGTTGGCAGTGTACAGTACAAACTCAATTTCTTATTAAAGGCTTTTTGAGACAGATTATTCAATAATAAAATTGGTCAGAAGGGTAGCAGATAACCATCTGTGACCATGAAGACGTCTCTCAAGATGCCGGTCCTTCTTTTCTTCCTCTTGTCCACTTTACTCCTGACAGAAGTCCCTGCTGTTGGCGGTATGTATTTTCGAAGGATCTTTTTGAGTGATTAATACATCAGTCACACCACCAAACGGACACAAAACTGACTGATTCTTAGACATTCCTCGTAATGTAAATTCGTGGTCGGTGTGTTGTTGGTCTGGTGTGGGTCTCGTGTCTATTATTTTCACCCTGTTCTAGCTATTTTTCTCTTGATCTGACATAAGCTCCTTTAATACATTTTATAGTATACCATTTGTCTAGCTCTCGTTTTAGGTTATCTAGTTTTTCTTTATCGGTATCATTTAAATGTTCATCTTCTACTGAACACAATTGTCTTAATTCCTTTTCCATGTTCACATAATACCGTTTCATTTTTTCTTGTTTTAATCTTGCGTAACTTATACTATATTCTTTTAATTTAAATTTACAAATTTACAACTATTTTTGGTATTGAAATTGCTCTCTTCTATCTTCCCTGAAATTTACGTGTCTGAAATTTATTTTTTTGTACAATATTTCCCGTTGATCCTTCTAACTATATAGCATTGAATTCAGCATTTAAAAAACGACATCAACAAAAAATTTCTATTTGTTGTAATGGCACGTTCACTTCAAGTGCAATGTTGTTAATGAGATAAGTGAACAATTGAAACTTGAATCTGTATATGCGTGAGCAAATTTGAAAGAAAATTAGGTGTTGGAATTGAAGTTAAATGGAGATAATAAGCAAATAATTACCGTTGGTGAAGGTGATGGGACAAACTATCACTTCCGAGGCGATATGGATGTAGCTATCTTTCCGAAGCGAAGCTGAGGAAAGATAGCGTATACATTCTGATCGACGAGGAAGTGATAGTTTGCCATCGCCTGAAAACAAAAGGTGATTATTTGCTTTATATTCCACATCTAAAACAATTTAATTACAAAAAGTAAAGGACGTGTATGCATCTACATTAAAGACACCTAGGCCCAAATTCACACCAAAAAAAATAAAAAGTTTATAACCCAACCCCTTGAGGGTACGGTGCGCGCATGTGTTTGTTTTAATTGCGCTCATTGGTAATGCGCGCTTAATTACGCCTGTTTTAGTGCGCTTTTGGATAATCTTCAGTGAAAGTGCGTTGCCCTTTGTAGATAGTACCTCTATCTTCAGTAAAAGTGCGTTGTCCTTTGTAGATAGTAGTACTATCTACAAAGGGCAACGAACTTTTTGCTTCTCCCATCAATGATGGGCGAACTATCTTTGATCACGTGATTTACTCATGACCAATCGTAGAGCAAGATTCTTAGTATGTGGAATATAAATTTAGATAATGAATTAGGTAAAATTGTGTGACATTCATCTCATTGTATTTATAATGAAGTAGCAATACACTACTGCATAGTATTGTATAGTATACTACTGGATCATTCGATAAATGAGACCGGACGCCGCTTGTAAATTGCATAACTGTTTTATTCAATCTGTAATCAAAAAAGAAGATACAGATAGAAAATCCGGTGTTAGCATTCAGATATTCAGTCATAGAGTTACACACAAGATATTTCATTGAATGGTTCACTGTATGTCTTGCCAAAAATCTCAACCAAAAATTAACTCCATGATGTTCAGAGCACAAGCATGTGCATATACATGCAACGCCTTAATCCAATAGCTTGTCACATACACCTGTCAAAGTGGCTTTCACAACTGACCTAAATAATTATGCGCAGAAGCAAACATGACTTCCTTTGCATTCAATCCACCTTGCTAAATAACTGTTGCTGATTTTCAAACTCAGCCAAAATGAGAATTTATCAAACTTGTAAATCTCCTTTCCTTTTGATACAACCAAATGACCAAATTATTCTTTAGAAATTTGCATACAATTTATGCGCACTCATTAAGTGTTTTCTTTTATGAATTTATACAAATAGCATGGCATTCTTTAATTTGCCAAGACTAAACCTTTTAATTCATACACTTGCATAAATTGCCTGTTACGTACATGTTTACTTTCTCCAAATAAACCAAGTTCTTTGTTCATATGAGCAACCAAAGTTCAATATGCATGCAGTATTTTTACAAACTAAATATCAGGTCCTAGACACTTCACTTTGTGAATGACCCTAATAGCAGTGACCTACTTTTTGCAAGCCAGATTTCATGCATGGTGAAATTAACTCTTACTCTTAAAACCAATCTTGGTTTTCATCATTTTTATGTAAATAAGCTATAATCAAATATCTCACTCCATTTACACTCACTTCTAACTATATCTGTGCAATACTTTGTGTCTCTGCGTTAAATTACAATTTCCACTGAATTTACGGCTTTTCGAAATAAACAACAACTTTCACTTGACCGATAGACGTAAAGTCTTAACAGTGCGCACAATGCCCTATTTGAAACTGTACGCACATACCAAATTAATCTGACACGTTGACACAAAATCTTGCACAGTTTATATCTCAACATTGAATTAATCTACACATTTTTATCCTTCATTAAACAAGTATTGAGTATTTCATGATTTAAACTTACTCTATGGGCGGCGGTAAACTCTACGTAAAAGGACAAATTTGGGGACTTTCCGTCCCACCGGAATACTCGTACTTTGACTTTCTCTGGAACGTAATGTGTCTGCAAAAAAACTCATGTTACGGTGTCTTCAAGTTTCAAACAACATTTAAAAAACAGATCAAGAAAAATGATTAAAGAAACTGCTGTTTCAATGAAACACACTCCCCGCCCAGATGAGGGCAATTATGGTCCTTATCTTTTAACCTACATCACACTCAAACTTCATATCCCTCAGATGGATAAATGACCACTATTTTAGTTATTGGTCTGTTAAGCTTAGTGCTTACAGTTTTCACTTTCACATTCCTAATTTTCCCATCTGACCCAGATAGACATGAACAATTCTGCCTATTGTCCACTTGCCCCTGACCGCGTTATGGTCAGCTACCATGACTACGTCATAAACTCGTACATTTCGTTTCTCTGTGTTCCATTTACGTCGCGGAACTAACAATGGGAACACATCTCTATTCCATATCTTCCAAAATTCATTCACAATACGTTGAACAAATTCTACCCTATGATTAGGATTCTTAGTTTCTTTGAAAGGACCCTGAGGTATCTTAGAAGAAGACCTTCCCAACAACATGTCATTCGGACATAAGTACGCACCGTCGTCTGGGTCATTGGGCGATCTTCCTATTGGTCGTTGATTGACCAAGTTTGCGACTTCTTGTAGGCATGTGGAGTTCAAACGGTGTCAACACTTGGCTTCCTATCGCTTTTTTCAACGCGATTTTACAACTTCTAACAAGCGACTCTGCGGTGCCGTTCTGATGAGGCGCTTGAGGCGTTATGAATCTCCACTCAGTTCCACGTTCAGCGCAGAAATCCTTCAACTCCTGATCGTTCCAACCTTTCACCATTTCTCGCAGTTCTCTTTCTGCGCCTACAAACTGTGTACCATTATCGCTAAACATACGGGCTGGTTGTCCTCTAATCGCGAAAAATCTGCGAAACACTTGTAGGAACTCTGAAGTTGAACAATCGACGGCCAACTCTAAATGCACAGCTCGTGTATTGAGACATGTAAATATTACCCCGTAATGCTTTGCGGTTTTGTTCCTGCTAATCTTTACATTAATTGGCCCAAAATAATCACATGAACAATAATGAAATGGTGGGGTAAATGGGGCCACTTTCTCTGTTGGCAAATCTGCTATCTTTTGACTTTCGATCTTGTACTCTGGATCGACACTCAACACACCTGTATTTGATGGTTTTAGCTAACCTATGCCCCTTATGATCCAATATCTCCTTCTGACTTTAGCCACTATCGACGCTACTCCATCATGACCCTTGTCATGGAAATGACACGTGATAAGAAAGCAGATTAGTTGGTTACGCGGTAGGAGAATGGGGTGCTTATCTTCATATGACATTGAACCTTTGTCGACTCTCCCTCCTACACGGACTACTTCCTTCTCTATGAACGGACTCGGTGATTTCAGATCCACAGACTTCAATCTCTCGCGTAACGATTTCTGAGCGTGTTGAATCCATTGGGTCTCGGCATCATCAAGCTCATTTGGCGTCAACGATGTGTCGGTTGCTGTAGCTTCATCCTGCTTCTTCCGAACTCTGGACTTCAATTGGCGAACAAATCTCAGTATGTAGGCCGTTACCCGTACAAGTCTCCTCCAGCTTGAGAATCTTGAACAATCTATTACCTCCGCTTCAGTTATGTGGAGGACTCTCTTGATGCTGCGTTTCTCTTCGTCGATCTCGACTGGATCCGGTTGAACTCTTTCTTCAGGCCACTGTTCCTCTGGTAAGCAGATGAATTCTGGCCCACTCTTCAATCTACCTTCATGCTTATCAATGGTTATACCCCTTGAAATGTCATCTGCTGGGTTCAACGGGTCAGGCACGTGCTTCCACTGTTGTGGATCTGAGTTAGTTTGAATCTCCCCTATTCTGGCTGAAACAAACGGCTTGAAGTTTCTGGCTTGACTTCTGATCCACGATAATGCGATCATGTTGTCGACAAAATATATTGTCCTTTCCAAATCCAACTTCAGCTCTCTCTTGATCGGCGCACTTAGTCTGGTTGCCATTGCTGATGCTTGTAGCTCTAGTCTTGGTATCGTGAGCCTTTTCAAGGGAGCTCCTCTCGACTTAGCTGTGACGAATTTGGTTTGAAACTGTCCGTTCGTGAGCTGCCATCTCAAATAAGCACATGTTCTATATACATGTACGCTTTCTGACGCTTCTGAGAAAACACACAACGTAGGTTTCTGCTCTGCTGTTGGTGGTGTTAGACACCTATCTTTCCTTTCGATGTTACAGAAGTCTGATACAGGTAGGTCCACTGGTGATGCTAACTGGACATGGAGGACCCTGCTAGTAGCAGATGAGGATTGATTAGGCCCAAACACTACCCAACCTATTGGGGACTTTCTCGCAACTAACTTTTCTGCTTGTCGTGTTTGACCTGTGTGAAGGGTAGGATGATCTATGCCAATCAACAGGTCGATATCTCCACCTCTGCGATGAATACTTTGATGATCGATTTTCAGTACTTCTGCTATTTCTTTAACGTCCACTTCATCCACGTCACTTATGAAGGGTAGAGCTACTGCTCGTATCATGTAAGTTGGCGAATTACCATCTACAGCTTTGACTGGAACTTTGTAGACATGGGTTTCTACAGTATCTTCCTGTCCGCCTATCTTCTTGATTGTTATAGCAGTTTTAGTACCCTGAAGATTCAGTTTATCGGCCACGGACTGCTTGATAACACTGACTTGAGATCCTGAGTCTATCAAGACGTTCCCCTTCACCTTACTGGAACCCTTCTGCCCCATTATCGCTGCTTCAAGAACTGGCAGCATTGCTTCTCTCTCTGCATAATTGGATGCAACTGCAATGTTGGATGCTACAGTTACACTGCTACTCCTTTCGTCCAAGTGTAGAAGGGGATGATGAAAATATCTACACTGACCTTCACTGCACTGCCTTTTCCTTCTACAGTTACTCATTCTGTGGTCCTTGCCTGCTTTCTTCAAGCAACTGAAGCAGGCTTTATTCTCCTTCATTAGCTTAAGCCTCTCTGGTTGTGTCATAGTAATGAGCTTCTGACACTGATCAACCCAATGGGTATCTGTTTGGCAGATCCAACACTTTGGCGGAAGTTTGGTACGGAAGGTTGTGTCTTGCCTGGTTGTATCTGGCCTTGTTGAATCTCTCTCTTCAGTCTTGATATGATGTATTTGCTGACTTGTCTTTGCTGCTCTGATCGGGGCTGTAGCTCTGATTCTTGCAGTCATTTCCCCTGTCATCCAATCTATGAGCATGGATACGGATGCTTCAGAGTCCTTCGTGTTTAGATGACGGAACCAAACCTTCTTGTCTTCAATGTGCAGCTTTTTTTCTATCGTTGCTAGCACTTGGGGATTGTCCATATCTGCTTCGTGTCCAACATCTTTCATAGTGTTGTGACTCCGGAGGACAAGCTGTGTCAACTCGCAAAACCGACCATCCTCTCCTTCTCTCAATGCTCTGAATGTATTGATGTCATTAAGCACAGCATCAGCTAAGAACCGGTGACTTCCATAAATTGCATCGAGGAACTTCCATGCAGCCTTATAGTCACTGACTCCTCTCAACATTTCTGCTGGCTTTCCCTCTAAACAGCTTCTCAGTAGAGTGACAGCATCTCTATCTGTGTAGATACTGGAAAGATGCACGAAGTCTGTCTTAAAGATGTTATATTCTCGAACATCTCCCTTGAACTTTGGAAGTTTCAACTTCTCTAACTTGAAAGACGACGTACCTGATGATGAAGGTGCTGATGCTGAACTGGAGGGGGGCGGTGTTGATGTTGAACTGGAGGGGGGCGGTGTTGATGTTTCCTGAGGCTCTACTCGGTGTAAGTACTGCTTACATTCAATCTTTAGCCTGCTGAACTCACTATGGATTTCGTTCATCCATCGTTCTTCGATTTCAAATTCTGCATCATCAACTATCTGCTCAGCAAACTCTTCGTGTGCCGTCTGTACCTCTTCAAACGCTGATTGGAAGTGTTCAAGTGCTTCCTTTACTTCTGTTTCTGGTCTGCTGGCTTCTATAATTGTGGAAAGGGTGTTGCTGTATCTTGTAAAACGCCCCTTTTTTCCTCGACGTCTTAGCTTCAGGGATTTTGTATCCGTCATCTTGAATGGATCAGGAACTCTCTACTCTGCGGTGACCCCTGGTTACTTCAAGAATTGAATTGATGGATCATTCGATAAATGAGACCGGACGCCGCTTGTAAATTGCATAACTGTTTTATTCAATCTGTAATCAAAAAAGAAGATACAGATAGAAAATCCGGTGTTAGCATTCAGATATTCAGTCATAGAGTTACACACAAGATATTTCATTGAATGGTTCACTGTATGTCTTGCCAAAAATCTCAACCAAAAATTAACTCCATGATGTTCAGAGCACAAGCATGTGCATATACATGCAACGCCTTAATCCAATAGCTTGTCACATACACCTGTCAAAGTGGCTTTCACAACTGACCTAAATAATTATGCGCAGAAGCAAACATGACTTCCTTTGCATTCAATCCACCTTGCTAAATAACTGTTGCTGATTTTCAAACTCAGCCAAAATGAGAATTTATCAAACTTGTAAATCTCCTTTCCTTTTGATACAACCAAATGACCAAATTATTCTTTAGAAATTTGCATACAATTTATGCGCACTCATTAAGTGTTTTCTTTTATGAATTTATACAAATAGCATGGCATTCTTTAATTTGCCAAGACTAAACCTTTTAATTCATACACTTGCATAAATTGCCTGTTACGTACATGTTTACTTTCTCCAAATAAACCAAGTTCTTTGTTCATATGAGCAACCAAAGTTCAATATGCATGCAGTATTTTTACAAACTAAATATCAGGTCCTAGACACTTCACTTTGTGAATGACCCTAATAGCAGTGACCTACTTTTTGCAAGCCAGATTTCATGCATGGTGAAATTAACTCTTACTCTTAAAACCAATCTTGGTTTTCATCATTTTTATGTAAATAAGCTATAATCAAATATCTCACTCCATTTACACTCACTTCTGACTATATCTGTGCAATACTTTGTGTCTCTGCGTTAAATTACAATTTCCACTGAATTTACGGCTTTTCGAAATAAACAACAACTTTCACTTGACCGATAGACGTAAAGTCTTAACAGTGCGCACAATGCCCTATTTGAAACTGTACGCACATACCAAATTAATCTGACACGTTGACACAAAATCTTGCACAGTTTATATCTCAACATTGAATTAATCTACACATTTTTATCCTTCATTAAACAAGTATTGAGTATTTCATGATTTAAACTTACTCTATGGGCGGCGGTAAACTCTACGTAAAAGGACAAATTTGGGGACTTTCCGTCCCACCGGAATACTCGTACTTTGACTTTCTCTGGAACGTAATGTGTCTGCAAAAAAACTCATGTTACGGTGTCTTCAAGTTTCAAACAACATTTAAAAAACAGATCAAGAAAAATGATTAAAGAAACTGCTGTTTCAATGAAACAACTACTTTTCATAGAGTTTGGTGTGGTATGGCCGTACATGTTGGTACATTCTAGTAAATATTAAAGGGTACAAAATGGATTTCTGTTTCTTGTTTTGTTCCAATCTCTTCAGGTATGCTATTTTAAAGCTCTAATCCTTCATAAGATATTGACTTTTTTTAAATTTTGGCCATGTTGTAAATGTTTACATGTCGGTGTATCTATAATTATTTATGATGATCGAACCACATTATCACCCAAATTATTAAAACAATGGTTTGCAGTGACAGGTGACCCTGAAAACTGATAACAAAGGGCTTGTAGAATAATCACAGAAATTACTTTTTGTTACATGAAATTCATTTCCAGAAAAGATGTTGCCCTTTTTTCTTTAAGAAAAATGTCATTAAAAAAAATGATTGATAGTCGAAATTAAGAAGAAAATTGCTGTTATTCTCCTTAACTTCTTAAAAACTAGTACATGATTAAGTTTTATGTTATTTTTTCATATATTTCTTGGGTTATATCCTCTTGCTTTAGTACATGTATGTTAAATCTCCAGAATAATCTACATGCAAAATGATTGGATGAATGAAGAAAAATAGGAGAAAATCTGTATTAATGCCATTGTGGAAGAGTCGTGGTCTAGTGGATAACGCCACTGAATTGTGGATTATATGGTTCACGGTTCAAGTCCCGCAACGGCATTAGTATCCTTTGGGAAGATATTAATCTACATGTCCCGCTCTCCACCAAGGTGTAGTTAATGGGTACATATAGGCGCCGGAAGTGGGGGGGGGCAGGGGGGGCAGTTGCCCCCCCAGTCAAAAAAGTGGGGGGGGCAAAACGCATTTTTGCCCCCCCAAAACGCCCCCCCCCCCCCTCCAAAAAAAAAAAAAAAAAGCAGTAAAGGAATAAACATGGTTTGTATTTTTAACCCAAAAGAACATAACAATAATAAAAACCTGAATTAAAGCACATATACCATTCCATTCAAAGAAAAGGAAAGTTCACAGGAATTAAATTTTCATAAACATTGCGCATGCTACCTATACGGTTTATAATAGCGATACGCGCATATCGTGGACATATTGTGCGAGAATGGGAAAACGTGTCTGTTTTTTTGGTTTTGTTATAGGGGTGAGAAGACATGAGCCCCTGAACGCTGGCGTACTGATGGGGGGGGTATATCTATACGATACCAGTGATTTACACATGTTGCTATTATGACATGATTTTCCGGTATTTTTTCTCCATTTTTTTTAAAGTCATACCTTTTTATGCGTTTGTTGGAAAATAAGAAATTCCCAAATTACAGTCGGGCGAAAAATACGCTTATTTAGAAGCCTTTATGACATGGTCTGCAAAGTGGCTGGGCTCGAGCCCCTCCCCCCTCACTTTTTGAAAAAGTATGTTAAAGAGAAAAAGAAAGAAAGACGGAGAGAAAAAATAAGTGACCTGCCAATGTCACAAATAAGGCATAAAAAATGCTCATCTGACCGTAATTAAATGCCTAAAACCCCAGAGCTGACGGGTGCTCCGCCCCCGGACCCCACCAAGGGCCCTAAGGCGGGCCCCTGGATGCTCATCTGACCGTAATTAAATACCTAAAACCCCTGAGCTTCCGGGGGCTCTGCCCCCTGGACCCCACCAAGGGCTCTAAGGCGGGCCCCTGGATGCTCATCTGACCGTAATTAAATACCTAAAACCCCTGAGCTTCCGGGGGCTCCCCCCCCCCTCTGGAACACGTCAATGGCCTTAAAGAGGCCCCTGGATGCTCATCTGACCATTATTCAATACCTAAAACCCCTGAGCTTCCGGGGGCCCTGCCCCCTGGACCCCACCAAGTGCCCTAGGGCGGCCCCTGGTTGCTCATCTGACCGTAGTCAAATATTAAAACCTCTGAGCTTCTGGGGGCTCCCCCCCCCCCCTCTGGAACACGTCAATGGCCTTAAAGAGGCCCCTGGATGCTCATCTAACCGTAATTAAATACCTAAAATCCCTGAGCTTCCGGGGGCTCAGCCCCTTGACACCCTGCCGAGGCTGGACCCCACGCCAATTTACGCTCTACCTGATCGTTAATACTTCACTTTGAAAAACGTTCCGCGGGACCTGCATGTAACGTGTAAGACTGGTGGTGATGCAGATTTTTCGTCTGCCCCCCCCCCCCCTTCCGAACGTTTTTTCTCATTACGTCACTGCCCTCGGAAGGTGAGCCCCCTGGAATGTTTGCCCCCCCAATCCCAAACTGCTTCCGGCGCGCCTGAATGGGTACCTAGTAGGAATTTATTCCTCGAATGCTTTTAGCGCCTCAGGGCAGCTGGGCTAAAGCCATGGTAGTTAAAGGGTCTTTTTAGATGTGCACGTCGACAAAGTGGACTGCTACGTGTGACGTCCTTTTGTAGCAGTGCCTTAAAAGGACGCCAAACGTAGCAGTCCACTGTGTCGACGTGCAACTCTAAAAGTCGCTAATATTTTTGTGGACGCCTTGAGCATTCCCGAGGATTCACACGTGCGTAATATAAAGTAGCTCATATTTGTTTGTTTGTTTGTTCTGTTTTAGAATGCGATTCCGGACCCTGTATGAACGGAGCTGCCTGTAGCGATCAGTACGCAGATGCATACACGTGCGAGTGTGTTGGAGCTTGGCAAGGAGTAAACTGCGAAGTACCACTAGATGTCCGTAAGTTGATACTTTTGCGTATAATTATACACATAGATATTGAGTATGATTGTGCAATTAAGGCTCGTTCAGATATGAAGCGGCATTAAAGCAGCCGCAAAAAAGCCATCGCGGATTTTTTTTCACGAGTAAATGACCGGGCATGTGCTCGCGACAAAGTCCTGCGCATTTTCAGTGAGCTTCGTGTTATAAGTAAAGACGTTTAAATATAATTACTAGACGGAAAAAAGCACGCGCGGAAACCATTACACGACTGGGATTAGGTTCCGCCTCTCTTAGATCATTTGAAGACGAAACAGGCACCTGAGGCGGCTTTTTGATTGGATAAAAGCGTCATGAATATGTTTTTTATCGATAGTATCGTTCAAGAAATGTGATGATATATTCGACCTCATTGCGTCACTTTAATTGTGCAGATTTAAACACGACGCTACTCGCACAAGCTGAGAAGATTTAGTTAATTGTGAATGGGTAAGTAATTGATTGAAATATGAGTAGATTAAGTGAATTTAGTCATCAATTTTGAAAAAGCTGCAATAGTCTTCGTGATCTACGGTAATTTTGTTACATTTTGAGACAGTTCTCAACAATTTTTTTGGGAAAAGACTAGGAAAATATTGTTCTTGAATTTGTACTTTGATTTTCATCATCATGAAGCAGTTTGACTGCGGTTTGCCGTCATTTCACCCTAGTACTCCAGTTAGGGCCCCGGGGTTCCGGCAGGCCCACCCCGGGGAATTTCGGTGCTCATTTGCATCAAGATCAATCTTTCTAATCAGGTTTTATTTCAGATTTGATCGTCATCATGAATCTAATTTACTAATCATCGATTGAATTTAAATCTAGATTTAACGTTACACCTTAAAATAATCTATGAAGCATGATTTTTTTGATAATCCAAGTGGATTAATTCTTGTTAAAATCTTTAGTAGATGTGAACACTAGTCTGATGGTTTACTTAGATCTATTATTCAATATCACTTATCAGTGCCATCCGTTCGCTCAGTGGCTTCATCGATACGCGGTGCGTGTCAACTTTATTTGGACCAAAATTATCTCAAACAACTCCAAATCCTATTTGATTTAGATGTTAAAACCTGGAACTTATTAATAAAAATATTCAAAAAACAACAACACTAGGATTTGTTTATTTAACATTTAGATTTGGTGTGGGTCCAGCTTGCTTGTCAAGTTGTCATTATAGACCTCTATTATTATTTCTAGATCTAGATCTAGATCTGTGCAGTTCATGTTGATAAATCTATTTTTGTGTAAGAGATGACCCCTATTCCACACTTATGTTTACTTATGTAGTCCACCTCTTCTACTTAAGACTACTTTATATTCATAGGCCCTATAAAGCACTTTTTGAAGCAAAAGTTAAATCTTTCATTTAGTTTTACTTTGTACTGTGGTCAATTAAATAGGAATGTTGATTTCCACACCATATTAAAATTAAGCCAACCATGACATGAACAATAGCTTTATATGCTAGATCTATTTCTATTTTGGTAAGAAGAAAGGGACTCCTTGATTGTCATATTGATTTTCTTTTCTTTTTGTTCCAACAGATTGAAACTGAAGAAGAGCTGGAAGGAGTTAACTGATGAGTAGACATTACAGCATTTCTTATATTTGCAAGATGAAGCTGAAAGTCCTATGCAGGTAAAATTTTCAGGATATTTAGCACACAAATATTAAACAACCTCCTATTAATTCACTAAAAAGGAAATGGAACTAAGTTTATGTTGCAAGCGTATATAGTTGAGGGTATATTTTATTCTAGTTCTGCACTTAGCAAACAAATATTAATCTTTCCTTTCTTTGTTTACAACGGGAATTTGTCCTTATTTACAGGAGGTCCTTTGTGTAGAAGAACGATGTCTAATGCACATTCAAGCACTACATCGTACACAGGACCCCTCATTACTTTTATTTTTGTAAGTGGTCCTTTCACTTCCTGAGCAACGAAGACAAAGAAGAACACAAAATAAGATCAATGAAAGTCTGTTTATAGGATGTATTATGGTTGATATGTATCTATTATTATCAATATTATCAAATAATTGAAGTGCCTACACTGTTTTCTCTTATGTAGGATGATGCTTCTCTACAGTTGATGATGAAGGCATGCTGGTTACAAACCCAAGAGAGGAACAAAGAAGAGATATTGACAGAACTAGAGATGCGGGCCTATTACACTTCGTACGAGCAAGTGTGCTAAAAAAATGTAGGTACCCCAAATAAACTATTGTAGAACACATATCATGCAGAAAGTTATAGATCTGACAAAGATATTTTTCATTGTCCGTTACTTGTAAAAGAATACTTGACTGAATATCACAATTGTGATTTAGATTTAAAATAAAATGTCGATATGGATGAAATATAAGTCTACATTACATATGTTTCAGTATCATTATTTTCAGTACATTCTCTGGTCCAAGTTGTTTGGTCATTTTATGTCCCATACTTAACCGAGTATTATTAAACTATGAGCACAAGTTCACAATACAAGTACATTGTACACGTATTACTTATTCATACCTTGGCTGATCCAAGCTCTAGCAGGCCTATCGTCTTAATGGGATCATCAGAAATAATCTAAGATGTGGTCAGTAACTAGTCTTGTAGGAAAAATAGTTTAGGTTTGCCCACTAGAACCCCAAGTGAATTTCAGTCCTTCCTCATTTTGTCAGAGCAGGTATCAGGGTGTATGTTATTAGTCATATTTGATTTTCTTGTACACTGTATCTTATTTCATTTTCCATTCAACAGACTTGGGTTATAATAGCAGCCCTTTCTTCTGAAAACTAGGCTACAACTTTATTAATGAATGTAGGAGACATCTACATGGGACTATGTCTTAAAGATGCCACCCTCATATAATGAAAGAGGATAGTAGAGATGGGTTCAAATTTGAATATTTGCATGATATTTATTTATTATTTGTATCATATGTTTGTAGAATACCACATTCAATAAAGCTAATGAATTTATCATCTTGTCAACTTTCAAATAATTAAAGATAACTAATCATTAATAAATAAACATTAACATTTTAACAATGTCAACTACCATCTTATAGGAGGACTGGGCAGAAAAATTTTCCTTGAAATTTGAGTGATACTGATCTATCAGTCTATATCAAAGGTTGAATTAATCAATTATATTTTAATTTTAATTATACATGTTGAAATTCAGTTACCTCTACCGACTTCTGTATTTTAGAGGATTTGTAAATTATTACATTATTGCTGCTTCAAGTATTGTATGTAAGAAGGTTTGAAAGTCAACCCTCTAAATGCATTAAATATAGAAAGACATAGAAAGACTGGCATTTTATCATTGCCTTTCGTATCCAAAGTACTAATTTTAATAGAATCATGTTTTGATACTTCCTAACTTAAGAAAACAGGGAGGGGGCTTGCTATCCTCTTCCAGGTGCTGTTTCTACATGGACCATGTAACTGGTTGCACAAGTGTAAACAATATTATATTTATCATATGTTTATATCATAATTTAGAAGGATTTAGAAAGTGAAAATGTTTTAAATTATAGCATTTCCGGTGCTACATGTAGAAGTAATAATAAAAATATAATGACAGTGTTGATTTTTAAGGGAAAGGGATGGTTTTCCCAGTGAAATTAACGGTATACCAATGTAAAATTTATAAAAAAGAGAAATTATTCTTTAAAATAAAAATTATACGGGACATGGGCCTCCTAACTAAAACCCTGGTACCACTTCTGGATTGTTGTAGTTTTTTTTCTTTGGGGGTGGCAACCCAATTCAAAATTTCAAGTGTTAAATTCAATTTTCCTTAAAAAAAGAAATCATTTATGTCAAGATGTTGAAATGAAACAATGTGTCATTTTTTTCTTTATTCAAGTTAGAACATTTGAATAAAATGATTAACATACTTTCCAGTCTCTCTGGTCTCTACATTAAAAATTTTCAAAGCTCCTGCAAAGGCTGCAAAAAGGTAAAGTGAAGAGAATCCAAGTGAAATGTGGACAGTAATTGAGTGAATATGGAATGGTTGATCGTAGTTGACAGCTAGTGCATGTAAATGAGTGGTAATAACAAGTACGACTGAAAGTGAGACAGAGAGGAATTGCAACAGGTTGTTCAGTCAAGAGAACACATATTGCAGAAGATATTTTTCGAAAGAGAGAGAAAGGGAATCATTAAGGTATGATGAGAGTGGGTGGGGAAAAACCATCCACTGTGCAACATAATTTGTTTGTTTAAAATAAGGAAACTTATAATAGCATATCTAAAATGTATAATCATAGCCAGAGAATGTGTTGTTATATGGCTTATAGCATGTTTGGTTTTAAAAAAAATCAGACCCAGTTATTTGATAGACTAAAAGGGGAATACGATCTAAACATTAAGAATATCTGTACTTCTTATTCAATGAAGGTCCACTCCGCGATATCGCGATTCATCCTGGGTATGATGGGTGAAGCTTAAATAGCAAGCTTGAGATATGTTAAACATGGATGGTTGTTTTCATTTTTTGTTCAATAAAGAGATTTTCAGAAAAATGTTATGCTGGAATATTAATAAGTAGAGGTGTAATTATGTTTTTAAAGGCTAAGTTAGTTGGCGTAAATATTCATAAATGAATGAAGTACACGCCATTAAAAATATTATTCTAAAAAAACACTCGAGTGGAATTTTAAGGTCCACTTCCCGATGCATCCTGGGTACACAAGCTGTTATACTGGTGATAGATAATACAAGTTCGAGCGCGTGTTTCACCTAACGGTGATCGCATCAGAATAATCCACGCTGATTCGCTAAATCACTTGCGTCGATAGCGCACAGCGTGATGAATAAATTACCATGATTACGTCCATAAGGCGATTGACCTCTCTAATTACGCTGATACGCGTATTGTCTTTTACCATGTAGTAAACATCATGTAGTACACTTTGTGCGGGAGCATCCTACATGCATAATTCATAAGGGCTCATGAATTATGTATAGGGTCTTATTTTGGCTTCTAATGGATCCGTAAAAAATGGCGGAGCTCGGGGGCCATACGGAAACGTGGGCCGTATTGCTCTTTAGGTCATCATAAATTGCCGCGTCATATCTAAACGATGCTTTGTTATTTACAGGAAAATGCAGCCATAAAGGTAATACAAAGTTTTGGTATGGGGTCATGAATTTGGTTCAAATGAACATATTAGAAGCAGATATGCGATCCAACAATATTCAGTGATCGTTGTCACGGTTGAAATCGACTCTAAAGTTATGAAATTGTAAATAACAGACTTGTTATGTTGTATAGCTCCCTCTCGAGGTCAAGATATTAAATTAAGCTATGAAACAAAGTTTCTTGCCTAAAATCGACCGATAAGCTATTTCCATTTGAAAATTATATATCACAACTTAGATATTCTGAGATTTTCATGGTCGCAGGTACCATTGTACGGCTGTAGGCACTATTTGAAATTTATCAAAATTTAACGGGAGCACCGGTAACTTTTTATAATCAATTTTTCTCAAAAGCAGAAGTGTTTTAGGGTCTAAATTTTCTAGTGCTTATAAAACATCCACAGGGGCATCCAAATATATCGAAATTGAATGACTATCCACCCAATTTTCAAAAAAAAATCCCCAAACTTTGTATTACCCTTAACGATAAGTTCTCCGTTTTATAAAGCTGGTTTTAAAAAACAAAATGAGAGAAACGAATTTGTAAAAGTTTGAGCAATATCAGATTAAAATTAAAGAAAGATATGAATTTTGGAAGTTGTCGTCAATGAAACACCAATTGGCAACACTGTGAAGTATTTTGCGAGCTCCTCCCCAATTCGCTTTGTACAGACAATTTTTATAAACTTTCATTCCCTCATTGATTCTTTATTGATGACGGAAAAATTTGTTTAATACAAGGAGTGTATAAAAACAAAACATTGTATTAAAGGTGAATATATAAGTGAACAATCTTCTTTAGGATAAATTTAGATTTTTGTTTGTTTTTGTTTTAGTACAAAGTTGAATAGAAGAGGTCTTTGCAAGATACTTCAAAATGTTGCCAATTTGTGTTTAATCGATTGCACCTTCAAAAATTCAATGCTTTCTTATTATGCCTCCGTTACGAAGTAGCCGGAGGCATTATGTTTTCGGGTTGTCCGTCCGTCCGTACGTCCCGTTCTCGTGATCGCGTTATCTGAAGAACCGATTGATGGATTCCTGCCAAACTTAGGTCATGTATGTATCTTGCAGAGACGATGAACTGATTAGATTTTGGGGTCACGAGGTCAAAGGTCACAGGGCTCATTATGTATGCTGAAACAGCTCGTGATCGCGTTATCTCAAGAACCGATTGTTGGATTCCTGCCAAACTTAGGTCATGTATGTTACTTGCAGAGCCGATGAACTGATTAAATTTGGGGGTCATGAGGTCAAGATCAAAGGTCATGCGGCTCATTATGCATGCAAAAATAGCTTGTGATCGCATTATCATTAGAACAGATTGATGGATTCCTCCCAAACTTAGATCATGTATGTATCTTGCAGAGCCAATGAACTGAGTAGATTCTTGGGTCATGAGGTCAAAGGTCTTGGGCTCATTATGTATGCAAAAATAGCTTGTGAACGCATTCTCATTAGAACTGACAGATGGATTACTATTTAACTCGGGACATCTTGCAGAGCCAATGAACTGAGTAGATGTTAGGGTCATGTGGTCAAAGATCAAAGGGTCATATATGTATATGAGAAATTGCTTGTAATCACTAAATTTTGAGAAGTTCTAAAAACGAGATTGTTACTATTATTTGTGACAAGTTCACAAGCACAAATCGGCGCCTTCAAATGCACCTCGCAGTTAAATGAAAGTCCTTCCCGCTTTTTTCACATGGTCCTGGCTTGCTGCCGATCAAAACAAAAAACAAAAAAACGTTTTTTTTTTTTTTTTTTTTTTTTTTTTTTTTTTTTTTTAATCGTTTAAACGAAAACCGTCCGCCGGTTTTGACTGACGGTTAAACGGAATTGGAGATATCCGTGATGTTACAGCACTACTGAGAACCTGTTAATGGATTACAATTGAACTTGAATTTCCATCTAGTTTTTAATCTGTTTTTAGCTCAAATTTCAAAAACCTGTTTCGCTCAATTCTCTGTTTCTATTAAAACCAATCTAATACCAGGATGGCCTTTCCCATAAAAAAATATTTAAAAAGCTAATCTAAATGAAAACAGAAATTCAGAGGATTAGACTAGCAGAATTTTAAATGAAATCAGACCCAAATAAGAAAGTTATATATTTTAAAAAATAATTTCCAGTTCCAGAAGCTACTGCAACAAGCACTGCCGAGAGTTAACATGCTACCCACCGCTCGGGCTGCGCCACTGTTGTAGAGGATCTAAATAATATGCTATCTAAAATACATTTTGGGTAGTGAGGAGAAGGTACTTAGGAGACAAAGAGAAATCAATAATATTTCTGTTCACGACAAATGAGAGAGTTGATTGTTACACAATCCATTGACCAAATTAGCAATGTAAGATTCGCGTAGATTTAGTGATATAACATTTCAATCATTCATAACTCTCTTATTATTGGTCCGATTTATGTCAAGCTTTCGCTTCTCGGTTTCCCTTAGTTTTCTGCTTTCAGAGAAGTGCAGTTATTACAAAGGTTGGATCGCCAATATACAAATGGCCGTATTCAGATTTCGACCCGACGTTGGTTCAACCTCGATTGAAGTCGTGTTTGACAAGCAAGATAAAATGGGTTAAACCAAGGTCACTTTGTTACCATTGAGAAACATTTTGTTTAAGATCCAGGTTTAACACATTGCTAATTGAAACCAGGTTGCCACTGCATTAAGCGTACGGTAAAAATTGAATTCATTGCTCAACAGGTTAACTGTGTTTAATAGTATAATACGGAACACTTAGTCGATATATTTATCGACCTTATCCAGCTAGTCAGGTTTTCTCAAGGCTCAAGCCCATATGTTGTATTAGTTTTGGGGACATTGAGGATAAAATTAAGAAACTTTCTACATGTACTTATTGGGCCAAGGGCTTCAATTTACTCCACATAACCCAACAATATTTAAATCACGTATTCATAGTAATTTATGCAAATTGAGCAAAATTGTGCAAATTAGTACATTTGCTATAAATTTGCATTCAAAATTTAAGTCACACAAATCTATAGAGACATATTCTTTTCCAAAAAGACTCAAAATCAAATTGCCTTCATGTTTTATTATTAAAGTTTATGCAAATTGGTATGACTTTCCCTGTCAGTCTAGGGCCTATGTTCGTATTGGTATTCTACTGCATGAAATACTTTCTTATGTATACATTCATGTTTATCATTACTTTATCTTTATTTTCTCCACCGAACATAACCTATCAAAGCAATTTTGCATTTTGCAAATTTAAAGATTACAAAAAAAATAGCAGGTATTAGGGCCCATGCACAACTCCAACTCTCCACACAATGCCATTCGACACAATGCCATTGATTTATATTTTATTGCGTTAAATATTCTTTTGTGAGTAAAATGACACCAAGATCAATTATTTTAGGTAGTAAAGGTAATTTTATTCTCCTGCTATTTTTTTTTTTTTTTTTTTTTTTGGGGGGGGAGGCAATGTCATTTTCACAATTTACTACTTTAGCAACCGTAAGAGTATGCTTGAAGCAACGATAAATTTTCGCATGACAACTTGCCATACCATAAGCTGTAATGACAGATGACTGCTCTCGTTAAAGCTCATTTTTCATGTTATGTGAAATATATAGTCCGTGGACGCCGTTAACAAAAGTGAAGGGGGCACGGCATTGCAGCCTCCGTTGGGACTCGGGGACAATGCCCAAATAACGAAACATAGGCCCACGCATTCAAAGAAAGGGTATTTATTTGTGCACTTTGAGCTTCAAAACGCAGCCACGCCCCCCCCCCCCTCCTCTTCAATGACTCATTCCTTAACAACGTAAAACAAAGATAATTTTGAGCATGAAAACTTCCCATACAATAAGCTGCGTTGACAGATGACTGCTCTCGTTAAACTATGTCGTCGGCATAGCTCATTTTTATTGGAAGCCGTTATGTGCAAATTTCCCGCTGCTTCAACCATGTTTGCTGTTGTGACAGTAGAAGATGATAAAAATGCCTTTGCCTAACAAAATTAACTTCTTAATCAAAACACCTTACCCCAAAAATTGATGATCCTGGAATGACCAGGAATAGAGGAATACGTCTCATTTTTTATTTCCTTTCATTTATGTGCACAAATCTGTCCGAGCTATTTGTTTTAATCTCCATCACTTTACCCATGGATAAGTCCGTGCTTTACCATTGTAACATTTGCGGAAACAAATCTTTGTAATTAATTTATCGGACATGCACAATCAAGTGAAATGTCTAGCCCGTGGACGCCTTTAACAAAACAAAAGGAGGAAGGGCATTGCAGCCTCTGTTGAGACTCGGGGACAATGCCCAAATAACGAAACATAGACTAACGCATTCAAAAGCAGGGTATTTTTGTTGGCAGTTTGAGATTCAAACCGCAGCCACCCCACCCCTCCCCTCGTCAATGACTTATTTTTTAACACTGAAAAACAAAGATAAACTAACCGCTCCGGGTGACTAACCCTTGGATGCTTTGAAGTAGGAATTTTAGGTGAATCTATACATTAGAATCAAATGATAATGCACTTTATATGTAAACTTAATATTCTTCTCTATGAATTTACATGCGGGTACCACGTCATTGTACACAAACATTTTTATGTAAACGATGTTTGTTGTTTTATCATCTACACTGCGTGATCGACCTTGACATTAATTGTGACTTGCCATTTTTGTTCTTCCCAAATTTCAAGAGTTGTGCCCCTTTGGCCATGTCTACGAGTATGTGGCGACCATTACCATAGGTATCATACCACACAGATTTAGCTGTCAAGCCAACTTCAGGTTTCCAGGTGCTACCGAGGTCAACTTTACTTTCGTGTCACATTATATCGAACCAATCAAGGATGCATTCTGGCTGGAAGCGGGATTCCGTGCTGACAGTACCGATGACTCAAGATCGTTCGATTCCAGCAAATTGAATTTGCAGCCTACTTTAACTTTTGAAGATGCTGGTTCAAACTACTGGATAGAGATCTTCACAGATAAGACAGTCCTGAGTGCTGGTTTCACTCTAGAGATCAGTGCTGGTAAGTTCATCATCCCCCCCCCCCCCTTCCCCCGCACAAAACACACCTGTTGATCATAGAAGTCCAGAATCTGGCCTATTCAATTAAATCTCTACCACATCGGAAATGCGACCTGCCCCACCATCCGAAGATGGCGTAATCCTCGAACTAGACTGAGGCTGGGCTGGTGAGCATAATTATGAGCTCGTTGATAACGCCATCTTCGGCGGCTTGAGTCAAGTGCGTAGGGGATATAGAGAACAGAACAGGCCAGACTCTGGACTATGATCATAGTAGAACTAGAAATACATAATTATGACTATGTTGAAATTTCTTTGACGCCTTATTGGGTCTCACTGTTCGGGTAACACCTTGGGTGCCCCCTGTTATATTTTGATTAAGGTGAAGTATGTTCATTCGGTTCTTACACACGACGACGACGTAGAAGTGTCATGGTCTAGGGGATATGTCGTTGGACTGTTGACCAATGGTTCGCGCTCCGAGTCCTGCAGCGTCACTAATGTCCTTCGGTCAGAAATCAATCAATATTCGCCACTCTCCAACCAAGTGTTAAATTGGTACCGGTAGGAAGGATTTCCTTGAATGCTGTCAAGGTAGCGTAGCAGAGCCGGGGTAATATTGGAGCGCCTTGAGCACCTGGCGTGGTCGATATGTGCGCAATAAAAATATCCATTATTATTTCATTATTATTAGTATTAGTATTATTGTTAATATTAATATTATTATCATCATCATCATTATTATATTTGGGAATAATGAAATCATAATATCATGACACCAAGGTCAATATAAATATAGAACAAAGCCTACGTTTTCGTCATGAACAAGAAGTTTCTGGACACCACATTCGGAGAGCAGAATCCCTTGTATGGTCACTCAAACCAATGATGGACGTGTCTTTATACCGGACACCCCATAAGTGACCGTATATCTTCGGCATTAAAATGATATGCATCGCAATGTCAACGCATTTACTCGAGTTGACCACACTTAATCATTTGATAGTCGATGTTAAATTGTAATCAAACAGTTACGACGGAAAGCACCACCAACTGAATTAACAAATCAAAACACATATGTCTGTTGTGATGAAACAACTAATGTTCCTGATGGACATAGTTATCCTTTTGTTTAAACAAAAAATTATATATTTAATATTTACCATTCATGTATTGTGTCCACAGACCGTGATGACTGCTACCCAATTCCTTGTATGAATGGTGCTACATGTATTGACCTTATCCGAGACTATAGGTGCATCTGTGCACCAGGCTACGATGGTATAAACTGCCAGGAGAGTAAGCATCTTTACATCATAGTATTACAAGTCGGGTAGACTGTACAACAAGAATTAAAATTGACTTTAAAAAGAATTCTCAAGATGATGAATTGGCCTAATTGAAGAAAAAAAGTTTTAATTTTACCCACGGTCTCAGCCACGGTTTAAATCTCTACCTGAACTAAAGTAAGCATAGATTAAAGTTTAAAGAAAGCCCGTCCATTGGTCAAAATGACACGCTTGTATGGGTTTGATATAAACCATTTCTTGAATAGAACATTTTCGTAATGTACAAATTTTCGTTGAAAATTATTTCATCCACCTGTTACGAATAATTGTATTTTAATAGTCTGAATGAAAAATGCATACATTATTATTGTTGCTAGGTAGGACAACCATTATGGCTTTCATGTCTTCTTTGATTACCGCCGAACATATCTACACATTTCCCGTTCACTGCAGACTATTTCATCTTTGTGGACATTCATGACTACATAACTTTGAATGTATCTTTAGCACGCACGATCTGTGTGTTTCCTAAACCTTATTTTTCTAATTGTTGTTCAAATATTACATGAAACGTCAACTAAAGTCAAATTTTGATTTGTTATTTTATTTTTTATTTTTGAAATGTGTAACTTGATCTCTCCCAATGATATTTCTCCCCGTCTAACTTCAGACACCGATGAATGTCGAAGTGGTCCCTGCATGAATGGTGGGACATGTGTGGACGGAGAGAACAGGTATTCTTGCGATTGCACTGACAGTTATACTGGTCTTAACTGTGAGACAGGTTAGTATTTCCTTTGACCGGTTTTCCATGTTCCAATTCAAATTCCAATGATGTTGACTGATGTGCTTATGAATAAGTGTTTAGAGTGAAATTAATGGTCTTAGAACTTATAAACATCAGTAACAGAAACAATATATCCTGAAAGGCAGGGTCCGATATATTCATAGGTTGTGTTTTCATCAAATAAGTTTAAATATTAACAATTTGTTGGTATAATCAATAATGGCCTAAGTGAACATGGTATTATTAGGGTGATCACACTGCCTGTGCACACAGTCTGCCCCATGCACATACACACACACAACAGCAGTCAGTTGGTAGAAATAGCAATTTTCGTAAATTTATTTTTAAAAAACTGAACAATATTTTAAAACTTTTATTTCACATATCTTTCAAGCATACCTTTAACTACAATTCTGTGTAGTTTCATTGTTATAGGCATGTGGGAAATATGTTAAATTATTAATTAGAATATTGTCTTTTCAGCCATGTGTGACATGGCCCGCTGATCGCCCATTGACTGTTATTCTGCGTGGTGAAAATGCACGTCAATGTATAAAACTCCCCTACAAAAATGCAGTATCCTCATGTGTTTCACTCATTGAATCAATTTGTTATTTACACTCAAGGTAGCCACAACTGTACTGGGATCACCAAATTTTCTTTTTCTCTGAAATTTAATCCCTGTGGAAAATCGTCATAAATCCTCAAATCTGACATTTTGTTAAAAGAAGCTATACTGTGATGTAGCAGAAAATCTGCAGCTTCTTATCATTTGTTCGGTTTTTCTGAATAATTTGTGAAACATATGAGGAAATAGCTGTAACGGTGATCCAAGTAATTTCCATCGCCATATTTTATTGGCATTGCAAAAATATTTGGAACTTAATGTTAATATTTGGTGTAAATATGATATATAAATATATGATTTTTAAAAATGCCAACAAAATGAACAGTTTGACTTTCCTATATATATATAATTAGCTGAAATGACCTAATTTGAATATTTGATGAATATTCATAATTTTTTTTTCAAAAAAAAAATATATTTCCATACCTGTCTGATATACTTAGGTTTCATTGATGTATAATGTTCGGTTTTGATTTGATTACATATGCGCATATTAATTAGACGGACTTAGTTATTTTCACAACTTTTTCATATCTGCAGATTCGCAAAAATGGCAAAAATTACTTATTTTGTTTGCTTCTGTTTTCAAAACGGTAATAGATATATGAATTTTCTTTTTTGTATTTTTTACCACAAAGATGATAATTTAGTGTCTGATAATTTAATATATTATTTGTGTCCGAGAAAGTGATGAATTAAGTTGTCAACTTTGTCGAATTTTGCCATTTTTGCCAATTTGACCATTTCTGGCAGGTTTTTCGGTAATTTTGCGATATCAAAAAAATGGTATAAAATCACATCGCATTGACCGATTTCAATTCTGTTTTTTTGTTTTTTGAAGCTTTCATGAAGCTTGATCATTTGCAATCATTAAATAACATGTGTTTGTTGTACTTATTTTTGGTGTGCTATACCTAGTATTAGATTTCTAATTTGGAAATGCAATATGGTTCATACACATGAGCTTTTAATAAATATTTGTAGGTAAATAATATATTTGACATTTAAACAAATAAACATTCCATTTTCATATAATCTCTTTGTACATTCATGAGAGAGATAGAAAGAGTTAAAGAAAAGCCTAAATTATAAAAGACGAAACTTTACAGAGAGAGTTAAAACGCATGTGAAAAAAAGCAAAAAAGCTTCTCTTTCTCTTTTGTTGCAATTGTAGATATTTCCTTCTCCTTGTTAATGGTTTGTTAGTCTTTGTATATTTCGTTTGTATCAATATATTTGATTATGTTTTCATGATCGAATATCCTTTCATTACACTAATATTACATTTTCTGATTGTATAGGTTCATAAGACCACAACGAGGAAAAGTGAGATTTAAGACATAGTAACTGATATTGAAATGGGCTATGCATCATATTTATGTTTTGGTAACACGAAGATTCAGCTCGCTTTAAAGATGATAATGTTATTGTAACATGTTATGATCACACACAGGCGTTGTCGTCCCTAAGGGAGGGGGCCCCAAAGAAACTTGGAAAAATGACACAGTTGGCAAAAATGCATTCCTTTTAAGTTTGATCTCTATACCATATTTAAATACATTTGTGATTTACCTTCATGTATTACTTTTTTACTTGTTAAATTATTGTTACCGAAATAGAATCTAACAATCAATGGATGAAGTCTTATCATGTGATAATTGGAAACCATTCTAATTTAGAAACTGTCTAAGATAGATAAACAAAATCGAACGATATTTTCGCATCATTTATCTACTTTCCCATGCGCTGTCTATGTAAATAAGACATAAAACATGTATGTTTAGTATTTGTTTATGAGCGAAGTTAGTTTTTATCTGACCGCATTTTCTTTTCTTTTTTCTTTACAGGAATTGTTATCGTGGACTCAACAACTGTATCTGTGTCGAATGGAGTTTATGAGGGGTCGTTTACTCCTGCGGTGATCTTCGATTTGACTTTTGCACCATCCTCCTTGGCAACGTATTCTGTGGGTGGGGCTGGTACATCGCAGCTATGGACTGTCGATGCCTTCTTTACGTCTGACCCCGACGCTGGTCCCACAACGTCTAATCGACGAATTCTACTGAATACTGCGCAGGAAATCACTCTTTGGGAACCTCCGGCGTCAACCACCATCTCTGGTCTAAATGCTCTTCAAGTGTCAGTGCCTGGAGGTGTAGTCTGCTCTGATATGGAATTCTTTTGTGCTATCATTGGTAGAAATACCGGTTCATCACATTTTTTCCAACTCACAGCTAGTAACCCAGACTCCTTCCAAGGTTGTGTCTCCATAAGTTGTAGAGGTAAGATTGGAAGTGAATTGTAAGGTACACTTGTTTTTTCCTCTTTAATTTAATAAATTGAAAAGTAAAAACCTGCGTTGAATATATTCCCCGTCCTTTTATGGAGATGTAATATCTACAAACAAACGAAACCGTCGTTTGTTTCATTCTCCTGGAATTCACTTGATTTTGTTTTGTTTTTAATCCCGAACATTGATGGAAAGTATTCAAGCATACAAATGGCACTGCACCGATGACGTATTATTCTTGGGAAGCAATTACACTACGTAATAAAGGAGGAATTATATTGCCTAAACATCTACTTGCGATCGTTATGATCAAACAAACGTAGATCAATTCATCATTCAACTTCCTTTCGCGCAGTAACGATTTCGTCAAGTTCATCTACACCATAAAGGCTTGTTCAGATATGAGATAGTAAACCACCACAAAACGGCCGCAACCGAATTTTTTAAAAGTAAATGACGGAACAAGTGCGCGCAACAAAGTACTGATTGTAAACTTCTCCAATACCTCAATGTAAGTGACATAGTAATAATAATATGGTTATTTATATATCACCGGTATCCGTCATGTTCTGACGCTCATGAGAATTAAATGTCATTGTCATTTTCTGAGCTGTTTTATATGTTATATGATTCAGAAATGTAAAGCGTATTGCACTTTACGGATATATTAAACAAAGACAACGCGATTTTCCAGAGTCATATCTGAACGAGCTTCAATAGAAACAAAACATTTCCGGTTAATGAACATTAAGACCAATACAGGAGAAATTAGACGCAGCTTTATCCCTATGAAAGTTAACAGCTGTCTGCCTGAAATCTTATTTGTACTAACATGTTCTGGCTTTAAGAATTTTTATTTTTATTTCTTTACAGGTGTGGAAATAACAGATACGACTGTGCAGATTTCATCTGGAGACCTTCAAGCAGGGGAATCTGGACAGACAGTCTCTTTCAATGTGCAGCTGGACTCCGAGCATAGTGCTGGAAGCGTCAGCGGTTCCAATTTATGGAGCATCGTCGCCTTCGGTGGAGACAACTCGTTGGGGACTGGCAGCAGATTTCAAGAGACCGGTGTGCTTACTGACGGCATACAAGGGACAGTAGGAATAGACGCCGGTACAACGAGTACCATTTCCGATCTCTCTTTTGAAGTGAACCTTGGCAGTGGCTTTGCGACATGTGATGACTACCCATTTATCTGCATAGAAGTGTCAAAGGGTAGCCTAGCTATCCCTAACTCCGGTCTTTCCGGTGGTTCTAATCTCGTCGCCTGCCAAGCAGTAACATGCAGAGGTGAGAAATAAATTAACGAAAATGTATGATTCTTTGGTATGTATTTCCAAAGAGACGGAAATGAACAGGAACTAGGATATGATAATAATCGGTAAACTGATTACGGATACCAACCATTTTATTAATTTGTCTCAATTCGACCAATCACTTCCGTATTTGTCTACAAACAGTTGATATTCAAAACTACAGAAGTTAATTTACCAACACAATCATCTCCAATGACCATATTTTTAATTTTTGTTTACGCTATCGATAGGTGTCGAGATAACACAAACACTTGTCAGCGTGTTATCCGGTGCTCTACTGGAGGGAAAGAGTCAGGATATAGCCTTCAATGTTGATCTGACATCAGAAAGCACCGGTGGAACCGCTGAAGGGGCTAACCTATGGCGGATAACAACTTTTGTCAGTGTAACCGCAAACGGTTTAGGTACCCGCCTGGAAGAGACCACGACTATACTAAGTACAGCACAATCTGGAACTACCCTCAAAGCTGGAGCTTCTGCAAGGCTCGGGGGAGTAACGGCTTCCTGGAACTTGATGGACGGTCCGACCTGTTCAGAGATTATTCACTTTTGCGTAGAAGTTGCCAAGGGCACAAATACAAACTTTGTGTTGATAGGAGTACCCTCTGCCAGTGTCTTGATAGCATGCACGCCGATATCATGCAGAGGTGTGAGCAAGAATAATTTCAGTTTCAGGTTATTGTTTCGAATTTCACATGTTTATATTTTACAATGTTTACCGAAATATAAATGGTACTAACAAACATAAATTATTTTGTTCAATACAAGAACAGAAAATAAGTACCATGTTTCAATTACTTTTCATGCCGTTTAAATTTTTAACTGAAAATATTGAACTAAAAGAAGAGTAAAATATAGAGGAGGGCCTATGGTATCAGTTTTGCATTTGTGTTTATTTAAATGCAAGATTAGGATGGCGGCCAACCATTATTTGATTTTCTTTGACTTAAAACGACTCTTGGAAAGAAATAGGTTTTTATGAAAAATATCTAACTATTTTGACAAAAAGATGCGGTATAGTTTGTTTTCATTAAATGATTGATAATTTATTTATTTATTAATCCAATATCATTGTAGTACCTTACATATGATAACCGGAGTGCAGTTATTTCGGAATAAATGTTTTTTCCAATGTTTAAATACCATTAACAAACAAATTTCTCTCTGCAATTTGTCTAGGCCACATAGTAAATCACTTTGTGTTGTGTTCGAAACTTTCGTACAATACACCAACGATATTTCCAGTTGCATATTGCATGCTTGGGCGATAAGTATCATTATGCTAACCAAATTCATAACTTTATTCTGGAGCCGACACTGGACCTTACAAAAAAACCTAAACCTAACCTAAAACACACTTGTAGCTCATGCTCTAACCCTATACATATGATAGAATACATAATGCACATGACAATTATTACCGGAGCATGTATCGGAGTACAACATGATCTTAATACTTTTCAATACTTTTGTAATCTCCTTTTTAATTTCGTCGGTTGTAGGAGTGGAGATTTCAAGTACATCAGTAGCTGTAACTCCAGGGGATGTCTTGGAAGGAAGGCTTCAGCCGCTGATTTTAGACATCACTATTTTGTCTATTGAGGCAGCTGGTAGCGTGAGCGGCTCTGGTCTCATTGACGTGCGTTCCTTCCTTAGCAGCAACTCCGACGGCTCCGGGAATCCTTTTGACACCTTCACATCTCCTGTACTCTCGAGTGTTCATGGATTTACAGGAATAACTGCTGGCGACCCTGCTGGCATATCTAACCTTGCAGTCAACATCGATCTCAGAGACGGACCAACGTGTTCTGATTTCAATTATGTCTGTGTAGAAATTCAAAAAGGGGCCTCGCCTTCAATCGATTTTCAACTATCAGGAATTCCTTCCCAGGCAGTTCTCATCGGATGTCGCCAAATAACATGCAGAGGTAAATCTAGCCTATAAATGCGCACATTCTACTTTGAGTCAGTAATCCATGCATTTGTGTCCCATACCTTCCGAACCAGGTCTAAGATTTTAATTTATATCTGGTAATTGTGTGTAGTTGATAGTTCTCATGTACAGCTTGGATTATGTATAAACAAAAGTAAAGTTTTTTCTGACTGACGTATTGGACTCACAAGACAATATTCGATTATTAATGTACCTCACATCGATAGACCAAAGAATTAGAAAAGAACAGTTATCGATAGCTATAAAACATCACCAATTTAGAGACGTGTGTTTGATAACTCTGTTTTTTTCTGTCATGATTTTAGGTGTGGAAATAACCCAGACACAAGTATCAGTTACATCTGGCGACATTAGGGAAGGCGCGAGTCAGTCTGTCAACTTTGATGTAACACTCAACTCTGACGGAGCGGCTGGTAGCGTGAGTGGTTCTGACCTGTGGCAGATAACCCCTTTCCTCAGCTCTAGATCAGACGCGTCTGGGAGTGTCCAGAACTTCCCCAATGCAGTGCTGAGCACGTTCCAGGGCAATGCACCTCTCATTGCTGGCAGTCCTACTATAATCAGTGGCGTCAGCGTTCCTGCCGATCTGACCAGCGGGCCGTCATGTTCACAGTTTGGATTCTTCTGTGTCAGTGTAGATAGAAACTCCTTGGCAGACCCCCAGTTCCTCCTTAGCGGGATTCCTGGTCCGGAGTCTTTAACCTCTTGTCAAGCAATAAACTGTAGAGGTAAATCCATTCTACTGATTTCCATTAGATAAACAAACTGGATGATATTCTTTATATGAGATGCCGCAGTTTTTTTTTTTTTTAGCAAACTCTATCTCACCGATCCTTAAGCTACACTCCTGAATTTGAAACTGGTTAATACCACGTGAAAGAAAACAGCTTGATAAATCATGCAGTAACGTTAACAGCATTTATGTATTCGATCTATTTTTCTTCAAATACTTCATATTTTTGTTCCGTGGTTCTTCGATAGCTTTATTATTGAATTTTTGTACCACTTTATTCATTACGACAGGTGTGGAGGTTACGAGCACAATTGTAACCATCGGCGGAGGCGAGATCATCGAAGGCAGTATGTCCACTCTTTCCTTCACTGTTGCTTTAACAACACAAGCGGTTGGGGGAAACGTGGCAGGAACTAATCTGTGGCAGGTATCTGCATTTGGAAGTTCATCCAACGATGGCTCAGGCACTCGGTACTTGACGACCCCTGTCGGCCTCCCAACTGCAGCCGCAAACGCCATGGTTCTTGCCGGTCAGGTCACCTCCTTGGCTGGACTCGGCGCGGACTTCATGCTTAGTTCAAGCATCACATGTGCGCAGTTCCAATTTCTCTGTGTGCAGGTGGACAGAGGCACAACCTCAAATCCTTTCTTCTCTCTCACTGGTGTGCCGGATGGAAATTCACTAATTGGGTGCACACCGACACCATGTGGCGGTAATTTCCTTTCATTCATTGTATAATTGAGAATACTAGAATTCCATAATTGTATTTATACATACATTATAACACAATCAAAGCAGATCGAGGTTGTGTAATCTCCATACTATAATCATAGATCAATATATTCACACACCCATATGCAAAGGCTTTACATGGTTAAAAATAATGTTAATGTTAATGGTAGCGCTTAACTTAACCACAAACAGAGAAATATGACCCAAAAGCAAATAACCAACATACAGTTGCAAATCATACTTCATAATCTTTTTTTATTACCAGGGGTTGAGATCACAGATACGGTACTCGACATACAGAATGGCTATCTGCAAGAAGGAGTTTCATCCAGCACAATCCTCTTCGACGTTTCTCTTCTCTCCAACCCTGATGGTGGAAGTGTCAGTGGGTCTAACTTATGGGATATCACTGCATGGATATCAACAGATCCTGACGGTGCCTCGACAAGGTACCTTGAGCAGTCCATTCCTCTAACTCTGGTACAGAGTGGAACTCCCATCGTGTCAGGAGTGAATACGGCCATCATAAATGGTGTGTCAGCAGTATGGGACTTGTCTGCTGGTCCACTGTGCACACAGGCTAGTTACATGTGTGTTCGTGTCCAGAAAGCAAACCTTGCTAATCCGGATTTCCAAGTCACCGGCACACCAAACGATGAAGTATTTACAGATTGCGCACAACTCCAGTGCAGAGGTAAATCAATACGTGGAATAAATACATGTCATGCACTTTCCGAAGGCAACTGATAATACAACAATATAATGATCTCGGTATCATGAGCAGATTCCCGTATGATGTTTACTTGATAGTCCTGTTCTCAAACCCCTTTCGCTTTCTCTCTTTTGTCTCCCCCCCCCCCCCCTTTTTTTTCACGAGTCGATGGGGCCCTTGTACTCATCATTTACGTCAATGACAAAAGTATTTGTTTGTTCTTTCATTTATTTATCTAGGGGAGCATTCTAAAACCTTAAAAAAAAAGTTTGTATATTGTAGACCACTGCCTCTATCCTTAAAGTCTAATTATCCCCTTCTTTCTCTCTCTCTCTCTCTCTCCTTCTCTCTTTATCTATCTTGTTAAAGATGTTGAGGTCACGGGTACGGTAGTTGGTCTTGCATCTGCATCACTTCTTGAAGGTGCCGCACAGACCCTTTCTTTTGCCTATACCATCAACACTGACCAAAATGGAGGTGGTGTTACAGGAACCAACCTCTGGGATCTGTCTATCTTCCTTAGTGATGACCAATTGGGTTCCAACCCAATCAGCGAACAAAGCATTCTTCTAAGTCCAACTCAAGCAAATTCCCTGGTAACTCCGGGAGTTCCGACAGTAATTAGTGGCTTGGATGCTATGTTGAATCTCCAAACTGGACCTACCTGCTCTCAGTTCAGCTACGTATGTGTGAGACTGAGGAAGAGTACAGTTGCCAATCCTAACTTCGGTCTAACCGGATCACCTGACGATTCTGTATTCATTGGATGTCAAGAAGTCACTTGTACAGGTAAGTGAATAGTTTGTTGAATCACGCAGGTTAAATGCAGGCTTTCCTTCAAGATTTGCATATTTCATGATCAGGTTCTTCTAACAAGGCAGTAAGTTCGAGATGATGTTTCCTATCAAGACGTGCTCCTTTAACTTGAATGTCTACTTTAATGTTTTTCGTTGATCTTGATACAGGGTCCACCTGATTCCCGTTGGCAAGGAATGTAATCCATCTACAATATGTGCGTTTTTTTCCCCAATTCAATCCCTTAGCTTCTGGAACACTTTACTCTCTGTATAGTCACTATAAGATAATTCGAAACAACTCTTCAAAAGTATTTCAAGTAAACAAATGATGACTCGCAATTTCTATGTTGAATTCACGCCATGCATCTACCCAGTCATATCCAAAGACAACATCAGAGACGACATATTACATTGTAGACTTTTCCGCACCCGACTCTTAATTGAGACGGGTATATCGGTGAGTGATTTTTGTATGTGTACGTTGAGTGTTCTAATGTGCTCCCTACAGGTGTTATGATCAGTTCAACAAGTCTCGGTCTTAGATCGGGTGATATACAGGAGGGTACAAGCCAGAATGTGCAATTCGACTTTAACCTTGTATCTGATGCGGCGGGGGGCAGTGTAATCGGTAACAATCTATGGGGAGTCACCGTCTTTGGGAGTCAAAATGACAACGGACTAGGACCTCGTGTGGCGCCAGAGGTCGTTTCTCTCACTACGGTGCAAGGAAGAACCGCCATCTCTGCAGGAATCCCTGCAGTCATTTCAGGACTCGCGTTCACTTTGGACCTCACAAATGGTCCATTGTGTTCGGAATTTGGCTACCTCTGTGCCCAGGTTGAGAAGAACCCATCTTCCAGTCTTGATTTTGCGTTCTCTGGTACTCCAGACGATTCTGTTCTGACAAGCTGTTTACCAGTGACGTGTAGGGGTGAGCAACTCGTTAATGTTAAAGCCTATCTGCACTAGCATATTGCTCCGTTTAGTCTCATTTCACAACGCCCCCTATTGTCAGAGTCAGCAGCCATACATGTTAGCCTATCGACGTTTTTTTTTTTTAATTGTTAAAAATTTATTTTTTGTTTAAACGAAAAGCACATCCACCCGACGTACGTTATCACTAGCTCTTTCATTGGAGCCCTCATGTCTCATTGACTTTTGAAAGTTCACCCACCGTAATTTTTCAAAATAGGTTGCAAGCTCGCCATTGCCTATAATACACATGTGAAACAAGTCGAACTTTGGACTCAGTCTGCCAAGTGATTGTAAGATTATAGGTCAAGCACACGAAGGAAAAGAAGCATGAATTATCAATTATCACTTCTGCTATGTTCATTATGTCCATTTCATCCAACCCCCCCCCCCCCCCCCCCCCCCCCACCGTAATTTTTCCATTTAGTAAAAGCAAACATTTTGCCGAGTTTAGCAAAAACATGAATATTCATGAACGGTCAGACAATACAGCCTTTTAGTACGTAACGTATAGTGAATGGGAATGGGCGATGATCCGTCCAGGAGGTAGAGGTCAGTGTTTTGTGCTGGCAATGTTCACGCGAGCGAAAATGAGACAATCGGAGCAATATGTTTGGCCAGGAGGAATTAAACCTCCCTGTATGGTCACTGACAGGTGGTTATCTCATCAAATCAGCTCTTAATTAACATAAGAAAAAGGGGACCATGGGGTACCGATGGTCACCGATAAAGAATTGTTTGCTATATAGAGGGCGCAAGTAGCTATAAGTAGTGCAGTGGGGCTTAAAACAATATTATACGTAAAAACCGAAACTTTTGCCAAACATTGTTGGGGAGTAATAAAAACCTAATATATATTCGACCTTTTCATCGAGAAACTTCCATTAAAAACACCAAGTACCGAAGCCTCATTGATCATCAGTATTGCTAATGCTCATCAGGACGCTTATCCAGCTCGTGTTAAAACACTGAAGATTAAAATACTTTTGTCTGCCTCTCCTAAAATATTTCTTAGATTTATACCTAGTCTGGGAGACACTCGTAAACAATATCATCGAATTTTCCTTTGTAATGGTTTGGATTTCTGTTGTGTTTTTTTTAAACATGAGAATCAAGATCTTATTTCCATTTCTATCATATCCTGGCTCTATTTTCCGTTATAATTTCACTTGAATAGGGGTCGACATAACACAAACCACGGTGACTGTTGGAAGCCCAGAAGTTTTGGAAGGAACAGCCAACGATTTGGACCTGACGATCTCTTTAGTGTCCAACGTCCTGGCCGGCAGTGTTAACGGTGACGACCTGTGGCGCGTACTCGCCTTCCTGAGTGCTAACGCAGATGGCACTGGCTCGCGACTTCAAGAGAACGACATCACACTCACCGCCGCTCAGTCAGGATTGGATATAACCGCAGGAAGTCCTGTTCAACTATCTTCGCTCGTTTACCAACTTGACCTGGTCGGCGGCACCACTTGCTCCGAATTCCAGCACGTGTGTGTCCAAGTTTTGCAGGGTCCGACACCTAACCCAGCATTCCAACTTGACAGTTTACCAGCGGACCTTATAGATTGTATGCCGGTGACATGCAGAGGTAGGATATTCATCGATCATTGTTTATGAAGCCCTATTGTGTTTTCCGTGTTCTTTGGTGAAACAAATAATAATAAAACGCGGAAAGAGTATATATGGATCAGCCAGAAAATGAAATAATACAGAAATTATATATATATATATATATACATCAATGTCATGTTAAAAAACGCTAAATATCATGTCACTTTTAAATATACTCGATATTTCAGTACTAATGGAAAGTTAGCTGATACAGGTCTACAGCTATTCCCCAAATATAGTCGAAGACATCTAAAGTTAATTGAATGTGCTGCAAATGTAAGATACATATTTTATATAATATTTTGTTTAATTCTTACAAACTACTTATAACATTTTTTACCCTAATGTTCAAATCCAGGTGTTGAAATCACCAACGCGGAAGTGAACCTTATTTCTGGGGAGGTCCGTGAAGGTGTGGCTGGACAGACTTTGACTCTGGACTTCACCTTGGAATCGGACCAACTCGCAGGAAGCGTAAGCGGCACCAACTTGTGGAACTTTGTCGTGTTCGGCAGTATGAATGCAGATGGGAGCGGAGACAGGGTGACGCAGTCCGTCTCGCCCACGACCGCTCATTACGACACATCGCTCGTGGCGGGTGTAGATACTGTCTTTAATTCCATGGCCATCGCGTGGGATATGGATGCGGGTGCTACCTGTGAGGATGTGCAGTTTATATGCTTCGAGGCGTCGAAGAATCCGGCATCAAATCCTGACTTTACCCTCACTGTATCCAGTGACAGTGTGCTACGTGCTTGCCAGGCATTGAATTGCAGAGGTCAGTGTAAAGGCGAATTTTCACTTCGCTTCATATTAAACAGATATTGGATACCACACACAGTTTGTTAATGTTATAATATTATTGGTGGATAAATTGTACATTTTATTCTCTTCTCATAATGTAATTAAATTCAAGTTACAGCCCTTCGGCAGTGATGTAGCAATAAATGGATGGGTGGCACGAATAGTAGTAAGGTTGATTCATGATAAATAGGATTGCCTCTTGGAACAGTGGCTATAACGAAATTATAATAAAACATCATATTGATATTTAAAAAACTTCAAACTTTTTCGAAAAGATTTGTTCGATATGACAAAATGAAAAACACTTATTGTAGTCCATATTATACATTTATTGACTGGCAGGGGGTGTAATATAACATTATTTGGACCGCTCAAGGGAGTTATATTTCCCAAGTGGTTATATTTTCCCGAAGCGCGCAGCGCTAAGGGAAAATATGGTCACGAGGGGAAATATAACTCCCTTCAGGTCCAAAGAGTCTTATATACCCCCTGCCAGTCAATAACTGTTATATTAGATAGCCCTTTTTTGTAGGGGGGGTCAAAAAATTGTTTGCCCCCCCAAAAAAAAAATCCCCTTTTTTTTCGGAAATTACGGAAAAATAATCTGTCGAGATAGTTCAAGAAAGAAAAAAAAAACCTTACAAAAAAAAAATTATGAAAAAAAAAAAAATCGAAAAAAAAAACACTTTACCCCAAAAAAGCATTTTTCGGGAAGAAAAAAAAAATTACCCAAAAAAGCATTTTTTTGGAAAAAATAATTTCAAGGGAAAAAAAAATTCATGAAAAAAAATATTGAAAAAATGAAATGACCTTCGGTAATGGTGTAATGTGTATAATTGGTGACATACAGTCCTCAAGAGGGCGACATGCATTGATTAAAAATATATTCATTTCACCAGCTGGTTAATATAACACCGAAAAGTGACCGGCCAGGAAAATATAACAATTTGGATCCTCACAATTGATATCACGTGACGAGCTCTGGACCAATCACATCTCGGTATCTGTCTAAGCTATCTAATATAGGCTAACAAACAAAAAACCTTCTAAATTAGTTGAAAATTCGTACGGTAGATATCCTGAAAATATGATTCGGAAACCATGTAAATAGACCTAGTATATACATTATATATCATTATAGTTGCATCAGACGTAGGTTAAGACATGCATTTGTTGAATGTTCTTGTATGTTAGTTTCTATTTCTATTTTACCACGAGATCTATATTGGATGTGCTTTTTTCTTATCAAGTACTGTTTTATGAAACGATAACCTTATTTATTCTCTTGCAATCCCTATTTAGGAGTGGAATTTACAGATACGAGTTTGCAAGTTATATCTGGAAATAAGCTGGTCGAGGGGGATTCTGCGCATCAAATCACCTTTGATATTCTGGTGGATTCCGACGCGGCAGGTGGCAGTGTGTCCGGTACAAATCTGTGGCAGGTGAGAGCATATGCAACGGGAAGCGGCACAACAGGTGGAAGCGTCATCAACCCGGTCAGTGTCACCTTAACCCCTAGTCAGAGCGGCACTGGAATCAACGCTGGAACGAGGGCCAACATCATGTCGGTGACCGCCAATCTCAACTTGGAAAACACGTTATGTACAGGACTTGCAGGAATCTGTGTAATCTTACAGCAAAACCCGTCTTCAAACCCTACCTTCACATTTGATCCTCAACCAAACAGCAAAATTCTGACGTCTTGCGTACCAGCTACATGCACTGGTAAGCACTGGTAACCATTGCGGGAATTCAGTAATACCTAAGATGATTTACTTTTCCCTGATTCTATACATCAACAAGCCTATAATGTGCTCAACATTCGGGGTTGAAGAAGGATACGAATATTATGTTATCGTCTTAAAATGTTGATCCAGGGCGTCGGGATGTCAAGATAAATTATTTTAAAAAGAGTAGGAAACTAGGAGTAATTGTGCATACATTTAGCTGCGTTGTAGGACTTAATATTATTGTCCCATGTTTTTGCTTTATTATTAGGTGTCCAAGTTACTGATGTCAATTTCATCCTAATATCCGGTGCACCGCTCCAAGCAGGTTCTGATAGCAACGATATAGCCCTGGATCTGAATATCATCACTGATGGTGGTGGAGCAGGCGTCTCAGGATCAAATCTCTGGCAGGTATGTTATTTGCAATTATGTTCACAAAGCGGTCAGAAATTGCGGCAAGATAAGTGAAATGTGCTAGGTCTGATGAAGGTTAGAACTTTATACATAACTTGTTGTATGAATGAAGTACAGGAAACAGGTATTTCTACAAAACTATTCGGAATCATAATATTCACTTTATTTGAAGAATTGACTTTACCGTGAATCTCCTCATTTGTTGAATTACTCTGCCGACACGTTTGCAAACTGAATTAGTTCATGCAAGAATGCAAAGACCCTATTGGAAAAGTGCTATGTCTTCTCATCACATCTCAAAATGGGTATGCGTGATGGCGTCCTCTTATGAACATTTCTATCCGTCCATGAGTTTTCACTATAAACTTTTTGTTTGTAAATGTAGCTCCTGAAACTGTTTGTTTCCATTGAATTTTGAAAACAGGTTGAGCTCTTCCTGAACTCCCAGATAGATGGCCAAGGAGTAACTTCACTCTCTAAGCTGACGTCCATTCCGGCTTTGGAAAACAGTCAATCTTTGACTGCTGGTATTTCTTATACACTAAAAGACGTTGGTACAACCCTTAATCTGCGCAATATGGATTGCGCCAATTTACCATTCGTTTGCGTGAGGCTTAGTAAGCATCCAGGCTCCAATCCAGCCTTCACCCTCTCAGAGGTATCCCCTGCTAGTCTTGTATCCTGTCAGCGCTTACGGTGTACAGGTAATGCACCACTTCAAAGTGTAATTGGAATAAATGAATGATTCGCTTTAACATGCTATGATATTAGACCTATATAGTAATTTGTAAAATGCCTACAGAAAATGCATATAACAATGTATTGAACAATGCACACGGAAAGTCAAATAATCGTTCTCCTTACCATATAACTGTTTATGACAAGTTTACATTATGAACTACCCTAGTAGTTACCGCCCTCAAAACCATTTTCATATTGTTTATTTTTGTTACAGACACCAATGAATGTGATCCAAACCTCTGTATGAATGGTGGAATATGTACAGACGGTGTCAATTCGTTTTCTTGTGCCTGTCTGGCAGGCTTCACGGGACGAACATGTGATGGAGGTGAGTATAGCGTAGAAAATGAATAATTATAATTCCTCTCTGAGAAATTACAGTATGCCTCACAGATTCAATAGTTTTTATTGTGATCCTTCTGTTTTCATTGAAAATTTAGAGCTTTGTATACGCTCCACAATTAATACCCCATCATAACTGAGTTTTACAGATTCATAAAGTTAGTTTGTTTGTACTGTACCTTGACATGTAAACTAACATATATCACGAGCATGGCGCCGACGCGAACGCACGTGTAGCTGTATCTCTGCCTACACCCATTAATATGTCTTCGAATTTGAGTACTTTTTAACACCTATTATCTACTTTTATGGACCGAAACAGGTTAGTGATATCCTTCTCGATTAAAAACTTGATCCAAATCAACGCATCTTGTGGTATTTTGTAGCCATATCTTGCAATTATTGACTTCAACTTTCACGCTCAAAGAAAGGCAGCCAAGATGATAAGACGCACACGAAACGCACCGAAGCCTTCCCAAAATCAAGCCGCGGCCCCCGAAGAAACTGCGGGCGCCGATGAGTCAGTGGAAGAGCCCTCTGCCAACCCACCCCAGCCGCCGCTCACGTTAGCAGACCTCAACAATAGCATCACCGAATTCCAGTCCTTCATTTCTTCAAAGCTGGATGGAATCTCCACTGATGTGGCAGCTATTAATAAAAGGTTCACCGACCTCGAAGTAAGTGTAAATTTTAACGCGGAAAAGATCAGAGAAATTGAGGATCGGAAGCTACCTGAAGTGAAGGATTCTACTCAGAAAATGATGAAAGTATTGGAAAACAAAATCATCTCTCTTGAGATCCACAATCGGAAATCCAACCTCCTATTCTATGGTATTAATCAGAATGAAGGCGAAGATGTGTATAAAGTCTTGAAGGATGCATTTGCTACCCTAGGCGTTGATGATGCCCCGACGATTGCTATTGCCAACGCTCATCGGCTACCTCGAAGAGGAGCGGCAGACCAGACCAGCCAGCGTGGACCCGTCCCCATCATTGCGCGGTTCTGCTACATGGAAAACAGGAACGCCATACTAGCTGTATTCGACAACCAGCAGAGGAACCGCGCGAAGGCATCCGCCTCTCCAGCCAGGGCCCAACCCCAATCGCGGCTTACAGTTAGAACGGATCTCCCGCCTTCCTTGAGGATTCGTCGAGCTCTCCTAGCCACAGAAGCCTACAAGATGCGCAAAGAACAAGGACTTTCGACGAAAATCTTCGTTAGAGGTACGGAAGTCTGTTTACAGTCAAAGGAAAAAGGCACATCCAAGTGGATTGATTACAAGGACTAGTAATGTCTATCACCAGTCAATGAGGTACTACTGACTTTCATACTCTTTAAATATTTTGTTTAATGTGCCACCTATCTACTGCAGATTTGATGGTGTGATTTAGTAGTGTGATCTCTCAATCTATAAACTTTCTCATATCTTTGCTTCCATATCCTGTAACTACTACAAAGTTTGATGATGTGAGTTGATCTGACATAGTTGTTAAATATTTTACCAAAGGAAATGGAGAAGCAGTTAATTTATCACATTGTATTTTGCTATTGTATACCATAACTAATGCAAAAGATTGATGATGTGATCTGGTGTGATTTTTTTTGTTTCTTTATCTTCATGACAGAGTGGAGAAACTGTAATAGCATTACTTTTTCATATCATATCGCTCGTACGCTATACAGTACACTATAATGACTTCAAAGGTTGATGTTGTGATCTCTTAATCTTTTCAAGAGAGAAAGAGAAACAGTTTTGTTTTCTCATGTCATATTGTGTCACAGGTCTGTAAATATGATCTCTTTAATCTCTTAATTTTTTTTGTTTTTTCCAGAAGTTATGGATAAAAAATAGTTTTACTTTCTCATATGCTACTAATAATAATGCAAAGTTGATGCTGTGATTATTTTGGTATTCTGAAGAAATTAAGAAACAGTCTTACCTTCTTGTATTATACAGTACCATAAATTTGTTTTTTGTAATGATATGATCTCTTTATTTTTTCAGAGGAAATGTTGAAATAGAGATTAGAGAAACAGTTTTGACTTCTCATATCGTATTATCCTACAAGTGATGTGATCTCTTTAATCTCCTATCTTTTGTTGTTTTCCAGAAGAAATGGATAAACAGTTATACTTTCTCATATTATATTATGCTATTTAACAATGCAAATTTGATGGTGAGATTTTGTTAGTCTTCTGAGGAATTTCTGAAGAAAATGAGAAGCAGTCTTACCTACTCATATTATATTGTGCTGCAAGTTCAATGATGCAATCTCCTTGTCTTCTAAGAAGAAATGTTGAAGTATAGGAAAAGTTGTGATTTTTCATTATCGTATTGTGCTACAAATTTGATGATGTGATCTCTTTAATCTCTTAATCTTTTGGGGTTGTCTTTTTTTTTTCTCCAGAAGAAGTGGATAGATGGTTGTACCTTCTCATATTATATTATGCTATTTAACAATGCAAAGTTGATGATGTGATTCTCTCAGCCTTCTGAAGAAATTGTGAAGCAGTCTTACCTTCTCATATTATATTGAGCTAAAAGTTTATTTTGATGATGTTATTTTATTGGAGGTTTTTTTTTTCAGAAGGAAATGTTGAAACGGTTATACTTTCTCATATTAGGCTACTTAATAGTGCAAGTTGGTGAAACGATTCTTTCATGTCTTTGAGAGAAATGTAAAAACAGTCTTACTTTTTTATACTGTAGAGTTTAAATGATATGGTTCAGTGTACATCCTAGATATTTGTACATGTATGCCTGAGATAATGCCTCAGCTGATTTTTTTTTTCTCTCTACTTATACATGCATGTTCAAGGTAGGGAGCTGACCATCATGCACTTTTTTGTTTAAAGTCAATCCTTTTACATGGATATATTACTGATAACATTTAAGAGATAGTATTTCATTATACTCAAATGTTTATAAGTTCAACTCTAATATGTTGGGGTATGGCAGATATCTCATGTTCTGTTCGAATGCCTCTATACATGTATGCCCAAGACATTTGGGCAGAAACAATTTTTTGTATTTTTATTTTATTAAGTTGCCCCGTAGCATTTTTCTGTTTTAATGTACCTCAATTGACTGTATTTATTCAACAACATTTGTACCTCAATAAGTGTTATTCAGAGATGTGTGGATTTATCGATGGCGGATGATATTAGTCCCATTACATGTCCAAATGTTAGATGTGAATATTATCTACCAGCTGATTTCAAGACAAAATTTCCCAACAAAGGTCAATCGCACATTTATTTGCATATGAATGCTCGCAGTCTTGCAAAGAATTTCGACAAAGTACAGCTGCTCTTGGATTCTCTGGAATGTTTCTTTTCTGTTGTAGGTATCAGTGAAACGTGGTTACATAGTAATTCACCTCCTTTGTACGACATTCCAAATTATTCCCTGATACGCTCTGATAGATTAGAGGATAGAGGAGGAGGGGTTGCTTTCTATATCAACAATGCTTTGTCTTTTAAACTTCGCTCTGATCTCTCTTTCCATCATAGGAGTGCTGAGTTGCTCTCTATTGAAACAATTTCCCGTCTTCCTGGAAAAAATAATGTAATCTGTATCGTATATAGACCTCCAAATAATGACAAGAAAGTCTTTTTGGATGATTTCGATAACCTCCTTCACAAACTAAATCTAGAAAATAAAAATACATATTTCATGGGGGACTTCAACATTGACTGGCTCTGTGACAACGATATTACTGCTGATTTAAATACACTGTTAAATGTTCATGCTATGTTTTCTACTATTACAAAACCAACAAGAATAGATATGAATACTAGTACTCTAATAGATAATATATTTACCAATGTTTCTGATAATAACATTGAAGCAGGGCTCATTTATTCTGAAGTTTCAGATCACCTACCCATTTTTTTGCTCCTTTCCAATTGTACTAAAACTAAAACTAAAATGAAAATGGTTGAGGTTCGTAAATTTACAGAGGATAATATTGGCAAGTTTAAAACTGATTTGATGTCGGAAACGTGGAATGATGTCTTAAATTGCAATGAAATTGATATTGCATATCAGAGGTTTTTAGAAACATTAACAAACTATTTGAATATAAATATACCAAAAGTCAAAATTAAACCTCGCAGAAATTTACCCAAACATCCTTGGATTACCAGAGGAATTCTGAGATCTATCAAACAAAGAAATAAGTTATATAAAAAAAGCCTTTGTAACCCTACAGATAGAAAGAAGCAGGAATATAGACAATATAGAAATAAGCTAACACATATTATTCGTATATCAAAAAGAATGTATTACACCAAACAGTTTGAACAGGCAAATGATTCTTCTTCCAAGTGGAAGATAATAAATGGTATTCTGAAAAGGGGGAATGTTTCTCATTCAACTGTGTTTAGACATGATGGTATTACTATAACGGACCCACATGAAATTGCAAATTGTTTTAATAATTATTTTTCAAACATAGGTGCTGAACAGGCTTCGAAAATCAAAGGGTGTAGCAATAGTTTTCGTGATTCTCTTTTTTATTCTTCTGTAAATAGTATTTTCTTCAACCCTACAAATCCAGTTGAGGTAATGAGGATTGTTGCATCACTCAAGTCCAGTCATTCAACTGGACAAGATGAGATGAATACACATTTGCTAAAAAATATAATTGGAAGTATAATTAAGCCCCTAGTTTACATAATCAACCTGTCATTGTTCTCTGGTAGTTTTCCCTCATTGATGAAAATTTCGAAAGTAATACCCATCTATAAGAAGGACGATGCTAGTTCATTCAGTAATTATCGGCCTATCTCAATACTTTCATGTTTTTCTAAAATATTAGAACGACTCGTTTATGATAGACTATATACATTTTTGACTGACAACAGTTTACTTAATAATGATCAGTATGGATTCAGGAAATTTCATTCAACAGAATTTGCTATTATTAAATTATATGATAGGGTATCATCTGCCTGAGCCAAACACGAGCATGTTATAGGGGTTTTCATGGATTTAAGTAAGGCATTTGATACCCTAGATCATGACATACTTCTACACAAGCTCTACCATTACGGGATTCGTGGTATACCTTTAAATTGGTTTCGTAGTTACCTTTCTTGTAGAAGTCAATATACAATATTTAATAATGCCAAATCGACCATGTCATCAGTTGGGTATGGTGTGCCCCAGGGCTCTATTTTAGGTCCGCTTCTTTTTTTGATTTATGTTAATGATATTTCTAATGTCTCTTCCTTACTACAATATATATTATTTGCTGATGACGCTAATATTTTTTGCTCTAATTCCAACCTAGAGAGTCTTGTTCAAACACTAAATACTGAATTGCCAAAATTATCTAACTGGTTTAAATGCAATAAATTATCGTTGAATTTGGGTAAAACTAACTTCATCCACTTTAAAACTCGTGCTTATACTGAAGAAACTAATGTGTCATTAAAGATAGATAGCATCTCCATTCAACAAAAGAAAAACACCAAATTCCTAGGCATTTATATTGATGAGTGCCTGTCTTGGCATGAACACGTACGTGATCTTTCTCGAGTTTTGTCTCGTTATATTGATGTTATGTACAAGTTAAAGCCTTTTGTTCCACTTAGTATTTTGTTCATTATTTACAATTCTTTCATTCATTCACGTATTTCTTACTGTAACATTGTATGGGCTATTAATAGATTAAATACTGATGGTATCTTTAGATTGCAAAAGAGAGTCATGAGACTTTGTTGTGGCTCTGGGTACTTTGATCATACTGACCCATTATTTTTCAAATTGAGAACTCTGAAGGTTACTGATATTCATAATATGCAAATTGCAGTGTTCATGTACCGACTTAATAAAAAAGAACTGCCTTTATCATTTTGTAACGATTTCACTCTAAATAGAGACATTGACAACTACCCAACCAGACATTCTTCCGATTTCCATTTGTTTACACCATGGAGCGCCTTAGCCCAAAGATCAATTAGATATGTAGGTCCTGACATTTGGAACGCTTTGCCACCTGAAATACGAGCTTGTAATACCATTATGTTATTTAAAAAGAAAATGAAGGAATCATTTCTCTTAAAATATAATCGTTAACTTTTGAGGTTCATGTTGTATATAGTGCTAAATATGTCAAGAAGAGGTAATGTGTATTTCATTGTTTTTGCTTGTTATTCAAATATGTTAAGGGGCATGATTTTTGTATTTTGTTTTATTTTTGTAACGAATGTCTTATTTTAAGCCATGTTCTATTTTTACCTAATAATTATCAACTATGTTACTTAGGGACGTTGCGCTTCAAACATTTTTTGTTTATGCATTGTTCCTACTATGTATTATATATCAATGTAACCCACTGTATTCTATTATCTGTAAACAGTTATTTTACATGGTGAATAAATAAAACAAACAAACAAACAAACAAATATAGAACGGTAATTACGTTGACTGTTGAGTGACAATTCATTAAATTTGTCAAAATCAATGCGGGTGAAATGTATGTACTCACGCTTATCAACATTAACATTGACATGTAAGACATGTTCATTGATTCAGTATTTCTTATCTTTGTTCCAATAATTAACTGTAGATATAAATGAATGTTTAAGCGGGCCGTGCCAGAACGGTGGAACCTGTGCCGAGGGAGTGGATTGGTTCGTGTGTTTCTGTGCTCCTGGATACACTGGTACATTCTGTACCGAGGGTAAGTTTTAATAGATTCCTCAAAATTCAAAGATATTATTGTATAATTTAATAAACTTAATAATATTGTTGTTTTAATTTTTGAAACTATCCTCACCCCAGCAGTTACCGGGTACCATCTACACCTGGGTGAGGAGTGGCAATTGTGCATAGATGCCTTGTCAGTTTAAATGTTTAATATGTTTCATATTATAAGCATTATTATCATTATTATCATTAATATTATTATTCACCAGATATCAACGAGTGTGGCTCTAATCCATGCCAGAATGGTGGCATATGCGATAATCTCATCGCCCGGTACACATGTGACTGCCAACCCGGTTACACAGGGGTTACTTGCCAACTTGGTAAGTTGATTAAAGAGCAACATATTGGCTTTAAGTGAGCCTTCTGTCTCGATCATCTGTGCTGTGTCTGAGCTGTCCGACAATGGAGCTTAGATATTATAACCACGCGTGTTGGATTCAAAAGTTGTTTTTTTTTTCTTTCAATTCTTCATGGCTAATAAGTGCTCAATTCACTTTCCCTTTCTTTATGGGACCGATGCAAGTTGTAAATTAAAGTCGCCTTTAAGTATTGCCAAAGTGTCTTTAATATTTTCCACTTTACATGACCATCAGACAATTCAGATATAGATCTACCTTCTTATGCCATCGGTAGTTAACATAATAGCTCCGTTTAGTCTCATTTCACAACGCCCCCTATCGTCAGAGTCAGCAGCCATACATGTTAGCCTATGGAATTGTACCAAACAAAATCGTTAAAAATTCTTTTTTTTTTTTTTAAACGAAAAGCACATCCACCCCGACTTACGTTATCACTAGCTCTTTCATTGAAACCCTCATGTCCCATTGAATTTTGAAAGTTTACCCACCGTAATTTGATCAAACATATTGCTCCGATTGTCTCATTTTCGCTCGCGTGAACATTGCCAGCACAAACCACTGACCTCTACTTCCTGTACGGATCATCGCCCATTCCCATTCATTATACGTTACGTACTAAAAGGCTGTATTGTCTGACCGTTCATGAATATTCATGTTTTTGCTTACCTAGGCTAAATGTTTGTTTTTACTAAATTGAAAAATTACGGTGGGGGGTTGGATGAAATGGACATAATGAAATAGGCAGAAGTGATCTATGATAATTCACGCTTTTTATGTTTCGTGTGCTCGACCTATAATCTTCAAATCGCTTGGCAAACTGAGTCTAAAGTTAGACTTGTTTCACATGTGTATAGGCAATGACGAGCTTGCAACCTATTTTGAAAAATTACGGTGGGTGAACTTTCAAAAGTCAATGAGACATGAGGGCTCCAATGAAAGAGCTAGTGATATGTACGTCGGGGTGGATGTGCTTTTCGTTTAAACAAAAAATGAATTTGTAACGATTCTTTAAAAAAACGTCCATAGGCTAACATGTTAGGCTGCTGAATCTGACCATGCTCTGACGATAGGGGGCTTTGTGAAATGAGACTAAACGGAGCAATATGAACAGGTTGCAATCTCGTCATTGCCTATAATACACATGTAAAACAAGTCGAACTTTGGACTCAGTTTGCCAAGCGATTTTAAGATTATAGGTCAAGCACACGAAAGATAAGAAGAATGAATTATCATAGATCACTTCTGCTTGGTTCATTATGTCCATTTCATCCAACCCCCCACCGTCATTTTTCCATAAAAGCAAACATTTTGCCGAGGTAAGCAAAAACATGAATATTCATGAACGGTCAGACAATACAGCCTTTTAGCACGTAACGTATAGTGAATGGGAATGGGCGATGATCCGTCCATGAGGTAGAGGTCAGTGGTTTGTGCTGGCAATGTTCCAGCGAGCGAAAATGAGACAATCGGAGCAATATGTGCCTTGTGCCATTTTATATCTATATACAATTGCTAGTATTTATAACAGTACCTTGTAAAACATTCATTCATTTGATGTCCACATACACCCATCTATTCAAATGACGGTATAAAATGAAACTATTTGTTGAAAAACATACCAGAACTGTACATAATTGATTCTGATGTATTATTACATATTGACACCTGTGATGAATTTAAAACTCAACCGAATCGATACTTAAATTTCTTCATTTGTTTTAGCAAATTTACAACTTAACGTGACCGCAACATTCCTATTGTATTGGTGCAGTATAATTGATACTTAAATTTCTTCAATTTGTTTGTGTTTAGCGTATTCACAAACTTGCGTCAACACTTGTATTTTTTCCTTTTCTTTTGGTAAAAGATATCAACGAATGTGCGAGCACACCATGTCAAAATGGTGGCACCTGTAATGATAAGATCAATGGATATCTGTGTGATTGCGTCGCGGGATATGCTGGAAACAACTGCCAAGACGGTTAGTTTGAAAATTCTTGAAAATATAAATATAATCATAATTGTGTTTACCCTGGAAGCCTCATTAGCAGCAGTGCTGTTTTTCCTGAAGGCCCTGGAATTGTTATTCCTCTAATACATGCCATGTACCAATTACAGCTAGGTGTAGCGTGGTAAATGTGGATTAATGTCTTACCAAAGGTCGTTATTGTGGGGATGTGATTCGAACCATCAACCCTTAAACTAACGGTCTAGTGAATGAACCACTATATTATGGCATCTCTTTGGTCAGGTTTCTACCCTGATAAGTGGGATCAGTTTATATATGTATAATCGAACATCAACATCATCATTTTGTTCAAATTACTAGAATTGAGTAAAATGAATAGGTTAAATTGCAATCATGAAGCAGAATTTTCAATCTTATTTCACGGTCAAACTGATTTCATGTATCGATTTCGTTAACGATTCACTTGTTACTCGTGTAAGAATAAAGTGGTCGACCGCGTAGTTCTGAATGTGTGGACTTAGTTAAATATGTCAAATTGCTTCCATTTACATCAGAGAATATTGGAGAAGTGTTTCGTTTCCATATACACCAGTCTGCCAGTGGGACTGATGGGGTAGTATGGAATATCGATAATGAAATAATGTGGCATATTGAGTTTGTTGTTTGTACTTTTAATTCATTCAGATATTAATATTTTCCACAATTTATTCACTTTATGTATCCATCTTTGATTTTTCCATTTGTCTGTCTTGAGAGCATTCTTTCGTGATTTTACGTATGATGTAAAAAAAAAAATGTTGAACTGAAATTGAAATGGAATTGAAATGAAATTGAAATGGAATTGAAATGAAATTGAAATGAATTTGAAATTTTCAAAGTATTTGCGTACGACAAATTTAATTTCATTTTTCAACTACAGCACATGGCATAGGAAAAAGTGATTTCGTCGGCTTCGAACTCCCGAAATGCTGTCTTTGTAAATTTATTTTGTTCTGGAATTCAAATATTAACAGGGCGTTGACAGAAAGAGAAAAAGAGTGGAATAGAGGTGGTCGTAGTGGAATGAGAGTTTAAACAACATATGAATAGAGGGGGGCGGGTCATGTTATCTCTTTCATTATGATTTGAACATTTCTCAAACATATTCGTTTTCCAGAAATCAACGAGTGCCTGAGTTTCCCATGCCAAAATGGAGCCCCATGCGTAGATCTCATAAACGACTACAGTTGTATGTGCGATGCTGGTTGGACTGGCCGCGTCTGCGATCAAGACATGAACGAGTGCCTCAGCAACCCTTGCGTCTTCGGTGTATGTGGACATGGAACTGCCTTCTACTTCTGCACCTGTAATGCTGGTTACACCGGCACCAATTGCGACATAGGTTTGTTCTTACTATTTTACCTTTTTAATTACTATTTAATATTTAAAAGGCTTGACCCGTTTTCGTAATGGAGTTAAACTATGTGGACAACAAAAACGGTTATACTCGTTATGTAGAATTTTCTAACCTGGCTGAGTCCAGTAATATTGATTGTAATGCATAATTCGAATATTGTTTAAATATAATAAAAACAGCACAGTTCGTTTCAGAATGTAACTAATATTACTCTTATTATCAAACGGTTTACAATCCCCTTTTACCCCAGTTCTAAGTTAGTTTTGATATCTCATCTCAAGTATATTTCTCAACATGAAGGTTATCTTGTTTTCACTTTTAACGTGTAAGGCAGTAGAAATTATTTCTATCACAACTTTTTTTCCGTCAAATGTTGTGATATCGTATATCTAGAAAAAATGATGCCTGTCAAACACGATTGGTGCGATTGAATTAATTGTATTTCCCTTGGGTGACTTGTTTAAATGTTATACATTGACTATAACAATATATAAAGCGTGTTAAAAATTATAATCAAACACATTTTGTACATAGAAGATCACCCGATTAAAGTGCACGAAAGTGTTGTTGGCCTTTCTTGCATGTGTGTGTCTTATATATCCATTGTAGGAATTTAATGATAGAATGACAAGAAAAGATATTTTGTTATATTTATTTTATGTGTTGACTTGGCGTTGAACTTTGTAATAATTTGTCATCTGATCTGTTTCAGATATCGACGAATGTGCAAGTGATCCTTGCTTCAATGGAGGGACTTGCCAGGATGAAGTAAACGGCTATACATGCAATTGTGCGCCGGGTTGGACCGACGTCAATTGCCAATCAGGTAAAAGAAACAAATACAAAGATTATATCAGATAAGTCTTTTAATTATATCCACAGATATAGGTAGATTGATTGATTGATTGCTTGAATATGTTTTTTTGTCATAATACATTTATCATGCAGCCCATGGGCTGACATTGTTCAATGTACAAAGCAAAGCATACAAAATAAATACAAATCAAAATAAAACTCAAGACGTACCAATTATCAATCACTAATTCGAAATCCATATTGGCAGTTGTTTGTGAAACCATTTCACAAATAAAGTACATCGGTACGATAACTTCCGTATCGTTACATTTAACATTTTAAAGATTATAAGTCAACTTTAAGTGTGATCTGGTATGAGATCTGTTGCTCGTATCCTTTGTTTGTTGACAAGTTAGAGATGGCACACCACAATTCCCTTTCGTCTTACTCGTGACAAAATGTTCTTCCTGTACATGAGTAACCTTTTTTTTTGTACCAGAGGTGTTTTATATTGGCACCCTATATAGTGTGAGTCAAAAAAAACTTTACACCTAGAAAAATGCTAATAATTTTAAGAATCATTTATGAAAAGTAAATTATTATATACACCATATGAAAGAATGTTTCATCCCAAATCGTTTGGTACCATTTTGGGTGGTACGTGTTCACGCTTGGATAAATAGGAGGCATTGTTTGCGAGAGTGCAAAAATCGACTTGCGCCAAATAATGCTTTTGTGATGTTTGAATAAAACAATTGGGATTTCGGTATTAATTCGGTCTTTGCAGATCCAAATTACATCCCTACCAAACTTAATCATGTCACACATATCAAAACACACACACAATCACACTCAATAAGTCACACAAACACACGCACACACTCGCACATACACACACACACACACTCGCACAGCAAATTTAGATGCAGACTGACTGAGTCCTTTGGGAGAAACAATTCATTATGATGTTAATGCATCCAAACTTTCCTTTAATGGCATTATGATTGGATTTTAATTCCATTTTGATATTAATTGGTAAATTTGCAAATTTACAGTAATGTTCATTACGTAATGATTTCTTGGTTCCAAAAAGGTAACCACAACACATATGAAGTTATAAACCGTCTGAATACACGACAGTGAGAGAGAATAATCAATGGTCGCCTCTTTTATTCCCAAAGAATGGCAGCTTTCAACATGCTTTTGTCCTTTTGTGTTAGCTTGTGCTTAAAAGGCTTGCCTGACCTGGCAGGCATCACATAAGAACTGAAGATGGCAAACGTGGTGCGTCCTCAGTTTACCCCGCAACAGCGATCTTTTTTGGTGACAGAAAAGGCACGATGTCAAGGCAATGTGGCAGAGGTCTTAAGACGCTTCCGACGACGTTTCCCAAACGTCAGGTGTCCTTCTAGGCGAACTGTTTATAACAACTTTAATAAGTACCGCAGGACGGGAACGAGCCACAACCTCAACAAAGGACATTCAGGCCGTAGAAGAACAGCTAGGACACCAGAAAACATTGAGGCAGTTCGAGATTCGATACAGCAGACACAAGGCGGTCAGAGAATATCATCCCGTCGACATGGGCTCATGCTAACACAGAGTTCATTTAACAGAATCACCAGACTCCAGCTTAGACTCTATCCATTTCAGATGATCCGGAGACACGAGCTCTTCCCTCCAGACCACGCGCGCCGCAGAGCCTTCTCCGAATGGCTGATAGGTAGACACCCGCGCTTCCTTGAGGATGTCGTCATTGGAGACGACGCATGCTTCTGCATGAACACTTCGCTCAACAAACATAACGTTCGGCAGTTTGAACCTCGAGGGCACAAGCCCCTCAACTTTACCTATGAGAAGAGGAACTCGCGACAGAGAGTGACAGTTTGGATCGGCCTTCTTGGAAATGGAAGTCTTCTTGGACCCTTCTTCTTTGAACAGACAGTGAATGGGGAGCGCTATCTAAGAATGATAGATGATCAGGTTGTCCCGGCTCTGGATCAGATGGCACGATTTAGGCGTCAGAGAAACGGTCCTTTCAGGCACCTTTGGTGGGCACAAGATGGTGCCCCTGCTCACAGGACAAGGATTGTGATGACCAGGTTGAGAGAACTCTTCGGGAACAGGATCATCGCTCTGAACTAACCTGTGGAGTGGCCAGCTCGATCCCCGTACCTAACACCGCTTGATTTCTTCGTCTGGGTTTACCTCAAATCTCGGGTGTACCAGAGCCCACCTGCAAACCTCATCGACCTACGAGAGAGGATCAGGATTGAGAGCGAAGCACTTGGGAGAGACAGGCGCATGCTTCGTCGAGTGTTTCAGGAGATGCTCCATCGCGTTAGAAAGTGCATCGAAAGGGACGGAGGTCATGTCGAGGAGTAGATGAACGGACAGTTATTTGCTGGTCACAAATGAAGCTTCAAAGGATCCATGATGATAAGCATTTGAATTAACATTATCATCATAATTATGATGATCGTTAACAATTTGAAGATCAAGTAAAAAATAAAGTTTGACAAAGCATATTGAAACAGAATGTTTTTTTTGTACATGCGTATTTTACTCCAAATGAACACCATTATCATATGTTTGTGTGGGTGGGTGTGTTAGTGTGTGTGTTTCATATGTGTGTGTGCTTGTGTGTGTGTGTGACTTTGCTACTGAAAAAAGCATCTGCAATGCATCTCATTTCATACATTCAATTCATTCTCTCACTTTAATACTTTGCACTCTCGCAAACAATACCTCCTGTTCATCCAAGCGTGAACACATACCACCCAAAAATTGTACCAAACGATTTAGGATAAAACACTCTTTCATATGATGTATAATACTTCACTGTTCATAAATTATTTTTTAAATTATTAGTAATTTCCTAGGTGTAAAGTTTTTTTTGACTCACACTGTATTTGGGCAATTGTTCTGGTTTGTCTGAACTTTGATACTTGGCATTATTTCGCATCGTAATTCATCCTGTTCTTCTAGGTTTCCTAAAGAGGTGCAGGAATTTTGCGCCAAATAGGCCTAAATAGGCATTTGAGCGGGAGGTTAAAGATTAACATTATGTATTTTTCATTCTTTTCCCTAATTAGATATTAACGAGTGTCTACTGACTCCCAGCCCTTGTAATAACAACGGAATGTGCATCAATCTACAAAACAGATTCAAGTGTGACTGTTCACCTGGCTGGACTGGACTACGTTGTCAAACAGGTACGGATGATGTGTTATCCTTCTAAAAACGTGTGTTTTGTCGCCTTACAAATAATTTGATTAGGAATAACTGTCAAACTATGAATGTTTTCTTCATCAATATACATTTATCTTGCCAAATTTTCTTGATCTCCAAAATACTTTGTTTGGAAATTTTTGATACAGTCATGAGAAGAAGAAGAAAAAAAATCGTCATCAAAAAATTCTGGATTCGAAAACATCAAACAACACGAAATGACTATGCAGAATTTCTTGGGGTAAAAGTTTCTTACTTTTCTTCTAACTTTGCAGACATCAACGAATGCGCATCCTCCCCATGTGTAAACGGTGGGACCTGTAACGATGAAATCAATCAGTATACCTGTGTGTGCCCTGTCGGCTTCGAAGGCCTTACCTGTAACATTGGTAAGAACAGTTACAAGTATTACAAATATAATTGAGTCATATCTACCCAGGGTAGTAAGATACCTTCTTCTTCTTCTTCAAGATAATCTGCCTCCGTCAATACTGAAGATTCTTGCAGATGCCGTATACTCGGCCTTATTGGGGTGTGCAGGTAGACCATTACACCGGGGTTCCCCCTATTCTTATATGAATAGTGCAATGGGTCCTTAACGTGGAAGGGTGGAGACTCTCCTGTACACGGGGTCTCCATTTAACGTCCTATCCGAGGGACTGAGTGTTTTCCACTAGACATAACCTGCGTCTATGAACAAGGGAAGGGGCTCGTTAACAAACAACGCAGGCTCCAGTCATCCGCCTGGGTGGGAGTCGAATCCGGGATATTTGGTTCGATAGGCAGACGCTTTACCGGCTGAGCCAACTCGCCTCCTTAAATAATTTGTTTCTGAAAAATATTTCTTCTTATTTTTCTTTATGTTTTGTGTGTTCGTGTTGAATTATTGAGTATCATAGGAATTGGTTATGCAACCAGCCTTCAATGTATATTTCTGTTATCATCAAGTTCACAATAATATCCATTAACCTGTTAATTGTTCCTCTGCAGCAATCAATGACTGCACAAGTCAGCCTTGTCAGAACGGTGGTACATGTGAAGACGGAAACAACGCTTTCACCTGTCAATGTCAAGCCGGTTGGGAAGGTGTAACATGTTCCGAGGGTGAGGAGAACAACGACCTTTTCCATTTTACAAAATATACATATCTGCATGGTTTTATGACAAACTGATGGCGGTACTACAGTGACATTTATAATAAGTTGTGTTTTTCATGGTCGTTCTAAAAATTCTCAACTAACTAGATACCAACAGACCTCGACTCGTTTCGATTCATACCTGATAGAGGGTATAAGACATGGGTTAGAATTACAATTTGTTTCACCTAAAGAAATTCTTTAAGCTGTAATTTATGAATATTCCTTGCACTGAGAATGGATTACAAAGTTAATGAATTGCACATACAGTAAGAAGATCTACAGAAAAAAGATCAGTCATAGAATGTATATGGCTGACAAATATAATAAAGTTGTAGTAGTATTAGTAGAAGTAGTAGTAGTAGTAGTAGTAGTAGAAGAAGTAGTAGTAATAAAAGAGTAGTAGTAGTAGTAGTAATAGAGTAGTAGTAGTAGTAGTAGTTGTAGTAGTAAGAGTAGAAGTAAAAGAGTAGTAACAGTAGTAGTAGTAGCAGAAGTAATAATAATAGTAGTATAGTGGTAGTAGAGTAGTATAGACTTTATTAGACAACTTGTTTAGCGCAAGGCTAATCTCCCACAAGTTCAGTTTGTTGTTCATGCACAAAACCATTTACCCTACGTTCTTCGCATCATCCTCAATTTCTAATAGATGTAAATGAGTGTGCCAGCACTCCGTGTATAAATGGTGGAACGTGCACCCATGGAACTAACATCTACATCTGCCAATGCCCACCTGCTTGGAGCGGCACCAATTGTGAATTAGGTACGTAACGCAATAACTCATACATAATATAAAAAATGAAGATCATTTAAAGTGCTAATGAAACTGCTAGGTCTAAATGTGACCTCGTACAGGGGGATGTTTAGTACCAATCATCAAAATTAATTTTCGCTCTTTTTTTTTAAGGGTTTCCTCGTCGTTTTACTTTACTCAAGATATGAGCTTCAAATATTCCTTTAATGAAGAAATTTTGCAAATTTAGATATGTTAAAAGGATTTTTTTACCTGAATAAATATTTGTGTCCACGATACATGAACTATTTGAAAAATGAGGCTTTTGTCATTTCTGCCACTCCCTCCCTCAACCCCATTAGGTAGTTCGTTGCTAAAGTACATCGACTGAACCATTCCTGACATTAATGTCATAACTAAGGACTGTATTTTCATATTGAATTACTGGTGATTTTGCGTTGATTATATACACAAAAACTGAAATGGTATCGATTGTTGCTCTGACGTACACATATACAAATTTGTATTGACATTGCTACAAATAATGTATACAAACTATGAAAACGAAGCTTAGTGGTAAATTTACCCGTGGCAAGTATATTTATTTTTCCCTTTCAACTGTATATCATTTCACTAGATCGTCGCGAATGCCTGAGCAACCCATGTCTTAACGCAGGAACATGCATCGAACAGGTGAATGGATACGAGTGCAGATGTATGCCAGGATATACAGGAACACGATGTGAAACAAGTAAGTATCACAATTTGAAGTATAATTGATAACAAATTTGGGCATGTTAGGGAATGCATTCATTTGAAGGAGTTGATTAATTTCCAAACGGAACAGTGGCACTTGTGTTGTGCAGCTATTCATGTTATATTCCGATACAATGCCTAGTAAAGTCCTTTTGTTATTCTTGTTCTTTATATAGAAAGGGATGATGATGTTTTACAGCTTTTCTATGGCGCCATATAACTGTTTTAATAATGAACATTCAAAGGCGCAAGTTTCTACAATTTATTCATTTTTCCACATTTGCTGAAATGGGTAAGTTTTGAGATATGATTTGAAGTGTTTTAAACTGTCGATCTCACGAAAACAAGACTTTATGATACTAACTTCTATGACTTTCTTTTTCTTTTAAGATATTAATGAATGCAGTAGCGGTCCTTGTCTTAACGGAGGAAACTGCATTGATGGAATCAACGAGTACACGTGTGATTGCGTAGAAGGTTATAATGGGCTTATCTGTCAATTCGGTAGGTGGAATGTTATTTCTATATGTATATTAATTTTTCATCTAAGCTAAATAGAAAGAAATAATTTCATGATAACGTTGATAGTAATATCTTATTGGTAATCCAATGATTCTAATCCATGAAAAATAATCTATAAATTAATCGGTTTTAACGTCATTTCTTTCAATGCAACATATCCAATATAATACTCGACTGACTATGAGAAGAACAGTAGTGATATCTTACTCTGCTGTGTAAATATCCGTATGTCTTGATATATACTTCAATTACTAGAGTTCATCATACCACATACCCGTACGTCTTTTGATTACATTCAGATATAAACGAATGTGGTTCCAACCCCTGCCAGAATGGAGGCACCTGCGATGACAGAATAGCGTCATATGTGTGTACCTGCGCAGCTGGATATATTGGGGTCAACTGCCAAACCGGTAAGTGCTTCTTTGCTTTTGCCGTGGCAATTAAATTCTGCTATATTGCAATGGATTCTAACATGTAGCAGAAACAGGTAGCATTTTTTAACGAATATATTATTGTCATCCCTTCTAAGAAATAACAAAAAAGATTATGGAATTGTGGCTTCTTGTTGCGTATATAGTGGATGTTAAGCGTATCCGATTATGGATATTATCCCACGTACAAATGGGAATGCATGGGTGAATTATCATATTAAAACTTATTCAGATATATCGTGGCGTCACCTTTTTAATAGAGCATTTATTCAACCAGTGTGAGTTGAAGGTTAAGAGAAACAGGACTGACTGTATTGAATTCCAGTATTAAGCCGAGAGAAAGAGGTCACTTACATATCTGTATAATATATTGTGTGTTTGACACGGTCCTATTTTTCTGAGGTGACTATGACCGAAAACGGCACCCCAAAAGTACGTAACAAAAATTACAAGGGCCTACATTTATTTTTGAAAACATAATTACCATGATCACGAAGTCAACTATTCTGTCAAAATATTACATACTTTTTCCAAAAGAATAACCAACACAGAGTTAATGCACTTCTGGCTCTGAACAAACGACATGCAAAAAGGTTTTCAAAATCAAATAGTAATACTGTCTAAACTCTAAACTATATCTATATTGCTGTTTTTGATATAGATTTCAACGAATGTAGCAGCACCCCCTGCCAAAACGGCGGCATTTGCACACACTCCATTAATGCATACATGTGTAGTTGTCCAGATGGATACACTGCCATCAATTGCGAAATCGGTAAGTTATGGCCCTCAGTCAGAGGCGTATTTAGTAAATATTTTCAAAAGGGGGTGGGCAAAGCGGGTGATCCATGTTTCCTGGGTGGAAACCACATTTCAACTGCTCATTTATGGTAACTTCCATGTAAACCTTGATTTGATTGGCGGTTGATTGGCTGCTCATTGATGTTGCCTTGGAAGTTAACATCGATAACAAAATTACCATCAATGGTAAGGTTTATTCAACTAGGCCCAGGTTCGAGTTGACGGAGCAGGCAGGTTTAAATAGGGGTTCATGTGCTGATGAGTATCAATTTAGTTTCATATTAGACAATGATTTATAAGTTATTCGGAAAGTGTCAGAGACGGCTTCCGCTCGCCTAATCAAATATGCTGGGTTTTTTTTTATATGATCGAAACGTACAGATAATTAATTCATAGCTCTACTTGTGCATTAATTTTGCCGATGCACGCGGAGTGTTTATGAATGAGTTTTCTACACCTACCTTATTCCCCTTTATTATTATTCACGTGCTTTGGACATTTTTTTTGTTTGGGGGAGTATACAAAAATCACATTCTCTACAACATGAATAAGCAATGATCTATGGGTACTCATTGCTGTGTTGCGTGATTACCCAGATTCATAGCGTGAGGTTCGAATTTGCATGATGCATTTTTCTACAAGTCGGTTACAGTTCGATGTGTTTGATTTATTTTATCTCACTATCCTATCCTATTTTGATTTAAAGTGTGATTACAGTTTAGCATGAATGATTTTATTTCGTCAGAGATCGACGAATGCTCCAGGTCACCGTGCAGGAATGGTGGAGCGTGTGAGGATGCCATTGATTCTTACACTTGTACATGTATCTCTGGCTATACCGGAACAAATTGCCAAATAGGTATTTATTATATTGCACTCTATCATTAACTGCATGTTGACAGTCAGTCTTGTATTAGATGACAAGCTTTATCTGGCATTCTAGCTGCCAAACATCATACGAAAGAAGAAGACAGATTGTCTTTAAATATTAAATAAACGTATTTCTACTGCTTTCCTATATGGTAACACATTTTTGGCGTGTCATCTCGTAAAGTATTCTGTTCGTTCCACTGTTCAATTAAAACAAAATATTAGAATACCCCCGTCACAGAGACGAGACGACATTAGACCTGACAGTACATTGAGCCAAAATCTAAGCTACGGCAAAGAATCTGTACACAACTGATTGATAATTAGTCCTGTTTTACATCACGCATGATGAAGTAATTTTCTTTCTCCTGTTTGTCTGTGCAATTAACCCATATTCTAGTAAAATTCAAACCCGATGCCGTCTGAATTTTTGTCAAAAATCGCGTTTAAATAAAGAAATATATTTTAAAAAAATATTAAAAAAGTAATCCTAGAGCCAGGGTCGGAATTAACTTAATTAACATAATATGGACCTTCGTGTTTATATGAATTTCCAATATTTTAATAGCAATGATTAAATTCATTTTTTTCCGAATCCCGATAAATTTTATTGTAGAAATTGATGAATGTGCCAGCGGACCGTGCTTGAATGGTGGAACTTGCATCGACAACGTGAACTCCTACAGTTGCGAGTGTGCTAGTGGATACGCAGACATTATTTGTTCAACAGGTTGGTTTTTATTTTTGTCATTCCGAGTCATTTGTTTGGACAAATCACTTACAAAAGTAAATTACGCAAAATTGCAAACACTTTTCAAGTGTTCCCGTTTTAATTGTTGCTTTTTAATACAGTCAAAATTATCTTAATAGCTACTCTTGGTAAATGTCACCTGTCTATAGTGGCCATGTATTTAGTCTCCCTCCATGTTTCCTAGGTCCTTAACAGTGGAATATGATTCCCCTAGTAATAACGAAATCATAACTCATATCTTCCTTAAGAAAACAATATAAAATCTTCTTACTAAATCATTATTAATCAGCAGAGTTGTTGATTTGTTTTGATTTTTTTTATATCTGAACCCTCTTTCATTGTTCTTTTCTTTTGTTTTCTTTTCTTTTCCCCCTTTATATATATTTCTTTCCTCTCTCTATTTTACTTTCTCTTGTCTTATAGATAGTTGAAGTCTTTGTACTTAATTTATTGTTGTGTGCTTATAATATTTTATATTTCTTTTTGTACTGTTTTTCATTCTCTAATGGGCGATCCAACTTCACAGGTTTTCGCAACCTTCATGGAAAGCCCCGCATATAACCTTTGTGAACATAGTTAACATTTACCGTTACTTTGTATATTTTGATTTTTATATTGCGAAATAAAATTGAATTCAATTCAATTGTTTCTCTCGGGTGGCCTTAATACGCAAGTTTGACGGTTTGATTGAACAAGAATTAAAACTAGTATGGGTTCTTGGTTTAAAATTTTGCACCATTGTAAGAACGTACTCACCTGTAAGGCATCTCAACCCTTCTCAGGAGGAAAATGTTAAGTATAGGGAGGTTCACGAAAATAACAAAACGAAAGCACTGAACTCAAATGTCGGTATACAAAAGCTGGACTTCAAAACCCGGTACAAGTTTAAACCATCGTAGTCAAAACTGAAGAGCGATCATGGGCAGTTTACATTCTTACTACACTGTTGCCCGTCATAAAATCATTCTGACAATATGAGTTAATCTTGAGAAATAAAGTTTATATCTTGTTAGAACTTATTTGTTTATTCAATGACACAATGCAGACATTAACGAGTGTGCGAGCAGTCCTTGCCTTTTCGGCGGCATTTGTCGGGATCTGGAATACGGTTTTGAGTGTGATTGTCCGTCAGGACGAGAAGGTGTCCGATGTGAACTTGGTAAGTCTGAAATCATCGAATAGCCTATTCAGATATTATTCAAAACTCGTTTAAAGAAGCGTCGTACAAATAATCATGGTATAGCGAAATAGGCGAACAGACTAAAGACGAAAGGAACTACCTTCGCAATATGAAACTAAGGCAATTTTCAAAAGCCTTGTGCATCACCTCTTAAAATATGCGGACATGCTAGTTACGTATAACGTAATCCCAACATGATTTATATGAGACAAACAATAGAGCATTGCAATTCCCTTTAAGTTGACTTTTTGAAAATAGTTTTGAACGTGCTGTATAAACATGATGAAGATACGTTGAATGGGTAAACTATTTTGAATAGGTCAAATGACTTGACAGCTAGTCAATAAAATGAAAACAGACATAATGTGGTCGAAGATATGCTTTATCTCTTCACTCTACAAGACATACTTGCTTTCTACCCTAGAGCATATAAAAGTAACGAAACATCTTCCAATAGATCGAATCCATGAGAATGGGAATCAAATAATATGGATAAGAACCCCCCCCCCCCCCCCCCCCCCCGTTAAAGCCAATATACCACTTGACAACAATTGAACAGTGTCCGTTGGATTATAGTGATTTAGCGATCTACGTGCAGGGAAAGGGTAACATTTTGTCAACATCTGAAGCGGGCGATTTGCAATTTGTGTTTTTGCCAAGCATTACCGGAATTTCATGAGGAATTATGTTGAACATTATGACTTTGAGGAAAAAAAATTGCAAGATGAGTAATTTATATTTATTATTATATTTATAACAATTGTTTTTGTGACTGTTTATAATGTATTTCTCATATATTTTTGACAATCTGTTACTTGTTGAAAATTACTTTGTAAATTTGTTATTACTCTCTGTGGTGACCCACTTAGCCTGAGCTGCTGGTCACTCTTTATCCCCTAAATAAATGTATAGAATATAATAACAAAAGGAAAACAATAAATCAATTATTTATGCAATGGCAATGGTTTCTGCAGACACGTATGAGTGTGCAAGTAGACCCTGTGTGAATGGAGGGTCTTGCACCGATCTTTTCGACGCCTACAGCTGCAGATGTCTGCCTGGGTACGAGGGTACTAATTGCGAGTTGGACGTGGACGAGTGTAGCAGCTCCCCGTGTATGAACGGTGGTATCTGCTCTGATGCTATTGATTACTTCTCGTGCCAGTGCGTCAGTGGATTTGAAGGGGTTCGCTGTGAAACAAGTACGTCAATTAAACAGTCAAATATTGATCATTAATATTGTTACGATTAAAATAGCATAATTGTTTTGTATAATAATGATGATAAAAATAATGAATACCATTATCATTATAATTATTTGTATCGCTGTTGTTGCTAAATTCCTTAAAATACTTTATCATTTCATTATTATTATCAATATTATTTGATAGTAGTATTATTGTTAATATTATTGTTTAAAGCAGTAGCAGCAGTAGTAGTAGTGGTTATAGTTGTAGTAGTATTTTTTAACCGGCAAAGACATATAAAGAGAACACAAATTAAAAACGAGAGTGACATTTTAAAGATGTCACATAAATATTTGGGACAAGAAAAAGACTTTTTAGTTCATGTGACTTGACATGAAATGGCACAAAATAATGATAACGAAAAAGTGACGAATTGCAAGTATAATTTCCTATCCTTAGCTACTTATTACCGACTCCTACATTTTTAGTTGTACGAGTCGGCGATGGCGATTTTGTAATTATTTGTTATTGTTTATATTAGTATGAATATCAATACTTAAATGCACTATCAAAACTATTATTATGATTATTGTTACTACTATCATTACTATCGCTATTATTACTTTTGCAATTAATATCAAATTCTCATTTATCTAGACATCAACGAGTGTGCAAGTAACCCATGCCAGAATGGAGGGGCGTGTGTAGATAGTGTGAACAGCTATTCATGTAACTGCGCTGATGGATGGACAGGGGCCAGGTGTGATATGTGTCAGTAAACTCACATATTTTCCTTCGTAATTAGAGCTCGTGATAATGATTATAATATGCCGCTCCTGTATGGCGCATATTATGATATGATATAACTTCTCAATGCGCTTCTAAATGATTTGGGCTATTATTTGTTTAAGTATGAAAGTTAGTTTCCTTCCGTGTTTGTAAGCAAAGTTGGTAAACCAGTTAATAAATTTACAATAATGAAATTATGTCTATATCAAATTTCCGCACCTCTGATTCTTGTGACTCACAAACAATGGACCATTCTCACAAAACCGTCATAAATCTAAGTTCTTGGACATCTCATAGAAGCATGTGTTACATGTGGTTTGTCCAAGAACTGTTCTTAGAATTTGATTAATCCTTGAAGCAGGTCCCTGTATTCAATTCAACTATTAATCTTATTTTATATAGTGTGGTGGTTTGTTTTATGCGATCAAGAGGTATTTACGGATCACTCAAACTTTTTGTATAAGTTTCAAAATATCACATATTCATTTCAGTGCAGGAATTTAACAACATAATATTAGAACTGTTAGTTTGTGTAATGTTCAAAAATCTAAATATTTTCATCAATTAATTTGCAAATATTATTGAAAGAGATCTTATTACATTTCTCGATTAATGTTATGATAAACAATTTTAGTTTTAGTAGAAAGTATTTTGGAATTATTTCTCAGTGAATAAACAAAATATATAATAGTTCCGATGACATAAATTCAAAACTTCAAAATTTGTCCAATGTCTGAACAGATATCGATGAATGTGAGAGCAACCCATGCGTGAACGGCGACTGTGCAGTTGGAATCCAGTCGTTTACTTGTTACTGTAACTCCGGATGGACCGGGCAGAGATGTGATATGGGTGAATATTGATTTAACAAATAAAAATTGGTCATATTAAACGAAGATACCGACATGAGATCAAGTACTGCTCTTTTAGGGGACCCTGCAGTTAGTATAATCCCGGGTACTGGGCCAAGAGGGGCAATTGTTGGCCTAACACCGTGTACAAGGATGTAAACACTGAACAAGCATCGAAACTGTGACCTCTCGTTTGAGTGTCACAACCTTCACCAATATACCACATTGCTAAGATTTTCAAACAAATATTTATCCTAAACTTTTGTTCATATACCTAAATAAACATGAACTTACCCTCTTTAAGATATTCATTTGGAATCATACCAATGTATGAGTGCGTATTGCCATTTAACAATAAATGAGTTTATGAAAGAAAATGGCAAAAATGGGGCATCTGGCCATTCATATGTTGATGAGCATTATAGGTATCTCAAGGCACGTCCACAATCTTTGGTGGAAAGGAGAGGCATCTTGATCATGCTTGTCAAAACCATGCAGACTTAAGAATTCAACTAACATCCAGAGCTCAATCATCCCCAATGTTTCTCATTCTTTGTTTTCATTGTGAACAAGAATATCTTACAAATGCATCGGTATATTACATATCACATACTTGCTCTATATTTGATACTTTCTTAATCAGACTACCTTATGGCTAAAAATGTGACTATTCTAACGTGAAGGTTCAACAGTTGATCTTAATTGATTTTGGAAGAGTATAGATGTTTGTTAATTTGATGGTGTACGGTGTATATGACAATGTGAACAATACCGAGTGTTTTCTATTGCTGGCTGTGGATTACCCGTTTATTTCAGGAGGTAATATAGCCAAGCAAAGAAGCTTTATTTATAGTGGTGAATGTTCAAGCAGATGACTGTTGTCACCGGCGTGTTATTAATGAAGAATGTTCTCTTTTTGTTCTCATAGAAATTAATGAATGCGACAGCTCCCCGTGTCGAAATGGAGGAGATTGCATCAATGCCGTCAACAGCTACTCATGTAGATGCCTATCGGGTTGGACTGGATATAATTGTCGAGACGGTAAAGATATTGTGTTTCATCTAAACTGTATTACAAAGGAACACACATATAGTTGATTACACAATTATTTGCTTGTATACATGCGCACTAGTTCACAGGGTTTCACATTGTGGTATCACTTGAACAAATATAGGAACCCCTGCTCAAAAGGAGCCACTGTAAATGTTTCCTATCAATATGATTACTATTATTATTATCATCATAATTATTATCAATATTATTTTGCATTCTATTAATATTTCTTATTTAATGATCCTTATTCTTATCGTTCTTACTTCAGGGAATGTTATAGCAGCCCATGCCAAAACCGATTTGGTATAATCTTTTATTGTGATTAGTATTTTTTTCTATTCATTCTTATCGTTTAGACTTTAATGAATGTGGCAGCAACCCTTGCCATAATGGAGCCGCATGCAACAATCTTCTCGATGCATATTCCTGCACATGCACAGCGGGATTGACGGGAACCAAATGCGACTTAGGTAGATACGGCAATAAGTTTGCCTTTGTTTTGTTGCCAATGGAAGCCTTATCAGCATCAATGCTATTCTTACTGAAAACCCTGCAATTATCTTTTACTCAAGCGATTGCAGGTACCCATTTACACATGGGTGGAGAGTGGCAAATGTGGATTTAAGTCTTCCCAAACGACGTTAGTACCGGGTTGAGATTCGAACCCTCATCCTTGGATTAAGAGTCAAGTGAATAACCCACTGTGCCTCAACATCTCCTTATGTAAGATTTATAATGCTTACTTGCAATTTATCCCAAATAATTCCGGTAGTCAAATAAGCTACTGGAATTGTAGCAAATATATGATCACTCATGAAGCTGCTTATAAAACTCGTTTTGAGTTTTTTTTTTAGTAGAAATTGTTCGGATATTTAAATACGGCATGACAAGTTTTAGCCTATTTGTTTCTTCAAATTATTCACCTTAGCAAACACGAATACAAAACACTGACGTACAAAAGTGGCGGGATTATAAAAAGGATAAAGAGTCCTTTCTAAAATGACCCCATAATATACAGTGCGTCCCAGAAAAAACAAAACCGAGAAGTATCGATGTTTTATCATAACTTAATCACAACCATAATTAATGAATGATACATATTTAGAAAACTCAGATGATGCATATTTCACGCATGAGTGATTAAAAGCAATTTGAAGGAAGGAAACCAAAAAGACATTTGGCGGGCGGTATCTGAATTTCGAAGAAGAATTCACATTTCTATAAAGTTGAGTTTCTGCCCTTTCATATGACACCTCAATCAGGAAAAATGAGCGAGGAATAACAAAGTTCTGTTTGTTTAAAGTAGCCCTTACATTTTCATAATTTTAACAAACGAATTCGTTTTCACTTGGTGCCTGCCGTAGCAAAAAGCAGATTTGACAAAAGACTTAACTACGTTTCGTTGACAATCAGCCATGCATGAAGACTCTCGTCTACGGCTGATTGTCAACGAAACAGAAACAAATTTGAATTTATTGTTAAGCTTCAACCATTTAATTGACACAATCAAAATATAGAATGAATAATGTATTTCAATTTGAATTTCAGACGTGAACGAATGTGAAAGCAACCCATGCCAGAGTGGAGGTGATTGCACCAATCGTGCCCAAGAGCATGGCTACGACTGCCAGTGTGCACGAGGCTTCACCGGCATTCACTGTGAAATAAGTAAGTTTCATTTGACATTATAACCTTGAATCTTGAAATGATAATCACTTTGAGCAGCTCATTGAAGCTATTCCACTGTGATGATATGCTGCGGGAAAGTGTGTGGTGAAGTAAATGTAAATGTTCACATTATTTACAATAAAATTTGAGTGTGTCATCCGAATGATTGGTAATGCAGCCTCCTTCAATGACTAGTGGTACAGGCTACTAATGTGTGAGACATTCATTCGACAAGCTTTTTTAAGGCCAAAATAATGTCATGTAACATTTCTTCAAAGTTGCTTCAGATGCTCTTTGTGTACGCTAAGATGTACTGTTTCGTTTCAAAATAACACTGTTTCGGTGAAAATGTCTTCTTCATTCTAGTAAGAATATTAGACGTTTTCTCATGTTTAATTAACTTTAATTTGTTTTCCTTTCTTTCCTTTAAAAATATTACATGTGTTTCTTTAAAGTAGATAATCATTGATTTTTAAAACTAAGTTTATTTTCATTATTGCAAAGTTGAACCTTTGATTCGACAAGGTTATCAAAATTCAACTAGACTTTAATTCGTCACTTGGACATATTAGGTGATACGTAATTATGCTCATGTGTAACATAATAAAGAACGCATTTTAACGATTTCATCTTTCGTTATAAAATACTACTCCCATTTTGATCTATCCATGAGTCAAGTTTTAACTGTGTAGGGCAGAGGAAGACAGAGTAGAGAGAGAGGGGGGGAGGGTGAAAGAGTAGAGAGAGATATATATAGATAGACGCAGAGACAGACCAAACAAGCGAGAGGGGCAGAACATGAGAGGAGAAGGAAACAGAGCAAGAGAGAGGAGAGAGAGAGATGCAATTGAGAACAATGCTTTCCATATTTTTTAGCATAAATAAGCTCTTGTGAATACTGATCTTGAAAGTGATGACGATATTAGAATGATGACCATGATTACAGGTGGCACAGCGCCACCATCAGGTTTTCGATAGAGGATTAAACTGTTTACTTATACTAAACAAGCTCAAAACACCTTTAAAAAAAAAATTACAAAATGTACAAAGGGATTTATTTAATCCTGATTTAATATAAAATATGAGTAAGATATTAAAATTGTACCCATCCAAAACCCAACATTTATGATGTTAAATCTAGAAACGATTGTTAGTATGCATGGCAGTGAATAGCCAAAAGATAGAAATTGCCTCGAATTTCCTTGGATTAAATTGTTATACATAATATGAGACAAGCTGAGATGATGCAGAGAGAAAGGTGAGAGTAGACAAAGTGAGAGAGACAGAGACAGAAGGAGACAGGTCAAGAGAGGAAGAGGGAAAGGGAAACAGTGAGAGGGAGAGGGTGAAAGTGTAAGAGAGAGGGAGAGAACAAGAGAGATGAAGATGAGAGAGACCAAGAGAAGAAGAGAGGCAGAACAAGACTAGGTGAAGGGGGACAGAGCAAGAGAGAAAAGAGAGAGAGAGGGGAGAGATGTAATTGAGAAAAATGCCTTCAATATTTCTAACATAAATAGCTAGGCTCTTGAATTACGATCATGACAGTGTGCCGAAAATGCCGATGATGATATAACGATAATGTAGTTTATCATTACAAAATATGATGTTATGTAAAAGTTTATACTGAAATTCACTGATGACCATGATTGAGAGTGGTATAGCGCCCCCTTCTGGTATTTGATAGAGATTTGTAGAATCAGGATTTCAGAAAAAGTCGCCTTACACGCAAAATAAGAAAATTCTTCAATGTCGCCTTTAATTGAAATTTTTACTATGATGATGTCATCAAAATGATGAATGAGGTACATTGATCTTGTAAATAATTTTCTTAGCTACACCGTATCAACATTTGGGAGAACATAGAGCACAAATAAGCTAGATATTGCTCAAAGATAAATGTCATGTAGATTCATGATGTGAACAAGATTCCCCTTCCATAGACATAACATGCAAATTAAGAAAATTCTGACATGTGGCCTTTAATTGAATTCTTTACTATCATGACATCATTAAAATGAAAATCTGTGTACACTGATCTTGTGGACAATTGCCCCAACCACAAAATATTAAAATCTAGAAGAGAATCGATGAATATTGAGATAAATACACTAAATTTTCCCTAAATATAATGACGTCATAATATGCATTTTGTATTTTGACTTCCAAGGCCATTATGATGACGTCAAGATGTACTTGATGTATATGAAATCATATCTCCGAGTCATACTCTATCTAAATATGGAAACAAAATTGGCAGTCCTTATTCATCTCAATGGACTTGTTATTGTCATATTTTTGCCCATATATGCTATGTAATACTAAAATCGCGCGTACGGACGGTTACCTTGAACGGACGCTCATTCCGTTATTAAAAGTGATAAAGAAATAAACATGGTATCAAATTGTTCGGAAAAATAAGAGGAATTTTCTGTTAAAAATTATTGCGGAGGAATTAGTTTCGTTCGGCCGTGACGAACGAAAACGCGCAAAAATACGTGTTTTGCGCGATTTTTTATGAAATGCTTATAATGGCCTGAAACGTATGCAAAAAAAATTAAGATGATGTTGGGCATTTTAAAATATTACGCGCGCAAGTACGCGTACGCGCATTTTTGCCCGCATTTATTGACCTGAAATTGACCGGACGGACATTGATCTTTATCTTGATGAATATGAATGAGAAATAACTTTCTGTTATGAAGATATGATCATAAGTTCATTTTCACAAAATGGCGCCTGGATGACGTCACGATGACTTTGAGTCTTTAAAAAGTCATGCAGTTCTAAGTTAGATCTATCATCATTGAAAGATTCATGACCATGACTTTATTCAGTCTTGAGATATCTTCCGAAAGCTGCTGAGATGTGTGAGATCACAGTATGGACATGATTTGCACAAGCAGACGATGTTCCATGACATCTCACACATTTTCAGTGCCTGTGTTTTCATCTTCTCTTGAGTTCTTTCTCTTACTTCACTACCGTCTGGCTAAATGTATAATCTTTTGCCTCACTGTAAACCCCGCGCATGTTTTTATTTTGATGACAAATGCAACGATACAAAAATAAAGGAATCTGTCGCTTGTAAACAAAATAAGACGCCGTTGTATATTCAGCTGCACACACCGCGGTATGTTCGGCGTTTCAAGAGGGAACAAATGCCGTCCTCAATATCATTCCGGGATTTTTTCAATTTGCAAGTCTGGTTCTCTATTCTGTGTATTTACAAGCAAAAGATTTTAGTTATCAGAATCGAGTCATATCCCCTTTTGAATGGTTTGACATGCCATTTCATTTATATACACTAAACTCATTATAATTAAATAAAAGCTTTGCAATCCCGCCCCCCCCCCCACCCTCTCAGTGTTATTTAGGGTACGCGTATGCTCGTTCCCTCTTTGTTTTAAAGCACCCCCTATCTGAGGACTGCCAACATTTCCGAACCCCCCTTTCGCGGGCTTTTCGCGGGCTTTTGCTGCCTTGGAGACCCCCTAAATACGGAAAAAATGCTCAATGTACCCCCCTAAATTCGGAATAATTTCTCAGGAATCCAAAGAGATGAGAGGAAAAAAAAGAAAAACACCCCCTTTTTAAAGAAATCTCCGGGCGAAAAGTCAAATACACCCCTTTTTTTTTTACAATTCTCGGGCCGGACTTTGTTGCACGAAAAGTACCCCTTTACCGGTCATTTTGGTAACACGCATGCGGGTTTGCAATTTATTCATTCTTTATGGAATGTCGTCTGCTTTGGCAGTATTGGTCCATATAGTGACGTCATTAAAACATCGTTATTTTTCCGGTGAATCTCTCGTATATCCCAGCTGCTATGGAGGTGGTTGTATTTGCAATTGCATACGGTACCGACGGTGCGGGCGCGCGCGTGCGTGAAGCTAGCGACCGTAATAATGAATTACTTGCATCAATTTAATGAGGATCTGAGATAACAGTCGCTAACTTCAGGCGCCCCTGCACCCCACCGACGGTACGCTATACAAGTAGGCCGGGCCCACGGTATGCAATCGTTAACTTGGTACCCGTGCTTCTCCTCCCGCAAGTGCAGCTTCCGGAGGTTTGAACGGCAAGCCGACTACTCTTCTCGGGCGTGTCGGTGGGTAAGTTAGGGATCGGTAGTAGCGGCTCCGTAACAACTATTTTGCTGTTGTGGACTCGACTCCTCGGCATTATGGCTACTGTTGGGACCCGTGGTCCCGGCAAGGGGGATGTCGGTTTACCGGCCAGTAGCCCCCAACGTAGACTGGGCACGGCCGTCGTCGGCTTGCCGACCACTGACGTTCGTGTCCGGGGGAAGAGTGTCGTCGCTTTTGCGACCACTGACACTCGGACCCCAATCAGTGGCTTAGCTCTAGACAGTGATGTATGCCATTTCGTCGGTGGGGTGACATAACCTCGTATCTCAATTTTTGGAGATTTTTATTTTTTTGCATAATTTTGTAGCTAATGGCCTACGACACCACCTGATAAATCCATGGAACGCCTCCTGTCTCGGTTTTTCACAAATCCACACAAACACCCATGGGTGTCGATCCTTACGTAATACCTATTCATCAGGGGGGATGAATGAATAGATCATCCCCCCCCCCCTGATGAATAGGTATCAGTTACGGATCGACACCCATGCAAACACCCTTAAACTAAACCTCGTAACTTTAACCCCCTTTGAAGCTGCACTGACAAAACATAAGATACGTAATTCCTTTTCCTCGTAACTCACACACGGCTTAACAGTACCGAAGTTAGTGTATTCAAATCCCCGTAACTTATTCAACCAAAACCTCGTAACTCATTAAGAGTTGAAAGTAAGAACTCGTATCTCAATTTGAATAACAACTAAAACCTCGTAACTCACTTTCAAATATAAAAACAATTAGTTTACTGTATTTCAACAATGACATTAAAAATTGTATAAATATTCCAGTTTTAAAAAGAAAGGACGGTGTCACAGCACTTAATTTGTTGAGACAGGAAAGTTTTTTCGCTCTCCTGAAAATTCATGATTTTTGAGATACGAGGTTTTGTCACCCCACCGACGATTTGAGAGAATTCCGCAGCACTCTGTGCAGCCTTGAACCTCAAGAGTCGGTTCCCCCCCCCCCCCCCCCCCCCCCCGTCTCAGACAGGTGTTTGGGAGCTGTAAGGGACCATACGACAGCTCTGCTGAGCACAAACAATCGGGTGAGGTCAAGTTGCCGACTTTTCTGCCGACGGGCCCGTCCGCAGGTAGTGGTGGATTATAGTATATTTCGGCCTTGTCTCTTTCTAAGCCATTGTCTGCCTTGGGCACACATTAGACTAAGGCTAGGAGGAGGGGTATGACCTTTTATAGACGTCAACCCTTTCTCCGTTGCGGTCGATCATGCCGAGCCTCTCGAATATTTGAAGCTTTTTGATGAGGCAAGCTGGTGGGCTAAACCCCCAGCCTCTCGGCCAACCTCTGGTGGTACGGGTCTTCTGATAATGAGTAAATACTCGGTTTATTATATCGAGGACTATGCAATTCAACGGGACACACTCAATTTAGCATACCCCCTTTCCGTGATCCAACCATCGTTATTCCAAAATCTGGGGCTCGTTCCTAGAAACCAACGACAAGACAGTCATAACTTTATCCGTCAACTACGGAGATGTCTCTGATCTTCCTAAACCGTTTCACGAAGAGCTTACTAGCTAGTATTTCGTGAGATCGATACTATCGGCGAGAAGAGGAGCCGAGATTTAGCCTTAGTCGCAATACCACCGGATTATTACAAAATTAATATTAGGGAAAATGCAATTATTTAAATGGATTAGTAATAACAAAGATTGAAAATGATACCAATAAATAAGAGATGCAATATACTTCCAAATTTGTGTAAATTATACAATAGAAGTACTTGTAAAATATAATTGTGAGTATTTCATTACATGACCGGTGAATCAGTTTTGTTCTTGAGATGATTCCCCCCCCCCCCGGATATTTTCGTTTGATAGTTTATAAAAATACACCAATATATTATTCTTAGACAAATACGATGTAATAACATTTGTGTCCAATATTTTAGGTGTCAGTTGAATAATCAAATGACAAAACTTCAACATTCCAAAGGTTAAAACACATGTTTTAAACTGTTCATTTCACCTTTGAAGATAGAATTTATCTCGAAAGCAATTTGGGTCTGAAAACTAAAGAATACACTTCAAACTATGGCTTGCCTGCCGTGGCAAAATACCTATCCCTTCGACGATTTTGCAATGTGGAAATAACGGCGTATAATCAGTCTATTTAAGTGGGAAAATCCTTAAAAACAAACATGGCATATTTTCATGAGATTACCAAGTACAAAAAAACGACAACTCACTGTTTAAGTGAATTTGTTGAAAAATCATAGTTGAAGGATTTATTGTCCTTTTATGCCAGCCATAGTCTACCCAATAAATGACATGTGATGGCGCTGCCCATCGACTAAATAGTTATGACAGAGATGCGACGGTGTTCAAAGGCGTCATAACTCCTTAGTCAGGATGTTGTCGTTGATCTTGGCAAAGAGGGCTTGGTGAAACACGTAGCGGACAAGTAGCTCACTAACGCTGATTTTGTCAAGAAGTTAGACTTATGACGGTTTGTAGGAACGGGCCCCCGTATTTGTGTGGTAAAAGAACACAGTGTAATTGCGTAAGAGCACGGGAACGATCACATATCGGTAAAAAAAATTACAATCGGAGATTGACATCGAAGAACAGTCTTTCAATAGATATAATAACACATTGCCATACTACTTTGTAGATTAGAGATAAGAAATTTTAATTATATCGCATTGAATAATGTTATAAATACATGACTGCATGATGTATGTTTTGGAAGCAAATTGATGATCTCCCTACCTCTTCTTCCCCCTCTTAGATATCGATGATTGTGCAGCTCTACCTTGCTTAAATAACGGTATCTGTCTCGATGGAATCAACAGGTTTACCTGCACCTGTTCACAGGGATGGACAGGCACACGTTGCGAGATATGTGAGTATCTGGAATAAAAATGTGCAAATTGCTATTACGCATGAGTTAAATAATAATGGCATCGGTTTTAAATGTGCAACATAGATATATATCTTATGAGGATATAAACATATTTTGATTTAAAAATGAATTTGTAACGTAAACATGATGATCTGCATTCCGACGTACTTATACTTCGTCCGTGGATCGTTTTATCAGATGTGGTGACGACCTTTTTTTATAGTAAATATAAGCTATGGCATCGATTGGGATCAATCGACCAGTTAACAAATGCTTGCATAATAATCACTTCTGTTCCATTACATGTCACAGCGTTCGTGGGTCAGATAGTTAGATATCAATCTTTCCTGTAAAAATTACGCATTGCACGACGTTTCACAAATTAATGTAAGAATGATATTATTTTAATACTTAAGCATGAATAGTGCGCCATATATCTAGTTTACTATTTTAAGACACAGAGTGAGAGTGAATAAATCATTACCGTTACACATAAGTGAAAGAAAGAGATTTAAAAAATACACATATATTTAAGTATTATATAGCTATCGATGGGAACATGATCTCCTATTCCTTTTCCAGCCATTAGGTGCAGAGTGGACTACACACTAGGCGTTGGGGAGAAGGTCATTATCAACTCGCCCAACTACCCATCCAATTATGGTAACGGTGAAGACTGTCTGTGGTTTATCACTGGTATCAACGGTCGTGACGTCAACATCGACTTCAAGGACTTCATCACAGAAAACAGATATGACAATTTCAGGGTGCGAATCTTTTTACGCACGTGATATATTTCCTCTTCTTCATTTTGTGCATAGATCGTGAATAGTACCAACGAATTGGTATTGAATGAATTACTCCAGGAAGGAAAAGGGCCTTACCGCATAACAAATTGAAAAAGGCATTTCAAACTCAATGTCTACAACATAGTGTTGAGAAGGCTTTATGTGAATACTCGCCATGGATTTTTATTTATTTATTTATTTATTTCTGATATTTATACAGGGTGGCACATATCACCAATTTGGTGGTCTTCCACGATGCCCTGTTTGGTAATAATAAAAACAAATAACAGCATCAAAAACAAAATAGATAAATACACAAGCATATAAACAGGTAAAATACAAAATAATTGGTATCCCCTTGAAATAACTGATCATTCAAGAATCATCCTTGATCATTTACAAGAAATAGGTGAATGGAATTTTCAAATTAAATATAATTTTTAAAAACGTTCATTTAATAGTCTGATAAAGCTTAACGCACGGGATACCAAAATTGTTATATACATATTTACATTCAATTGCTCTTTAACTAATACACTTAGGTTGTTTACAAGCTGAAAATGGATACATTACATGTATTACAACATGATATAACGATAACCATGTCAGCCAAATTTCATAATTTTGCAAATAGGAAAAAAATGGTTACCTTTGCACGAAACTACCAAAAGTTCACTTACACGTTATCTACAGATAACAGGGCTTTTAGAGCGTGTTTAAAACTGTTCAAAGTAGGTGACATTTTGACAGGACTTTTAAGTTGGTTCCATACTCTAATTCCAGAAATTAGAGCACTATTTGTATAAGTGTCCGTCCTAAATTTGGGTACACACAATGCATCCCTTACAGCATGTCTTGTGTTGTGATCATGTAGTGAACTAACATGATGTAAATCTTGTTTTAAGTATGTTGGTGCCATGTTATGCATTGATTTATACATCATCACTGCACGTCCAAACTGGAAATGTGTCTGAATAGGCATCCATCCTAAGCGACTAAACATATCATTTGAAGATACTTCAAATCCTTCTCCCAGCACTACACGTGCAGCTCGTTTTTTAACCTTTTGTAATTTAATCATTTGTCTTTGAAATCGCTCAGACCACACTGAGGAACAATAATCAAAATGAGGAAGTACGATGGCATTATACAGAAGTTTTAGAGATCTTGTTGGAACATAACTTTTGGCTCGCTTAATTACACTGATATTTCTTTGAGCAGTTTTAATAACTTTTTCCACATGCTCCGTCCAACGTAACTCCTCGTCAATCATGACACCCAGGCATTTTGCCACTTTTACTCTTTTCAAACAGCTGCCGTTTAGTGTGACAGAAAAATTATTTACTCCGTTAAGAACTGATCGTGATCCAATAAGCATCACATTTGTCTTATCCGCATTAAGAACTAGACGGTTTGTTGTTACCCATGAAAATATGTTTTTCATACCTTTGGTTAGCTTTTGTTCTACTTCTGTGACATTACTCCCGCTGACTGTTAGAGTTGTGTCGTCAGCATACATATCAACAATGCCATCATGAATACATTTGGGTAAACTATTTATGTAGATAGAAAAAAGGAGTGGCCCTAGAATCGAACCTTGTGGGACTCCCATCATAACTTTTGAGGAACTCGAAGTAGCCCCTTTAGAAAAAACCATCTGTTCTCGGTTGGTCAGATATGATTCAAACCACTGAATACTAGTATCAGAACATCCAATGGCTGTCAATTTATGTAATAAAATATCATGATCGACAGTGTCAAATGCTTTCCTCAAATCAATGAAAGCAACACCTGTTAAGTTATTGTTATCTAAATTCAAAGTCCACTGGTTTACAATTTTCATAAGAGCTGTTGCAGTAGAGTGAAGAGGACGAAAGCCTGACTGATTAGGATACAATATATTTAATTCCACATCGTGAAGAGATAGAGGTCAGATAGATAATTTTGTGCATCGAAAACAGCCTTATTCTTTCTTTTTTTTTGGACAAACGTTTTACACGAGCATGTAAATTTGTATCTGTGGACTACTTTGCCGCACATTTTTGGAGCAATAATTAAAATAAACGTTGGAACTTGACAGACATTCGTTTAAAGCAAACTCTGATTTTGTAAGTAAAATTTGTTAAGTCCCATCTACTCCATTCCATGTGTGCTGCTTTCGTTATTGACATTGATTGACATTGATCTTCGCTGTCGCTGCTCTTTTGACTGACATTCGAACCGGTATTGTTGTTGTTCACTGATTCGTTCTTCGCTTCTCTGACATTGATTGACGTTGATCTTCGCTGTCGCTGCTCTCTTGCCTGGTAGGCAAACCTGTATTGTTGTTGTTCAATGATTCGTTCTTTGCTTCTCTTTACACACAATGCCTCCTAAATCGGTCGCTTCAATGCTCAAGGAAATTCTTGCCAGTGATGATTTTCTCAGCTGTATATCGGAAGCTGTTGAAAAAAAACTTGGCCATATGATTGACAAAATCAACAAACAAGAACATCTTAAATATTTCATTTTCGTTTAGAAAACCACATAGTTGAAAATGCCCTGCTTTCTCTAGAATCTTGCTCACAACGGATAATACCGAAATTGGTCTGTAATTACCGGGAGTGGACATATCACCAGTCTTATAAATTGGAATCACCCTTGCTTTTTTCAAGCCTTTTGGTACATGTCCTGTTGTAATTGACTTTTTGATAAGACATGTTAAGGAGTCCACAATGATATGCTTTGACATTTTTAAAAGACGGCAACTTATTCCACCATCTCCGGTTGCTTTATCATCACTCATGTTTTCAATTTCTTTGAAAACAAATTCGCTCGTGACTTGCTGAAGCTCAAATTTGCCTTCTGTATTAATAATCTCAGTGTCATCTAAAATTATTTCAGAATGTTTTGGGATACCACTTGTTATATTTTGAGCACATGTAACAAAATATTCATTGAAAATTTGAGCAATACCTTTATCATTTGTAATTTTAGCCCCATTCACTTCAATGCTACAGGTTAAGACCTGATTAGATTTAGGAATAACATGTTTCGAAAAGTTAACTTGCTGATTGCTCTTTGCCAGCATAGGAATACGTGACATCTTTGAATCCATATTAATTACGGAGGGATGACGTGGATATAGTCTACGTGTTGGCATATGATTAAGCAATAAACGATGAAGAAGAGAGGCGTCTTGCTTTAAATCTAACAGTTTTTGTTAGGTTACGCATTTTCGACGCACAGTACGTTTTTATCAATACATATCGTTATGATATATATACATATATTTATGTATGTATATATTCGTATCTCCACTGCCAATACCATAACCTAAATCACTATAACAACTCAACAAGAGTAAACTCTGGTATGATGGCGTGGGACATACGTGGTTTTTATTATCTAGCAGAGGTATCCCATGGATGTTCCTCTTGTCAGTACCATTACCACAATATCTGTCACAATCCCAAACAGATTGGAGTCGGGTCTGATCCCGATATTGGCAGTCAGCGGATGGGTTTCGCTGGTCCTATCATGCCAGGTGACACCACACTGACGGCCAACACTATCTGGGTCCAGTTCCAGACCGACAACGAAAAGACAGAGAGGGGTTTCTCCGTAGAATTCCGTGACAGTGCTTACAGAGGTGACTATACCCTGTGAGTCAAACAAAAAGTTTACACCTACAAAATTGCTGATTATTTTATAAATCATCTATGAAGTAAATTATTATACATCTTATGAAAGAGTGTTTTATCCAAAAGCATTTGGTATCATGTTTGTGTGGTATGTGTTCACGCTTAGATGAGCAGGAGGCATTGTTTGCGAGAGTGCAAAAATCGACTTGCGCCAAAGTGATCCCTACAGTATGTATTATGTTGGGATTAGCGGAGTGACAGAATGAATGGAATGTATCAAATGAAATGCATTGCATATGCTTTTTGCAGAAGCAAAGTCACACAAACACACGCGCACACAAATATTCGTTGATATTTGATATTCGATATTTGATATGTGTGGCATGATTAATTTTGTAAGGGATGTTATTGAGATCTCCAAAACCGAATTTATACCCAAATCCCAATTGTTTTATTCTAACATCACATAGCAACTTTGGCGCAAGTCGATGTTTGCACTCTGGCAAACAATAACTCCTGTTCATCCAAGCGTGAACAAATACCACACAATATGATACTAAATGATTCGGGATAAACCACTCTTTCATGAGGTGTATAATAATTTACTGTTCATAGATGATTTGTAAAATAATTAGCAATTTTCTAGGTGTAAACTTTTTTTGGACTCACACTGTATTGACATTAATTTTTAATAGAGATCTGGCTTATTTTTTTAGCCAAGGGTTTCCATTCATCATGTTCATACCACCCATTATCAATAACCATTCTTGATTTTTTGTCGATTAATGATCGTCCCGATTTTGTACACGTCCAAGGAAATTAGGAATTCATCAAAAGAGTAAGACCAACATATTTGGCCAAGAGCTTCGTTTTCCATCGTTGTTGGACGATTGTCGCCATAAGACAGAAAAGGGTTTCTCGGTAGAATTCTGTGGCAGTGCAAACAGAGGTGACTAAATATGGAAATAGCACTGTTGCACTATAGTTAATTGGTTATCTTTGTGTATGGTGAGGAAACAAATTATGATTGTTGATGATTCCATTTACTATCAATGTAGCCACTGATCTGACTCGTCTTCAACTTTTATTTCACTCGTCATGCTTTAATTGTTTCATTTATGAATCTCATTTTCCAATTCCATATCCCTAACACCATATGGTATAAGAATTTAATTTGTATGTAACTTTTATCACAATATGTCTTTCACACGATTACAAAGACGTTCAGAATTGATTTCAATAATGCGCGTTACATAAACATATAACAGTGAAATTTGCCTATTCGGCAAGTTATTAGGATATTGAACTTTGCCTTAAGTTTATTTGTTCCTTAAAAGCTTACTTCTACATTTCCTATCTTTATATTGCATTTAGTTCTGACGCCTTGCGATGCAAAGCCCTGTATCAACGAAGGTGTCTGCACTAATGTCGGAACCGTTCGGTTCGAGTGTCAATGCACCTCCTTGTGGACAGGACCAAACTGCCAGACACCCTCAGGTAATAAGTGTGACAAATTCCCCCCCCCCCCCACCCCCAGGCCTACTTTATCACCTGACGGAACCTACAATTTTGTCTCCTTAGACTTTAGAAGTTTGGAGCAGTATGTTACATTGGTATAGGCTCTGGACTCTAATAGAAGATTAACTGGCCTGGGCTCGGCCCTTGATTTGTCCTCATTGACCTATGTGTATTAAGAGTACCCGGTAATATTAGGGTAATAGCTACAATGCTACTTTAATACGTATATTGGCATAACCTATCAATTTGTTCTCCTTAGACTTAAGAATCAACTTGTCTTGATTCTTAAGTCTAAGGAGACCAAATTGGTAGGTTATGCCAATATACGACAAGTTGACTCCCTGACTAAAGCCACTAGGCTATTAAACAGAAGACAGGAAGGTGTGGCAAGCCATAGTGAAACAGAGCCATCATACATCCCAGTGATGGTTTGGACGGCTCAAGTCAAAAAGACTTAAGAATGTTAGAACACTGCGTTCCATCGGTGGAATCTTTTGACTCTCATACACAATTTCCAGGGCTTGATCGTCCATGTATCCTTCTTGACCCAGGTGTATTCAATGATTACCTGATTTTGAAGGAATAACGATTAATACATGGGTAAGACCTTATTATTATCATAATATGTACCCGTTTGAAAGCTTGTTGCATTAGGTATGACTGCGCTTTTTCCCGCGATCAAATTTCATACCTTGTAAACAAAACAGTTGTTACGCAAATGGAGGCCAATTTGATATGTTTGTGTAATACGGATGGTTAAGTAATAATCTAAATCTGATTTTACTTGTATTATTGAACTCTCGATCATAAGTCAATAATTCAATTTGTCTTTGTTGGTCGTATCCAGTGAGAAATAAGTGTGGATTAAATCCCTGTACAAACGGAGCTGAATGCCTGAATAGTGGAGTGGATTACACATGCCTCTGTCCAGGCGGTTTCACTGGAAAGAACTGCACTGCTGGTAAGTACAAAATCGTCGTCATGTTTATTTCTCCTTCACTATTTAAATATTTGTGTCCTCACCGTATTGCTACGGTACGCCTTCTCTCACCGACACGACACTGTTTTTGGTTTTTCAAAACGAATACTAAGATTGTAACGGATAGATGTCTGCATGACTATGGTCTTACTTTCACAGCCTTACTTAAAAATAGGCATTCCTGACGCCAGAAATCACATCTTTAAATGATAGCGAAATTCACCTTGGTCAAACGTTTCAACAATCCTGACCAACTGCATCACAAAAATGAAAACATTAGTATATTCAAATGGTGTGATTACATACTTCTCAAGATATTTCGGGGGGGGGGTATGCCCTAGTGATGTCACAAACGAAATCCAAAGTTTATGGACAGGGTCTTTTTTATACTCCTTTCATCACGCAAAGTGTGAGCATAGGACGCATAAAAAGTAAGATCTAGACATCAATAAACAGAGATATGGAACCCTACAAGGGCTTTCAAGTGCAAAGGCACACATGGATAAGGATTGAGGTGCATGGTTAATTTGGAACCTTGTGGTTTATCCCTTTTCCCTAAATTATTTAATCAAGTGAGTTTTTTAAAGAAAAATAAGGCAAGGCAAGGGGAGGGGTAGGCAAGCTCCACCCTATACGGGATAAGCCACTAGCAAAATGCTCAATGGGCCAACGCCTATTGATTCTTATCACTTTTCTGATTTTATTTTGCAGACATCGATGAATGCGCTGGGAACCCATGTCAAAATGGCGGTGAATGTTACAATCTCATCAATGCCTATGTGTGCGTTTGTCAGTCATGCTACTCTGGACGCAACTGTGACGTCGGTACGTATATGTTTCATCAATTGATTTTATTGTGTGAGTTCTAACCTCCGATTGCAATCAAAATAATGTGACAATGAATGGGTGTATAGAGACACATAGCACATGAATAAATGGTCCCAAATATCCACATATCTTTTATACATAGCGAAACTCTATTTTGTGCAAATATCATTGCCAAAATGATGGAGGTGCTTCTTGAGTATCTTTTGTTTCATTAATGAATAATGATTACAAAACTTTCCAGTAACATGTACTCAGCATTCGTCTCGATTAGAGGTGTACAAAAGAACATTGATCTGCCTACATGCAGATAGTATCACCGAACCGGCGTATTACAGTGCATATAGTTCTACAATAGTCAATAAAAAGAATCGTCAATAGAGATGAGTGTTATTGTGAGGTTTATTTAAAATCAAAATATATCAAAGCACTGCACTCAGAACAATAGCCATCTCAATATTTAGGATAAAGTGAGAATGCATGGAAATATACAAGGTCTAGATTTCGTTCACAACGCTACACAAGGCCCGCCTAAAGCTAATGGCAGAATCCCCTCTTCTCCTTGTGTCCATACTTCACAGCTCCGTCTTCTGCAGCATGCATTGTGAATCTTTGTGAGAATGAAGGAGGTTGTTCCTTCGCTGGTGGTGCCTACCAGTGTTCGTGTCGAGATGGGTATGCGGGAGACTACTGCCAAGACGGTAACAAGAAAGAAGAGCTTGATTCCAAAAGGAGCTAAAGCCATATTTTATCAAAATTGAGTTTTTTGTCTTAAAATAATGATTTCCTACATGGGGACAAAATGTACTATATCACATTCTAAAATGTCACCCGGAAGTATGACAAATTGTAGGTACAATATCATGTTTCATTCCAAAAGGAACTAAATCCAAATCAGTTTCATTCCAAAAGAAGCTAAATCCACTTTGGATACTTTTTTTGTATTTCTCCACTTTCCCTTTAGCCGTGTACCTTCATGTTGTTATATATGTTAGAGGTGTTGCCCTGGACCTATAATATATGATAAGAAAAATGTCTACTAGTTATTTCTGATTTTTACTAAATTTTTAGATTTTGTGGATTTAGCTCTTTTTGGAATGGAACATGAATTTACCTCCTTTTGGAATGAAACTTTGATATGTTGTTTGCTTTCTTTTCAAAAGGTTTTTTAGTTGTGATTTCACTATTATTTTTTAAAAGAAAAGGTTTTCTACTAAATTTGAATAAATTTCAGTGACTTCATTGAGAAAATATTCTAAAATTTCACCGGGAAGTATGAACATTTTTACTAGGTACAATATCATGTTTCAATCCAAAAGGAGCTAAATCCATGTTTCATTCCAAAAGGAGCTATTAAAATCCACGAGAGAAAAAAAATCTAGAAATTTAGTAAAAAGCTGAAATAACTGGTAGATTTTTTTCTTATCATATATAATTGGTCCTGGGCAACACCTTTAACATATGTAACAACATAAAGGTACATGGCTAAAGGGAAAGTGAAGAAATCAAAATGGCGATTTACTCAGAAGTACCCAAAGTGGATTTAGCTCCTTTTGGAATGAAACTCTTCAATTGAGTATACATATCTGTTTTATTGTGACATATGATTAAGAATACTCGATGTATGATGTAAAAATCTACAATCAGTTTGATCTGTATTTACAAGTTTGAATACTGTTCTGCCATGGGGTCCTCCGTAATGTAGGGGAGGGGTTGTAAGTTGTCTGCAGATATAGACTCCAGAGGAACACTTAAACACAATTTCCTAAAGTCTTCAGCAGTCTCTGGCTTCAACAGTATCTGGGTGTAAAGCAGCTTCCGCACAGAACCCATGCAGTCGGCATAGTCTCTTAGCACGGAAACTCAGTTACACAAAATGACTGACAAGGGTTGATGTCTGCAAACTAGGTGGTAAGCACCTAGTGATAGACAGTAGAGACTGGTCCCTTCTATCGCCGAAAACATATATACAAAAGAAAAGCAACAATTCAAGTTCTTTTCATCCGCGGAATAAAAGTAATGAAATACCCTTTCTCTTTTCAAATAGAATTTCATATATTTCTTTGTGTTTTGTGTTTCTTTTTTGACTGCAGATACTGACAAGTGCCGCTTCAACCCTTGCGATTTTGGTGCATGTTCCACTGTTGATGACAGCTACCAGTGTACGTGCAACGAAGGATACATAGGAACTCAGTGTGACATCGAAGGTAAAGTTCAGGATCATATCGCATTAGATGAAACCAATATGTAATGATAACGCGTGAGAAGTTATATTTCAGTTTGCTTATTTAATGTGCAGAGCCAAGACCATGTAGCCACGCAATCGTAATTGGTTGAAATAGCCTTTAGCACAAAAGGGTGATTCTGGTGGATAAATACAAACATCGTTCTTTCGTAATGAATTTTGATTACATGAGTTAAACGTTGTATTACATAATATTGAGGAAACATTTAGGCCTAAAAAAAATCATGTTCCGATTAATTTGCTAGCAGTGGGCATGGTAATCAATGGGCATAATAAGGGTAAATAATTTGGGTTTTTCTATCACTAGTAAGATATGTTAACAATTTTGTTAAACACGTCTCATCTATTTAATATACTTTGTAACATGTGGACAATTTGAAAACAAAATAAAATGAATGCATGCATGGATCAACAAGTGGATGAATGTGGAATTCATATTTGATTTATTATCACTTAACAGATACTACCGAATGTATAAATGCGAACCCTTGTCAAAATGGAGCGGCCTGTGTTGTTCAAGGTGGCAACTATTCGTGTGACTGTCCAGCCGGATTCGAGGGGGAGTACTGCTCTGAAAGTAAGCCCTTTTAATCCTAACAATTGTATTCTATCATTCATGTCTTACTTTTCCAAGAAAGTTGTACAATGTTTTGACATCATATTCTACAGAATCTGGTTTTAATTTGACATATCTAAATGTCACGTATATCTATCACCATTCAAAATAAAATTTACATTGTGTTAAATATCCCTGAGCAAACGCAATAAATGGAGTCAAATTGGAATACATTAATCTCAAAAACACAACGATAGAAATAGATTATCAATACAATTTAAGTAAGAAAACGAATGCTGTATGCATTAATTCATACAGACTAAATGTTATAAATAATGTAAATAGGAGTTGAGATAAGGTATTATAAGACGGGTTCAAGAATCTAAGCAATCCAATTGGTCAATTGGCATTAGTTTTTCCCACCGTGCAAAAAAGCTCCCATCAAAAATTAATAATACAAGCTCAATACCTGCCGATATCTCTTATTCAGCCAAATCTATTTTGTGCCTAATTGTCAATATCTAGATCTAGATCTATAATATTCTAGGCCTAGATCTAATATCTATCTATATTCTAGATCGAGACTATATTGTAAGAATGTATTGCCGATCCGTCTTATAATCGGCATAATCGGCAATAGTCTCCTTCGGTCCAAGACGCCTTGCCTCCAACTGGGAGACGAATGAGGCCGGTGTTTTCCTATTTTCGAATCGCTCATTTAGCGCCGCTACCAGGTTATCGAAGTCCCCTGTGACGTCAGAGGAGAGTTGTTGTAAAGCGAAGTCTGCTGCATTACCTCGCAAGCAAGCCAGTATTCGAAATCGTTTTTCATTTGTGTTCCATCCACACGCTTCTGCAATGTTCTGGAACGAAAAGATGAAGCTTTCCCACGGGCGTGTTCCATCAAAATGTTCCTGATGGGGTAGCTGAATAGCAGCCCTTGGTTGAGCGGGGCTGCGAATTTGAACCTCCTCTTCCAAAGGTTGTGCATCTGTCTCGCTAGAGTGTTGAATTTGAAGTCGTGCTTCATCAAGCTCCAATTGGAGCTCCCTGATCTCCAGTTCTAAATCTGTTTTTCTACGCCTCCTTGCCATTTCGATTAGCGTGTTGAAGTCCGAAATCCCACTGCTGCCACCAGTGTAACGAAATTTGATTACAAGTGTTTAATTCAGACTGCTCTCGTTCAGTTCTCGTTCAATATCTCTCTCACTCGAGCTCATGCGTGTATATAAAACAAATGCAGCAGAAGAAATGGAGTATATGATCATGAGTTTCAGTTATATTCGGCGTTTATTACTTCCAATAGGTACAGTGAATCATTACAGGTTTGGAAAGCGGCAGAAAGGAGTCCGAGGAGAAGTCTTAAGAAGTCTGTCTACCAAGTCTGAAGTCCCTCGATTTTAGAATCCCTGGCTTTATATAGGGAGCTGTTTTGTAGCAGCAAGGACACAACCCGACCTCGAGCTAAAGGGCAGAGTCTGTCCTCAAACTGAGGACAAAGTCTGGCCTCCGCTCGGGGTCAGTCGGAGGCCGCACGCGACTGAGTATCTGTCCTTGCCGTTACGTAAGACGAGGACAGATTCTCTAGACGAGCGTGGCCCTGGGCTTACGCAATCGAACTGCAAGAATTACTCGAGGACGAAAAACAACGTCGTAAATCTACCGAAGGACAAGTTCGACTTGCACAGCAAGCAATAATATTAAAGCGAAATAATAATGAACTGAGCACATGATACGGACATATCTAAATTCGTAACACTATTCCCCCTCTCCTTAAAAAGTCACTGTCCTCAGTGACCGATAAAAAGAATAGACTTACAGTCATGTTAAACCAAAAGATTGTACCATAATATACATAATGAATTTTTTAAAAAAAAATGACATATCGAGTAAATGAAGCGAATGAGGGATAGTAAACATCAAGTCTGAATTTGAAAACTTGGTTAAAATAAAATGACTTGTAGAAGTGGCCTTAGCTCTTTGACATACGACATGTGTAAGTCTCAAAACGGCATATATGTTTGTCTATACCCATACGTAACATTATGATAGAAACCAGCACAGTCTTAATTGCTTGGTACAGTGTAATCTAGTTTTCAAAAGTTCTGGTGAGTATGACATAATATTCGGGGTCATGAAGTCCCGACCTCCTAAAGTAAAACGAAAATCTACGTATGACATTTAAAGTATTCCTTACAAGCTACTATATAATACAACGCAAGGAACTGTCGAAAAGTTGAGGAGAACTAATATAATGTTAAAAAAAACAACGTCAAAGCAGACCTAACCATTTACCTAATCGTTCAGGTTGCAAAAAGATATATGACATTTAAAACAACAAATAACAAAAACAAAAGTTACTGAAATGCTGTAAAATTGTCGACAATTAACCGCCTCGTACACTGACATCTTTTTCTAGTCAATATTTGCTGAAGCAGCAGAACGAAAGCCGCTTCAACAGTATCAATTTTTTTTTTTTTTTTTTTGGCGAAGCAAATCCAGTGGCCACGTGTCCGATTTTTTTTTTTTTTTTTTTTTTTCCACTCTTGGTCAGCAGAAATGCAGCACGCGATCCGAAAAAACGCGATCATTGTGATTACGCATCACAATGCCTCTAGCAGCAATATGACAGCTTCGGATCTCAAGACAGGCCGAACAGAATATCAGTGAACGAGGGGTACTAAACTCAACACACAAAAATACGTTCCCAAGAAAACGGCTACGCGGCCGTTGAGTTTCAACTATATGCACAAAAATCGATTAAAAGATTAAAACATCTCAATCACATCATAGAAATATGTAACAGAAAAATAGAGAAGACATAGTGATAGGGAAATAGATGGAGAGAGGAACAAGAGAAGAAAGATAATTATAAGGGTCGAGAGGTATAAAGGGAGGCATATTGTTGCCGAGGGCTAGAAATAAGGAGAGGTAATAGAATGCAAATGCAATATACAATTGATAACATGTACAAACTGGATTCAAAACAACAGTTTGAACAATGAAAACAAAATTCAGTAAAAGAATCGCGCAATCTTCATTCGGACAACAGAGTTCTCTATCAGAGTAATGTTTTAAGTCTCCTCCATCGATGATCAAATAGTCCCAGTTTATCTTGAAATGTTAGAGTAAATGTCCAGATCTGTCGACGGGGACCGATGTCTTGTGCTGCTGATTTAAGTTTAAGCGGGAGTGACTCTTTGTAGGAATCCTGGCTTCACATTGATATTCCATTATATTCGAGAAATTTGTAATGATAATTCTGCTTCCATAAAAATGATAAAGCTCGTGGTTGTGTAAACTCGCCTCTATACTGAATTCAGATAACTCAATCAGAAATAAGAATATTTTTAGGATATTCCATAAGGATCACGTAACAGCATTGACTCAGCATGTCGACTTCGCAATATTCCCAACACATGACAAATTGACAATCAAGTATCTACGGCGGGTCCTCCACTTCTACATGGCGCAATATCATGGACATGAATGATTGACGTTGCTCCGATATCTTCGAGGTTGTCCCGTGATTTCCAAACTGATATAATGATTTCCCATTCTTTCCGACGCATACACAACAATTCGCCAACAAAACTAATACGATGTCGAGATCTATAACGCTATCCAAATGATGACTCTCTGCCTCCGTTTTCCACACCGATGCTCTCGAAAAATAAAATGAACAAAAATAAATTGGCCCTACACATACGAAACTATTACTACTAAATAAATGGCCATGCACTGCGTCCTCTTGTTGCCATTGCTGTGCTCCCCTTCTGAGGCTGGCACCCAATGCAGCAACCGTCAAAAATAAATAAAAGGCACTCGGTTTCCCTTTGAAATCGTCGACTCGTCATGCGGTATATTTCCTCGTATCTATGATAAATCCTGAAGTACGAACGCTTCCTTTTTCGTGAACGAAGAGCAGGTACATGTTAAACACATTATACAATTGGCTCAACACACCAATTTCAAAATAAATGACCATGTCATTCTGGACGACTTAACAGGTTCAATGATTAATCTCCACCGAAACAACAGAAGAAAAAAAAGGGACAGAGAGTGAAACATCTGATGAAAATAATCCAGAAGAGTAATATCCAAATAAATGGCACAGTTTAAACATCTGATGAAAAAAAATCCGAAAGAGTAATATCCAAATAAATGGCACAATTTGTTGATGCCCTCGTCACCCGCCGCCGAAACCGGGGAGTAGGCCCTCTCATCGACAATGGGGTTCGATGGAGATGTGAACCCGCTATCCATATCCCCATCACAGTTATGCATCCCCATTGTCAGATATGAAGAGTGGTAAGCCATTGTAGAAATATAGGAGTGAATGGCAGGCGTCTCGTCTTGTTGAAGTTATTGGCATGGAATGACCATGGAGATATCTCCATGGTATGACGAAATGTGTGAAATGTCCCAAAACCGCTGATGGCCAGATCCGTTGTTTATAAACTAAGCCGGACTGGCGGTCTTGGCCTTCGGCCGCTCCTCCTCAGTTCGATGCCGTCCTTGGGATTAGTCTG